GTGAAAGCTCACCTGCGATCGAAAGAAAATGCAGCAGACGTGATTTCTCTCTTCATTATTTATTACTAGAATGTCTATTTTTGAAGAAGCAAATACTACTTTATCCACTCTGAGGAAACCTTCCCCTCAAGCGTATGTATTGCCGAGTGTGATGAAATCAAATCAGAAAGTGTGATGACCAAAATGCATTCCTTGAAGAAACGACTGTTACTCATTATCATTGATGCCAGGATCTAACACTGAATTATGATGATCTAGTTGTATCTTTATTAAATATCAACACAATTGACTGAATAGTAAACATGTTTCTGTTTAATTTTTAATCAGCCGTGGCTCGATGGGGTTGACTCCCAAACTCAGTCAGTTGAAGATAACCAGAGAATTTCTGAAAAGTTCATAACAATCTTTTTAGTGGTTTATTAGGTACGTCGCCCAAGAGAAGATTTACTCAAAATGAGAAAAACTGAAGAGGTGTTTCCTTTGCATGGAATGGGACTTCTTTAATGATGGACATATGAGCTACAGACATTTCTTTGTTGACAATAAACAAAAAATGAATAAATTGTTGATTCAATTAATAAAATCATAGACTGCCTTAAAAGGAAACCAGTGCATTATGTAGATTAAATCAGAATAAGAACAATTTAAATCGAGCCACATAGGAACACAATTAAACATTATTCCAGCACAATGAATTCTAAAATCCATATTGTACCTGAGAATCCATAAATTACTGTGCTAATTACCTTGTGTAAGCTGTAATTTGTCATGACGGATGTACTGTAGCGTAGGGTTTGGTCATTTTTGGGGCAAAACAATGTTGAGGGTTGCAAAACATTTTCCATCAAACAGAAGCGCTGTACATCACATCAAACTTTACAACATGGATGAAGCCTGAACGGGCTAACAGAGATCTACATAAAAACCAAGAACAGAAGAAATGGATAAAACTGATAAAAAAAAGGGGATGAAAGACAGTCAAATACTTAAAATCAAACAAACGTGATAAGGAAACGCCAAAGAATAAAAATGAGTCTTCATCTGACTCTTAACAAAGCTTACAAAGATTACAACAAAGATGCTTGTGTGACCTCCAGCACAAGGTCAGTCCACAGTTTAGGGGTCAGGACCATCGACGTATAAATATTGGACAATGGGTTTCCATAGCCTCCAATAACACGTTTTTGTGCTAAAATGGGAGGTGGCCACCACCGCCATTTTGACCGTGTCACAGGTTCCGTCAAGCCCAGACATTTCCACAAAAGGGAAGAGAGGTGGAGCTGAGGGTGGGGCTGTAAGGCTGGGATCAACTGACGACGCCCGGTCGAACTAGCTACAAGCTAACCCAAAGCTAACGCAGAGGTGGGAGCTAAGCTAACGGAGGTAGCAACCTAGCTACAACCGGAGTTCACTGTGCACAATACCAGAGCTTCTGAGTCAGAGATACGCCGGGCTGACCGCTGGGGAGAACCAGGTGGAAAACATCGGTCTCCCGAGAGCTCCACAAGCCGATAGTCGGAACCCAGCTCCACCAACATGTTATATTTCAACCCATTTTCTAAAGTGCAGCATTATGTTAAATGCACTGGGTTTTACCCTATTACATTTAAATTTCATGGTTAAACAGTACATGTTAAAATCTAAGCTCAGCTCGGCAGTGACCTAAAATACATAAATATAATTTTACTTACCAAACAAAATGAAGTGGAGACTCCTTGGGCGCTCTATTAGTGCAATTAATGCCACAGCAAGTCATTTTGTCCAACAATTGTACTAACAATATCCAAAAAATAAAACACAAACACAGAGACTCAAAATCCCGGAACAGTTTCCAGGCCAGACCGAGGCTTTTCCACGGAGCTAGCTCTGTGGTCACGTGGGTCTGATGCTCATTAATTATACAGAATTGTAGGCTTTTAATACACTTAAACATAAGAGTGAGAAAAATATCCACCCCCCTCAGAGTTGTCATGAGTGTAAACTAGATCATTTAAACCAAAAACATGTTTTGGTACCAGGCTGTAAACATGTTTATGTCTGCTGTGAAATTGATATTTTTAACATGGGAGTCAATGAGGATTTGCTCGCTTCTGACACCAGCCCCTAGTGGAAGAGAGTGGAGCTGCAATTTTTGGTACTTCCGGGTTGGACTCAATTTTTGAGCCGCATTGTGGGGGCTTGGTCAGGACCAACAAAGCCCTGCCTCTTCTGCATTTCCCATGTGGATACAACTAACTGGTGACTAACCTTCATCACCACCCTCTCCTTATTCTGCCTTCCCCAGAATCCACTGATTTCCCTCTTTCCTATACACTCGCTCTCTCTTTCTTTGCATTTTCTAATCACAATTGCCTATTTTTGCTTATTTTAAACATATTTTAAATCATTTTCTAAATCCCTTTTCATATTTTAAATGTTTTGCTTTTGTAAAGCGCCTCGTGATTTTTATCTTGAGAGGTGCTATTGAAAAGACTGTTTTCTTTCTTTCTTTGAGGTCATGTGAGGAGATTAGGTGAATAGGTCATAAAACAGGTAGGAGCACTACCACACAGGGAGGTAAAAACGAGCAGCTCAAAATTCACTCTAAAATAAACTCTTAACCAGTGTAAAGACAAAAGTGCCGTGACTTGATCCCAAATTAGGCTGGTGAAGGTTCTCAGTCATCCAGGTCACAGGAATCAAAAAGGGATTGAATGAAGGCAGCTGGACTTATTTGGCCTCATGAAGACGTTTTGCCTCTCATTCGAGGAGCGTTGTCCGTTCTGACTGGATATGGGAGAGTCAAGCTAATAACCTGTAGCTGTCTATTGTTGCTTAACGAGCAGAAACTATAAACCCTGGGAGTCATTGGTCTCGTTATGCCCTAATGAGTTGGAATGGTTGTTTGGATTAGATGCAGGAGAGTGTGCCCTACTGTTCTGGAATTAGACCAAAGGTGAAACCTGAGGCCTGCTCCTTTGTTTAACTCATTTGCTGCCAGCCGTTTCCTGATTAGTAAAGCCCGTCGCTGCCAGTGTTTCTCACCATTTTTACTGTTTTTTTAAGAGTCACAGAACGTTGCGCGCTAGGATGATGTCGACGCCAAAACAACCAAAACAAAGCGGAGACTCACCTCTTACATCAGGAAGAATCTGCACGTTTTGAGGTTTATCCATTCTTTCCTAATCCGTTGTTGAATTGTGATCGGCAGAAGCTTTTCCGGTTTTCGCCTCACTTTTGTTACAGCAGCAGCCCAAAACGATCTCCTAACACATGGATTTTCTGCTTCCTGATCACGTGATGTGTGACGTACGCAGATGAAGATCGGCTGTAGAGCTGAGATGTTTGTTCTCACGGTGCGGGGGCTCGATCCGATGCCCACACAGTAAAAAAAATGCAAATGCAGTGAACGGTTGGATTTAAAATGACGACTTTAGTCGTCAATGGCAGTGAATGAGTTAATGTGATCCCGCATTCTGGTACCGGTCAGGAATCTAGCTTCTATTTTTTGACAAGCTGAAGCCAGGCTAGTGGGGCCTGACTAACTCCTGAATAAAGGGAGCTACAAAAGTCCAAGCGTGAAGCAAATGCATTAAACATCTCCAAGTTTTCTCGCAACACTACACTAGCGGCATGATCCTGGATAGCTCGTGAAGTTGAAAAAACAAGCGCACCCTCCCCATTTTTTTTGACTCTAACTTAAATGTTGAATCTAGCTTCACAACTAGATCGGTAATGAGATCCTTCTGCCAGAGCAGACAGGTTGAACCTTTGGGACTTCGGACTCTGAACTTTGCCCGGCTTTTAAACCGTACTGAGACTTTTCAGCATCCTAACCCAGAGTTCTAGCTTGTTCTCAGCTTGTGTGATGAGAAGGTTCATTAACTGTAAAAGTCCCTGAGTTGTAGCCATTCATGTGTTTGCTGGTGTTGATTAGCTAGTTGAGTTGATTCCAAATGTTGATCACTAAGATGCATACGGTAAATGAGTTAAATGGGTGTAAAACTCCTCTAAACCGTTATAGGACACACGTGGACTATTGTTGATAGAAAATATTTATTTATTAATTTGTTGATGAGTAGAACTTAAATTTATCGGCAGTTTTGAAGTCATTTTCCATGAAGGCCTTCATATTTTTGAGGTTGCTGAACCCACTGGTGAATTCATTTTCCGTGATAAAAATGTGGTACTTTTGGTGTGTTTTAGTCAGATTTTTAGGACTTTATCGCATTCCTTGCTCTGAAGTTGAAACGGTCTCCTGAAGGTTTCTGGCCATCTGAGAGAAACGTCTGATTACTGGCAGCCTAAATGCTGCCTTACAGATGTGCTGACATGACTCATGTCCCTCTAGTTTTCCAGCTGACAAGTGGGAATTAAAAACTCCTCCAGAGACGTTGTCCGTTAGATCGCGGTGCCGTCAGACAGGTCGTCTCAGAAACTGCTGAAAACCATCTCTTTTTGCTGTCATTAAGTAAGAGTTTTAAAAAGAAAATATGCCAAGCTGGTCTTCATGAAACACACAACAAAAAGCTGCCATACAGAATCAAAAACAAGCACCATTTCACACACAAACAGGCACAGAATGCCTAAAAGGCATCTAAGCTGCATGACTGTCTCATGTTTCTCTGTGTGTGTGTGTGTGTGTGTGTGCAAGTGTGTGTGTGTGTGTGTCACTATTGGCTGCCAACTACCTTATTTTTCACATTTTCCCAGAAAATATTGCTGTAATAAATAATCACTTGACATGATTATTTGTTTCTGTGTTGCACTCTGGTTTTATTAGCTGTGCATTTCCTGGTTTCCACTCTCTGTCAGTGTCTAGACAGACGTGAAAATGTTCATATACCAGGACAGCTAGACAGGTGAACTGGTCCTGCACACAGTTGGTAGCCCAGTGAGGGATCAAACACACAAAAAAGGGTCAGCTTCTTACCACTAACCCAGGCAACCTGGAGAAGAGGTCAGAAGCCGCCACGGATGCAGCAGCAACCTCACTCTGCGTTTTCTCCTCCTTTCTGCAGCGATGAACTCTCTCCAGACTCACCTATGGGGAAGGAAGGGCAGGGAGGTGAGGGGGAGCTGCAGGGTGAGATCCAGTCACAGCTACAACCAGAACCTCAACCACAGGCCCAACAACAGGAGCAGCAAGAAACGCAGCCACATTTTCCACCATCAGAGCCTCAATCTGAACCCGAACCTGAACCACAGATTCTTCCCCAGCAGCAGCCTGAAGTCAAACCCCAGTCAGAGCCAGAACCTCAGCTGGAGCCAGAAGTGGAGCCTGTGAGCGAAGTGCTGCCTCAGGACCCCCCAGAAACCCCTTTGCCGTGCAGTGAGGAGCAGACAGGAGCGGAGAAGGAGAATCAAAAGTCAGAAGAAGTTGTCGAGGCAGAGGCAAAGCAAGAAGAGAGGGGTGAGTTGCAGGGGAAGAGCTGCAAGGGCAAGGCAGCACAGGAGGAAGAGGATGAAGAGGAGGGAGCAGCGAAAGGAGGTGGTGCAGGGAGGAGGGCCAGCCTACATCACACAGCCTCGCCCTTGAGGGTGCAGCGCAACGGCGCCGGCTCGCACTCCGCCTCCTCTGACTATGAGCTCTCGCTTGACCTCAAAAACAAGCAGGTAGGGTTGACTTTGGGATGGGGGAGGGAGGGAGGCAGTTGGTGTGTGGCTTGTGTGAGGGGGAGAGCAGAGAATGTAGAAAGCTGTTCTGTACTGTGTTTCTGATGGTTTGAAATGTCTGTGGCGTGGTTCAGTTGCTGCCCGAGGAGAAGGCATCTGGGTGCACACTGTGGATTTTTTTCTGTTGGTTTGACTTGGTGATCCTGTGGATGATCAAAAGTGTCTGATTACATGTCTTCATTATCACAAACAACCATCATCATGATTGCTTCATCAGCATCCTCATCTAGTCCTTCCACCTTTCAAATCTGTTTCAGAAACTAGTTTGTAAGTTTACGTGTGCATGCTCAGACTCCAGGGGAAAGTTTACAAGTTGTACATCAAACTCTTTCATTTGGACTTTTCCTTAATTGTGTTTCCATGGTAAAGCTGGCAACTGTTATCTAACAAAAACAAGTTAAATCGTCTTTTCTGAGCTGCCTTAAACCTGACAGTGTGTCCATAATGTTTCACGCTCATGTGTCTGTGTTTTATGTCAGGTTTCCCATCAGATTTGCAGAAGTCTTCTGTTTAACATCTTCATTTCAAACATCATCAAGCATTCACAATCTCAATTCATCATCCATCTAAACAGCATTCCTCAGTCCAGGGATCTTCAAGCAGGTAAGGCTGCAGGGATTAGAGTCCAACTCATCTTTAACAGACCGGACTGCTTTCAAACTGATTTATGGGCCATTCCCATCTGTACCGGGTCGGCCCGGGCCGGGTAGCCCCAGTCGGCCCCAGCCTGGCCCGGTTGATTCCACACATCCTTGCCTTAAGCCCATGTGGGCTGATTCTACCCACCAATCAGAGGCTTGCTCTAATGGAAGGTGTGAATTTGCTGTCAGCAGTGGGTGTGTTGGCCCTGGTCGGCCTGAAGCAGACCCCCTCCAGAAGAGGGCTTAGAATGAGCCTTGGTTGGCCCGGAAAAATACCAGGCCACCCAGATATGTAAACAACCTACGTTACCCGGCCCAGGCCGACCCGGTACAGATGGGAATGGCCCATTAGTCTTTCAAGATTTCCTTTCCTGAAGAATATGCCATTTATTGATCTTAATAACTTTCTGAGCAGAGCTACTAGTTTTCTGGACTGCATCTTCTCGAAAGCATCATGTTTTTTTTTATAATTATAGTTGAGGAAAACATCTTAAATAAAACATATGCTTTTTTTTCTCCCCAGAATTTCAAATTTTCACACTTTTCTAACATTTATTATGTCGAAACAATCATCCCAGGAGTTTGCACACCTTTTACCACAATGCAATACTTTTCTCTCAGATGTTTTAGAGCTCAAAAAGTTGCTGAACTCAGTCTCAGGTCTTAATTTTCATTATTGTCTCTGTAGGTGTGGTGCGCCACACTTGGCCACACCTAATCAATAACCGAAAGCAATCAATAAACATTAGCTCTTGGCATTAGGGGTTTCTCAGCCCCGCTGCAATACGCAACCATTTCTTTCTTCCCTATAGGAAGAGAGTGTAATTTAGTTTGCATCCGTCTTCTTCTATGTATTGGTAAATTCTACAAATGAAAGTAAAACCTGCAAAAACAACTTGCAGGATAAAATAATACTTATTTTAGCAAGGATACAAAATTAGCTGAAGTCATTTGCCACTAACCACCAGTGTTTTTAGGTGAGATGAGTTTGTTATTTCACCCCTTATCAGCTTCACTTTTGTTCCCGTTTGACTCGATTCGCTCTCATCGCTTCCCTAATCGAGGATCCGAGATCTTTAACCTCAGGTCCCGACCTCTTTTTCTCTCTTTTCTCCCCTCGCTCTTTAATCTCACATCTAAAGAGTCCCTCTTTTGCACCATCTCCCTGTCAACGATGCTTGAGATAGGCAATCAGCTGGATTAATCTCCTGTCCATCCAGGTGGGGGTTGTAGGGGGCTGATGGATCTCCAGATCAATGTCAATGTAATTGGATCTGCTGAGAGATCCTTTTTTTGCTGAGGAAAGAACTTCCTGATGGATTACTCAACTAACTTAAATTTGAGTTTTTAACCCTGAGAGCCATAGGTCACCCTTGTAAACAGATTTGTTTATACGTTTTGGGAGACCTGCATTCAGCAGTTACCCTTTTAGCTAATTAAATAACATCAGAAGAATTATTGGGGTAAAACTTTAAAAGGTTTCCAGTAAAATAAAAGTGCAAGACCTAAATCAGATACTTTAAGACAATTGCAAAATATATTTAAAAATAATAAGGAATGGCTTGTTACATGAAAACCAATTCTTAGGTTCATGTTTTGATGCTATTTAACAATAAAACAGCAATCATGGCATTAATATAACTGAAGGTTTGTCAGCACGTTCTCTTTATTTAGGATGATTAAAACTGTCTGCCTCAAGAAAACCGTTTTACCCCTTAATTTATGAAACTCCATCAGAAACTTTCCTGAAACGCATGAAGTCATTAAATGTCCACCAAAAGGAGCAGGAGGTGGTTTTTATTTTTGTTTTTTTGTTTTTTACTTTGGGAGGGAGACTTGGGTCACATGGTGCATTCAGAACATAGACTTAAATGAATCTATCACTGAATAGAAGGTGGGTGAGAAAAGCAACGTTTTATTTTATGCATAAATGTGAGTTATGTAATGTGCTGATTTTCAGTTTCTTCTCTTTTTCTCTACAAACGCTGCTGATCTCTGCTTGAGCAGCTGAAGTTTTCATTTAAAAGCTTTTCATCTCCACACAACAAAAAAACTCCTAGAAGAAAATTAAAAACACTCATAGGGACACATACATCTGCAGGTTTATGTAACTGCTTAAACAGCCTTTTTCTGTTGCTTTTCAGTCTAATCATGACAGAAAAACTAAAAATAGGAAAAGTTCTTCTTTTACATTCATTTGTGGAAATTTTGCATAAAACTCTGCAAAACAAAGTTTGAACTGAATGTGTCTGGTTTAATTTTCCCAGTTCGAACACAGCTTCAGCCTCTGATAACATCTGACCTTTTCCATTGTCATTCTCACTTTGCAACACAGTCAGCATAAAAACATCCCACTTTTGCTGTTATGTAATTATCTCATTAATCATGTAAATGTTTCTGGGCTGTCGGACAGCTTGCATGAGCTTGGAAGCCGACAATCCTGGCTTTGCATCTTGCTCTTTGTTTCTACAGCGTGTGCAGTTCTGATTATCGGCTGTTTCCTCGCACATATTCAGGGTGATGTTTTCTTTGTCAAGTTGAATTTAAATCAGCTCACTCTTTTTCTAAAACACTCATTCCTCATTAAGGGTGTGGGGAGCTGGTGGCTGTCTCCGGCAGTCACTGGTAGAGGCGGCGGACGCCCTGGACAGATGCAGTCCATCACAGAGCCAGATAAAGATAAACAAGAGGACACACTTAGGGACTCACTCACACCCAGGGACAAACTAGGGCCTCTGATGAAAATAAATTGCATATTTTTGACTTGTGTGCTAATATCCTTGGCTAAAATAGTTTCACTAAAGGTGTGTGACACACACAAAACAATTACTTATTGTTTCTGATTATGATCGTTCACTTTGAGTTTTTCATGCAACACCTGTCTCCTGTGTTAGCTTCTGCTCAAAAATAGCTGGTGAAGTACTTGGATTTGAAAATGTCCACACTGTGATGTCACATTGTGTGCTTGCTATCATGGCCTTGCCCATTTCGGCCCGCGTCTGCCTGCCGGAAGGCTTTTTAAAGGGTATTTGCAGCGAGGAGAGAGAGCGGAGAGCGTGTTGGTGATAGTGACTTTGCAACATGGCTGAATGCGTTCTGTTAGCCAGTCAGAAGTGAGGTGTGTGCATATCATTAATAATATTGAGCAACCCTGTTGTTTTCAACTCACCTCTGCACCAGCAAGCTTTTGCATCTCAGAACAGGAGCATCGTAACTTAAAAAATACAAATTATTGATTTACACTAGAGAACATTGCAAATGTATTGAATAGACGAGTAAAGCATGCCTTTAAAACAATCCAAAGCTCTAAATCTGGTTGTGATTCAAATGATCTAATTAGATCTGAATATGCTTCTACATAACTGCCCTCAGCTTTCTAAAATTACGTTTTTAATATGTTCTTTGGTCATTTTATTTATTTTGGCTTTTAATTTCTAGCCAAGACAAATTTATTTACAAAGCACTGTCTCCTCTGCGCTAATTCCTTGGTACATCCAGGACCATTGGGCTTTGTGTTCATGTTTCAGAGCTGATGTTACACCTCATCCGACCATATTTTTTGCACTCTCATGCTCATATCACTTAGCGCTGTGTCGTGCAACACTTTCTCCCTCCCTCCTTCAGAGGGGAGCATGAGGTCAGCTCGGTGCTGATCTGCATGTGAAACTCCACTCAAACACAGCGGTGCAAAACAACACAGGACTTTCTAACCGCTGTGCCTCAGTATATTTTCATCACCAGAACTTAGTGACATAATCAAAAATAAAAGTGACAACGGGATAATTACCAGTCTCCATCTAGGTGTGCTCATCGCTCTCTCAACACCTTATTTTTTCCCTTTTGTGTCCTCTTCCCCTAACGCCCTTGTTTTTGTGTCCTCTTGTGTGCTATTCCTCCATCTCTTTGATGCTTTGACCTTTTCCTTCGCAACATGCTTTATACACGCTACAGTGGACATGCAGTCTGTGATCGCATTTTATACTGGCTGTGGCCATGAATAGTGCAGACATGAGCACATTTTTGATCAAAGTAGCCAGAGACATTTGTGACATTACTAGTGTTAGCTTGCTAATGGTGCCAAAATGCTCCTTGCATTGTCATGCTGCACATATTTAAACCAGAGCATCACATGTTCTCTGAACGCTCCTTCCTTCCATCCGTAGTCTTTGCTTGCCCCGCGGGCTGTAATTCTATCTGAATAGTTAAGTGTATCAGATGCATGAGAAAGCAATGTGACCCAAATACTTTATGTATCTTCCCCCAGTTTGCACAGAAGGCAAAACAAACAAGCTCAACCGCCAAATCTAATCAAACGCAGCTATGCTAATGTCCCGTTCTTGTATTCAAGGGCACCTCTGCAGGATTTGTTTCGACGAGATACACTCGTCTGAATGTTGTCTGTCATATTACCGCTCTGTATTAAAAAAAGACTACAATATCTGTAGAGTAGGGTTATGGTGATGAGGTGCTCTCAGTTCAGATAACAAGAAAAAAAAAGAATAAAAGTGATGAAAATTCAGGCTGAGTTTGAGCCTACAACTTTCTGATTGCTGGACATCGGCTCTACCTCCTGAGCTACCGCTGCCCCATTTTTGTTCTTCTAGATGAAGGCTGCATCTTGTGTAGCTAGCCACTTGACCTGCAAACCCTAAAGTCACTTTAGCAAATGCATGTTTATTTTAACCCGCCCACTGTCCTACTGGGTGTGACCCCGCCAGGAAAGTTAACCATTGAGCAGGATTGATGGTTTATCCCTTGGGTCCATGTGGCAGGGGTGAGGAGTGAGCACCACCTCACCCCTGCCACATGGACCTCAGTCAGTGTCAGTCCACCTGCATTGGTGAATTTTCCTGCGACTGAAGAAAAAATAGATATAAGTCAGAATTTTGTTCCTTTTTGGTTGCAATTCAAATTGGCAGGTGTACATTTAAATGTGAACTAAACTAATCCTCATTAGCACAATACTCTAAAATCTAAAGAGAAAGATGCATTCAAATCCAGGTTATTTAGATTTATCTAAGCTTGGCTCCTGTCAGAGCTGAAATCTCTACATTCTCATCCTCGATTGAAGTTACAACAGAAGAAAATTCATCGATTAGAGTCTGAATAGGACAATGCTCAGAGACGTGGGCAGATAAGCACTCATTCCGGGCACTTCCACAGAGTCCAACGTCATCAATTGTTTAGGGACATTTAAAGAGGTTTCATCTGGTGACTGAGCTGCCGCCAGATGAGAACGACTATATTACATCTCTATCCGTTTCCCACAGCTTCTCAGCAATATTTCACAGGCGAGATTAATAGCTTGTTCGGCTTCACAAGTTGAGTGAGGCACTTCTCAGTGGGATTCACAGATTGTGAACTGTATTTGTTATGCATGATGTGAACTGTTTGCTCAAATATCAGCTGTTTGTGTTTTTACATGTGTGGCTTTTGTTAAGACAAAACACAGGAGAGTAAGATTGTTGCATGTGCTGAATGTGACCTTCCAAAAAGGTGATTCCATAATGGCCACTGTCTCTTTGTCCCCATCATAATGAGAGAAACTTTCTTTTTTAGTTTATTTTTAATTGTTTTAAAAAGTGTGGTGAACTTGCATGTTTCAACTTCTACATGGGAAGGATTTCTTGTTTGCTGAAAAACAGAAAGAGCAGCAAAAAATCCCAAAACTGTTGGGATCAGCGACTGGGATTTGGCAAACAATTTGTCAGCTGGGTGGACAATGGAAAGTAGTACAAATGTTGGTGTTGTTGTTTCATAAGAATTCAACATTTTCTGTCTGTATCTGTCTTTTATTCTCAGATCGAAATGTTAGAGCACAAATACGGCGGCCACCTCATCTCCCGCCGTGCTGCCTGCAAGATCCAGACTGCCTTCCGCCAGTACCAGCTCAGCAAGAACTTTGAGAAGATCCGCAATTCGCTTCTGGAGAGCCGCCTGCCACGACGAATCTCCCTGCGCAAGGTCCGTGTGCAAAATACCGAGGGTTTCTCTGCTGAACGGGCACTGGCAGAAGGCTGTAACCTGGCAGGAATCCCACTGGTGCGTTCACCATCTCTGCCTGCCACGGTCGGGAGCTCCCTGACCGACCTGGAAGACTCGTTCACCGAACAGGTCCAGTCACTTGCAAAGTCCATAGATGACGCACTCAGCAATTGGAGTTTCAAGACCATGTGTTCGCTGCAAGAAGGCGGCACGTATCAGTTCAGTGCTGACTCGTTCAATGCAGCAGCAACAGCTGGAGTCGGAGTTGGAGGAGGTGGAGAAGGAGGCGGTGTGGGACAGGGGACGATTCAACAAGGCCAGGTGGATCCAAGTGACCTGTCAAGGAGTGCGAGTAAGCTGATGATGGCGTTTCGGGATGTGACGGTGCAGATTGACAGCCAGAACTTCAGAGTTTCATCCTCAGTCATGGAATCATCTTCAGTCACCCTCGGAAGCTGCAGCCAACAAGAAGGGGCCTCTTCTACTGTAACAACCACTTCCACAACATCTAACTCCTCACCAGCCTCTGTCTCACATCAACAACCTCCTCCTCTACCTCCAGAGGCCCTGAGTGAACCCATAGCTTCGCTGCCACCACCGCCACAAGCACCTCCACCACAGCCAGAGGGAGAATTATCAGAAGGTGAGCAGGACATTGAATTTCCTGCTCCACCTCCAAGTGAAGAGGAGCTGCTGGATGAGGAACAACCTCCTCTGACACCTCTGGATAAAATGGCCAACTCTCAAAATCTGGAGCAACCTCCTCCTCCTCCTCCTTCAGCAGAACCCATTCACATCCCACCGCCAAAGGAAGCTGTACTGTTGGGGAGCTCACCGGTGGTGGAACCTCTAGATGTGAAGAGATGTGGTTCAGAGACGGTGGACAACAGCTCCGAACAGATGAGCAGCAGCAGTGCATCGACGGAGGCACGCTCGACTTCTGAAGCCTCATCCAAGGAGGCACTGCAGGCCATGATCCTCAGCCTTCCACGCTACCACTGTGAGAACCCAGCCAGCTGTAAGTCACCAACGCTGTCCACGGACGTCATGCGAAAACGCCTTTACCGGATTGGCCTCAACCTCTTCAATCTGTAAGTAACCATCATCCTTTTTTAAATTTGGATGAAGTAAAAATCAAACAAAGCAACATTTCTTTTCTCTCACATTTACAAAAAAGAATTGAACTGAACAAAAACAAGATGGATTTAGTGTTATTCGCGATGGCGTCTAAGTTCAAATTCAACTTCATATTAATGTACGGTGGGATTTATTGGATAAACTTTTGCTCCTCCATGTGTTTCTGAACTTTGAGTAGAGGTCAGCAGCACACCGTCCCCACTATAGATAGTGTTGGTAGCGCACTGTTTCTCCTCTCTTCACCCGAGTGTCCAAGACATGCGGCCGCAGGTCAGATGAAACAACAACAAAGTCTATCATTGAGCTGCAGCCTAAGGTATCCTGGTGCCAAGAGCACATATGGACACCTTTATGTCTGAACATGGTGTTCATTATGGACAATCCATAACTGGCACAGAAGTCCAATAACAAAACACCACTCAAATTCAGATCGGGGGGCTGTTCCTCCCAACCACACCTCTCCAGGTCTCACTGTCGTTGCCCACGTGAGAGTTGAAGTCCCCCAGGAGAATGAGGGAGTCACCGGAAGGAGCACTTTCCAGCATCCCCTCCAAGGTCTCCAAAACGGGTGGGTAGCCTGAACTGTAGTTTGGTGCATAAGCACAGACCACAGTCAGAACCCGTCCCCCCACACGTAAGCAGAGGGAGGCTACCCTCTCATTTACCGGGGTAAACCCCAACATACAGGCACCAAGATGGGGGGCAACTAGTATGCCCACCCCTGCTCGGCGCCTCTCAGTGGGAGCAACTCCAGAGTGATAGAAAGTCCAACCCCTCTCAAGGAAACTGGTTCCAGAGCCAGAGCCATGCGTTGAGGTGAGTCCGACTATATCTAGTTGGAACCTCTCAACCTCACACACCAACTCAGGCTCCTTCCCCACCAGAGAGGTGACATTCCATGTGCCAAGAGCCAGCTTCTGTAGCCAAGGATCAGACCGCCAAGGTCCCCGCCCTCGACTACCACCCATCACACACTGCACCCAACCCCTTTGGACCCTCCCACGAGTGGTGAGCCCATGGGAAGGGGGACCCACGTTTCATCTTCGGGCTGTGCCCGGCCGGGCTCCATGGATGAAAGCCCGACCACCAGGCGCTCGCCAACGTGCCCCACCTCCAGGCCTGGCTGCAGAGGGGAGCCTCGGTGACCCACGTCCAGGCGAGGGAACATGGTTTCCATTTATATAATTCATCATAAGAGGTCTTCGGGCTGCTCTTTGTCTGATCCCTCACCTAGGACCTGTTTGCCATGGGTGACCCTACCAGAGGCATAAAGCCACAGGTAACTTAGCTCCTAGGATCATTGAGACACTCAAACCCCTCCACCACGGTAAGGTGGCAGCCCAGGGAGAGGGAAGTTAAAGTCCCATTAGTTGTCACACACACTGATGTGTGTGCGAAATTTGTTCTCCACATTTGACCCATCCCCTGGGGGAATGGTGAGCTGCAGACACAGCCGCGCTCAGGAACCATTTGGTGGTTTAACCCCCTAATCTAACCCTTTAATGCTGAGTGTCAAGCAGGAAGGCGTTGGGTCCCATTTTTTCAAAGTCTTTGGTATGACCCGACCAGGAATCGAACCCTCCCATTCTCAGGGCGGACACTCTACCACTAGGTCACTGAGCTGGTCAATTGATTAGTTCAGATCAAATGGCTAATTGCAAGGAAACGCGACATGTTTTAGAAATAATCACATGTGAAGAACAAATTCAGAATACGTTGCAATGGAAGCTCAGAATATTTCATGAAAGCCATCACAGTCCATCAAGTTTTTTGGGCTTAAATAATTATAATAATCATTTTCTGGAAAGTGCCTTTCTTTTTTTGACCCTCTGGAGGCAGGCGTTGCAGATTTGCAACAGTTAAAACTTACCTACCTGGTTACTCCACATATGTATTTCACGAGCATGTTTTCACTCACCCCCGAAGGACTTAGTTGTTCACCCTTTTATCAAAACATATTTTGAGCCTGAGAGGATTAAAAAGCAAGTGACTGCACCATATTTGGTAAAACCACAATTGAATGTCAGCATCATTGCACATAACTGATTCTGGCTACAGTGCCGACCAATATTCTCTCTTTTTTCTTTTATTTTGTGCCTATTTCAACATATAAAATAGACATAAATGATAGCTGCATCAACCATTAGCTTACTAGCTTTTGTTTAAATCTAGGTTGAATCTGATTTTTCACAGATCTGGAGGAGATGACCACACACATCCCGACTTTTAACAAACATTTTCAATTCAGTCCTTTTAGAAATAATATTTTACGAGTATTTTTCCTTTTCTTTCGCCCTTCAATCAAACCTCATCTCATTGCTCTTATCAAATACCAAAGATAAGCTGACTTGTAATAAACTGGCAAAGAGAGCAGAAAGCGATAGAGAAGTGTAAAAAGAGAGAAAGCAATTGAGCTTAAGGCTTATTAGTTCCACCAGCTCAAATCCCCTCACCATACCTGCACAGTGATGTCCTTTGCATCTTAAACAGGGCTGTTTGCTTTGGGCTAAAATGCTACTATTGCTTAATCATGCAGACAAAAATGAATAAAGAAATGTCTCACATGCATAAGTTGGGTCATGCAAACTCCAAATGTGCATGCCCAGTGCATCTACAGTGTTATGACGATTATGGTAGAAAGTCATATTTAGAGATAAACTGGGTGATTTAGTTAAACGTCTGGTGTCTGCATGCCTGAAAAACAGACAGGTGAGAGATGGAAATGAAGTGCTGAAGCAACTGGAGGGCACACATAAGGTTGAGATAAAGTCCACTTGTTAAAGTTTTACTCTGAGTGTGGACAGAATGACAATAACTCTTGTATGAGGAGGGTGTGTGTCAAGGACGCAGGAGAGCTGCACTGCTAAAGCAGAGATTAGGCCTAGAGAGAAGGGAGGATGTGTGACATTAACAGCAGGCTCTTATCCAGATTTATCTTTTTGCATGCATGACGTTCTCCATCATTTTGGCATATATGAAATTCCTCCTTTTTTAATGCTAATGTGGCAAACACACTGATTGGCCATTAGAGCCCAGTGTGGCACATCCCGATCAGTTCCCCATCATGCATGGAAATGAAGCATCATCAGAGCTCCCCAAATTAAAGAAATGTCAGTGTGGAGAGAGCGTGCGAAAGAGACATCTAAATACACATGTCAAGCAGGGCTGATTAACACAGCAAAGCATGCCAAACTCCTCTGGAGAAAAGTCGCCCATCAGGAGGCACGAGCTTCATAAAAATCTCACGGTATGTACATATTTATTTCAAAGTGGTGGGTGTTTGTTTCGGCACACACAATTCAGTCCTATATTAGTATTCTGCTCTCAGTGCTGAACAACCCAGCACTTAATTATAAAGTCTAAAATCCAGATGGCAAGCAGAGGGAGGATTTCTAATACTTTCCCCCAGAATGCAGCACCATTTCATCTTCATTTGATAAGGATTTCTGAAAAAAAAGTTTATTAGTTGTATTTTTGAAATATTTTTAACTCTGGCTTATGTAAAAAAAAATAAAAGCAGGAGATAGATGACTTTTTGTTGTATCTGTGCTGCATTCTCTCTGAATTTGTGCATTTCATAAAATCACACGTTCTAGCGAATCCTTGTATTTACTAGTAAGAAAACACACAGCAGTACTTACACTCTGAGAAATGCAAGGCACACATCAGTCTGTTGCTGGTTGATAATGAAGCAGAACTTTTGGAGAAACAGGCAACATTTAGTGCTGACAGTCAGGCTCTGGTGAGTCATGAAACACGGTTCAGATGTTCTGCCACGGCACATCTGTTCATTAGTAATAAAACAGAGAAGCAATAAAATGTCATTGGAAAGAAGGTCAGGGAATTACTTATTTACAACACTGCATCTAGATGATGCAAAGTGAAAAAAATGGTGGTAAAAATGTAGGAGATGGGAGATGGTGGGCGTCACTCAACTGATTTAGGAGGTTTTCACTTCAGCATGATGTTGAGGTTCCCGCATGGTGGTGTCAGGCATATCCAGTAACCTCTGTTATCTGATAAAAACACACTTCTTTAGAGCTCCGTCCAGTTTTCTAATTTTCACTCATTTACTCCCCCCTGATTACAAGTAATAATCACCATGTGCGATCCATCTGTTGTTGGGCAAACGTCATATGAGTGATATCTGCCAAAGAGACATCACCTTCAGCTGAGAGAGCGAGCTAACAGCTGAGAGAGCACTGAGGCGTTCATGGTGGGTGCTGTCAGGCCAGCCTGCGTCCCTCACTGTCGTTACCACACATCTGCTTTTGCCCGCTTGTTTTCCGGCCTCCTCCTCCCATCCTGCACCTTACTAAACCCGTCAGCTATGCCACATGCTCACACGTGCCGATTTCTTTTGTGCTAAATCTTGAACTTAAACATGGGATAAAGACTAGAATAGAAAAGCTGTAATAATAAGCATTAGCCTCCCCTGCAGCTAACCTTCTTTGCATTTAATGTGTTTCTAAAAGTCAGGAAAATCACTCCTCTGAGTACATGCATGTGACTTCTACCATGCATTCATCTGACTTGTAATAATTTTAAAGTATCAATGTGTAGATATTTCATTTGTCTGTGTTTCTAACCATGTAGGTCAGTAAACCAAGCATTTTGAACTTCTTACATAGAACTGGTAGCCTAGTGAACTAGACCAAATTCTTTAGTCTGGCTTGCCAGGCTATAGAACTGGTGCTCATGTGGAAAAAGGAAATTGATGCTGCAGACAGACGAACAAATGGACGGACAGATAGAGATCCCTATCACAATCTTCTTTCAATCCCTCTGTTCTTCTTTTGTCTGTTACAGAAACCCAGACAAAGGCCTTCAGTTCCTGATCTCACGTGGCTTCATCCCAGACACGCCCATCGGTGTGGCACACTTCCTGCTTCAGAGGAAGGGCCTGAGCCGACAGATGATTGGAGAATTCCTGGGAAACAGCAAAAAGCCTTTCAACAGAGACGTCCTAGAGTGAGTGACACACGTTATTGACCGGGATCATTTTATGTGAGTTTCACACACAACTGTGGATGCAATAAGAGGTTCTGTAAACACAAAAACAACAAGACAGTTGAAAGTTGACATGCATGATCCTATTTAGCATGAATATTTAGTTTACAGATCCTTTTTTCATTACACAGAATAATGCTGCCACTTGAAACTTTAACTAGTGTTGAACCTCTGCAACGTTGCTGTTTTCTCACAAACCATCTTCCCGATGGTCAGATCTGACCTTTAACGATTCCTGGGGCTTATTCCAACTTTATTTACTCCTCTGAAAAAAAGACATTCTGAATTAGCCTAAAAATACAGTCACACAAATAAATAAATGACACGTGTCAGACCATTTTACCTGTCATTTTGAAAATTCAATGAATATTTGAAACAAAGAAAAGGGAATTACAATAAATCCCTCACCACCTTTAATGCAGGTTGGGGACAACGGTGGCTAAGGGGTTAGGAAATCACCCTGAATTCGGTGGGTTGCCGGTTTGAACACAGGCTGAATCCGTACCGGTCACTGTGTCACTGGGCAAGACACTCCACCATTCTTGACTGCATGTGGTGGTCAGAGCTGTGTAGCCATGCCTCTGCCAGTGTTGACGTAGCTCATCACCACCCGCTTATGGATCATCGACATATAAATATTAGACAATGGGTTTCCATAGGCTCCAATAACACATTTTTGAAGATAAATGGGAGGTGGCCACCACCGCCATTTTGATCGTGTCACAGGTTCCGTCAAGCCCAGACAATTCCACAAAAGGGAAGAGAGGTGGAGCTGAGGGTGGGGCTGTAAGGCTGGGAACAGCTGACGACACCCGGTCGAGCTAGCTACAAGCTAACCTGAAGTTAACCCAAAGCTAACGCGGAGGTGGGAGCTAAGCTAACTGAGGTAGCAACCTAGCTACAACCGGAGTTAACTGTGCACAACACCAGAGCTTCTGAGTCAGAGATACGCCGGGCTGACCGCTGGATAAAACCGGGTGGAACACAGAGGTCTCCCGAAAGCTGCTGAAAGCCGGCAGCCGCGCAGCAGACAGAAGCCGCGACCAGACAGATGCGCCGAGCTGCGGGGAGGGGAGAACGGGTGGAAAACATTGGTCTCCCGAGAGTTCCACAAGCCGATAGTCGGAACCGAGCTCCACCAACATGTTATATTTCAACCCATTTTCTAAAGTGCAGCATTATGTTAAATGCACTGGGTTTTACCCTATTACATTTAAATTTAATGGTTAAACAGTACATGTTAAAATCTAAGCTCAGCTCGGCAGTGACCTAAAATACATAAATATAATTTTACTTACCGAAAAAAATGAAGTGGAGACTCCTCGGACGCTCTATTAGTGCAATTAATGCCCCAGCAAGTCATTTTGTCCAACAATTGCACTAAAAATATCCCAAAAAGAATACACAAACGCAGAGACTCAAAATCCCAGAGCAGTTTCCAAGCCAGACCGAGGCTCTACTGAGGCCTTTCCACGGAGCTAGCTCTGTGGTCACGTGGGTCTGATGCTCATTAATTATACAGAATTTTAGGCTTTTAATACACTTAAACAGAAGAGTGAGAAAAAAATTCACCCCCCTCAGAGTTGTCATGAGTGTAAACTAGATAATTTAGACAAAAAACATGTTTTGGTACCAGGCTTTAAACATGTTTATTTCTGCTGTGAAACTGGTATTTTTAACATGGGAGTCAATGAGGATTTGCTCGCTTCTGACACCAGCCCCAAGTGGATGAGGGTGGAACTGCAATTTTTGGTACTTCCGGGATTGCTTCAATTTTTGAGCCGCATTGTGGGGGCTTGGTATGGATGGATGAATGATTCACTGTGGTGTAAAGCACTTTGGAGTCCTCTGAGTTAGAGAGGTGCTATAATGTAGGTCACCATCACTTATGCATGTGAATCAGAGTCGAAGGGACTCTTTTTTTAAAGACAAGTACGTTTTCTTGCTAATGTGAGGATTCATTACACTGCCACTGCTTTAATTGTATTTATTTTTTTAGCCTTTATTTAACCAGATGAGTGGATTGAGAACTCTCATTTAGGACAAGCTGGCCAAGAGACAGCAGCAACAGAGACACAAGCAGCTTTGCACCAAAGAACAAACAAATGATAAAAACAAACAATTTTAAAAGATAAAAACAGTTAGACATCCTACAGGAAAACTTACAGGCTTGGAATCTTTACTCTAGAAATAAAGATGTAGAATAGAGTCCCTTTGGAGTCTGTTTGATTTTCTAATTTAAGATTATTTAATCTTAAGAAATGATGGCTTTTCAGACGATGTGGTGAATCCTTATGCACTGTTTAATAATGCAACCAGTTAGCACTGAGTTATGAAGTTATCAGTTGTAAATATATTTTAGATAAATATTGTACAATTGACTGAGTTAAAGCCATTGCTGTGAACCAGCTTCATGGCTGTCTATAGGGTTGACTCCAAGAGCTGCACATCCATCAATTACTTTCTAAGTATTTCAGTAAAATCCTTCCAGCGTCCGTGGGGCAGTTTGATAACAAAAACATAAAAACAATATTCTATTTTGAACAATTAAATATGTACAAAACAAATGCGAAAGTTGGTTTGAAAATAAGTAACAAGCACCCTTTTAGCCTTTCCTAGTCTCCATAATCACTGAGATGACCCGGAGTTTGAGTTAGGCAAGGACAGATGTCTCTCTGTAGTATTAGTCATCAAATAAATGTGAAGATACTGTTAACACACACGCACACGCACACACACACACACACACACACACACACACACACACACACACACACACACACACACACACACACACACACACACACACACACACACACACACACACACACACACACACACACACACACACACACACACACACGCACACACGCACACATGCACACACACACACACACACACACACACACACACACACACACACACACACACACACACACACACACGCACACATGCACACAGGACTCACAGCATTCTGTGTGTGTGCATGTAATTCCAGGTCATTAACCTGATTGCTTCTGTAACCACCCCAACCACCCACTCACCCTCTTCCTCTCCACAGTTCCTACTCACTGATTGTCCTTTTTGTTCAATAACATTCTCCTTTCCACTAATAGCTTTAAATTCACGCATCAGTTCACTAAGACTGTAACTTTTATTGTTTTATTACTCATTTAGCCACTGAAACAGAACCAGTATTAGCAAGGAAACAAAATATGGCAAAGCACTCCACTGAGTGGTAATTTCCCTCATCTGATATCCATACGTTCTAATAAGGACTCTATTAGAGTTCAAAACAGGCTTGTTAACAAGGTTGTGCTCTTAAAGCTTCATGCATCTATTCATAGTGCTGATATGGTCTTGCGGAGGTAAGGATATATGGACATATGGAGTGTTCTTCCTGTTTCCTTTATGGCCTTCAAACAGCAGCCTGAGGACGGAGAAGTGATGCTGAAGTGGAGTGTGATAGGAGAGTGCAAAGTGTGCGTGAGAGCACTTTCCATAAAGTGTTGTCACAGTGATGGATTGCAATCTAATGTGAAAATCCCTCATAGTGATTTGTTGAGCCTGAATGTGTGTGTGTGTGTGTGTGTGTGTGTGTGTGTGTGTGTGTGTGTGTGTGTGTGTGTGTGAGTGTGTGTTTGTAGCTCTGTGACTGTGTACGTGTTGCTTATCATAGTCTCTTTTCTCCTTACATATCATTCTTTTTATTTCTCTTCCAGACAAACAAAGGTTAAAACATCTAAAGCTGATTAAAGTGCAGATTAACTGGAAAACCATCTTTTATTTATTTATTTATTTAAATAATCACTCAGAGTTTAACACACAGGCTGTACTGAAAACAGTCTTCTAATCTTACTTCCTGCATTGGCTTCAGATGGAAAACGCTGGGATCAGAAAAGCCGGACAGATCTACGTCACTCTGTCACTTAAAGTTCATGGGCTCACCCGTCTTCCGACGAGGAATGCTGCTGTTGGTTTAGCGTCCAGCAAATAGCAGAGAACATCTTAACTAGCAGAAGCTAACTGTTAGCATTAGCAACTCCCCCACAGAGCGGAACTCCTCCAGCTGACTTCTACATCCTCAAACAGGCGCACCAGAGCTTTTTTTCCACAGAAAAGGACTTACAGAGCATTCAGTCATACCAGAGGCCACTGCAACTGTATTATAAATATGAGTAAAGTTGATGTTTAACAGTTATTTCCTGGAAATGCGTGACTCCTAGGAAGATTTGCTCCTATGTAGCCACTTGGGTCAGCAAGAAGTAACATCCAAATGTGGTTGTACATATTTCCCATCTTGGCTTTGTGCAGTCTTGCAATATAGATTTTTGTGTCTGTGAGTCTTATTTTTGTTTGCAAATCAGCCAAGCGTGTGATGGTAACAATGTGAGCTCGTCTATGTTCCAACAATAGAGTGCCGAGCTCCGTTCAGCATTGAGCACGCATGGAGGAGAAGGAAAGGCTGGTGCACTTGGGCTGGAGAGCATGCTGTCTGACATCACATAAACAAGGAGTGACAGGCCGGAGAGAAGGGAGAGAGGAAGTGAGTCATGACAAGGCCCACAGGAAAGGCTGAAGAGTTGAGAGTCAATCAAGAGGATGATCAAGTCATGCTAAATGCGCTGCCTAACCTTTGTGAAAGTGGTGGCATGGTCTTTTTCATCCAAAACCACACATGCAGTTTAACTCTCTGTTTCCTGGATTTGCGTTGGTTAAACAGACTGAAATTTGACTTGTCCTGTAAAAGAAACATGCTGATGTCTTTTGGAGCCTGCATTGACTTAAGATGGATGGAAACAAATTTGGAAACTGCCTGATGGGCTCATGTCCTTGTTATCAGCTTGCATGTGAACAGCCAGCATCTATGCTGGCATAAGGGGCACAAATTAGTGCATGTGTCACAGTAACTTGTTCTTCTGAGGAAGGCAACGCTCATTTCAGACAACGGGGATGTAGGCTTTGGGTGCAACATTAGCTGTTGTCAGCCAGACTGTCATTTACTGACAAACACTGTGTGTGTCCTACTGCAAGGATCCACAGTTATTTAAAAAATGTTTATTTTGACTGGTTCAGGTTTTAGACAGTCGGAAAATAGCAGCTGAAATGTTACATAAGTAAAATTAGGAAAATGTCATCCATTAAAGATTAATGTTTAGGTTTGTAAATCTGACTCCATTCTCAGCTTGGTGCTGAGCGTTTTGGAAGTTCTTATATAATGCATTGCTCTTTGGACCATAGGGTTTTGTTTCTGCAAAGTAACATAAGATTCATCTCCTGAAGTGTTGATTTTGAAAACTTGTCCAGGGGTTGCAATATGCCGTGTCTTTCTGTGTACAGCAGTGCTGTAAAATCAGCTGTTTTACTTCTTTCTGCTGGAACAGCACATGCCATACTCAGCTACTCAGCTCATAAACTCTGTTCACACTTTCCTATTATAATTCATTGTGTGTGTGTGAGTGTGTGTGTGTGTGTGTGTGTGTGTGTGTGTGTGTGTGTGTGTGTGTGTGTGTGTGTGTGTGTGTGTGTGTGTGTGTGTGTGTGTGTGTGTGTGTGTGCTGCAGGTTTTTTTTTTGTACAACAAGCAGAAAAGATCAGAGACAAAGGCCAAAGTCTTTACGCAGCTTTATGCTGAACCTAACCAGATTTTCAGTTTTACTCCATAACCTCCTTTTGGAAATGCTGTTTGAGGTAAATGACGAAAAATACATTTTTATTTCATGGTTTTATTATCACCATGGATACAATAAAACAAGGGGACCTTTTAGAGCCTCAATCCTTTTTCCAAACTTAGTTTAGGATTAAAACTTTAACCTGCCCAAATGATGTTTGTCCTATCTGACTTCATTATAGCCAACGTTTTGAATTTTAGGTAATTAAAGGACCGTTTCAGCTGAGAGGTATTGTGTGTATTTTGCATGCATTAGCAACTGTGGTGCAGAAATGATTGCTGGGGTTGGTCTAATCCCTGGTGTGCATTCGTGGCTATAATACCTGCAGTAAGAGCCTGCCCTGCCCATATGTTGTCTCGTCCTCAGGTTTATGCAGCCCACTAGGGAAGGGGCAGCCGCTGTTCTTCTGCCAGTTTCTCACTCCCCCCATTCTGTGCTCCACAGCTGTGTCGTGGATGAGATGGACTTCTCAGGTATGGAGCTGGATGAAGCACTCAGGAAGTTTCAGGCTCACATTCGTGTCCAGGGAGAAGCCCAGAAGGTGGAACGTCTTATTGAGGCCTTCAGGTACTAAAATCAGATTATTAAACGATAGCTGTTAAATCAAATGAAGCTCACACATTTTTTCCAAATTGTTCCTTTTTCTGCAGATTCCCACTAATTTGGTTTCTGCTTCATTTTGACAGAGTGAAAATTGTGTCTCTGCTGCCACAAACTTGTAAAAGAAAAATTCTTATCATGACTTAACAGTGTATTTTTTTGTTTTTTTGTTTAAAGGGGACATTTTACGCAAAACACACGTTTTGCATCATTTTAGCTGGAATGGGTCTTTATAGAAGGTTCTGAAAATATCAGGAATCAATTTGCTGAAATTGCCTAATGTTAGACTGATTTTAAGCAAATAACTTGTTTTGTATATCAGAAAACTATATGTCATAATGTATCCCCTATAAGCATATTTTGATGCAGAACTAATGCTTTTTGTATCAAACCTAAAATATTTTGAAAGCATGAAATATGGTGCACAGAGATATAAATCATATTTTATTTTACATTAAATTCATAGTCTTGTGTTAAACCTACAAAAATTAAATATACGTGTATATTACTATTTAACTAGATTACATCAATATTCACATACACTAAAGAGGATGCATGAACATGAACACAAAAGTCATTCTTATTTTTCTGGTTCTGAAATCTAACCTCCTTCTGAATAACCAAGCAGCAAGAACATCTCTGGTCACAGTTTGCAAAGAGGGACAATCTGCAGTGCAGCGGCGACATGGAGTGCTATTGCTGCATGTTTGCCATAACCCCTCTCTAATAACCGCCACCTGTCAAAGTTGTCAAGGTGCCCAATGAGGAGAAAAGCGGCTGCATTGTGAAAGTGGGGAGAACGCTTGGCAGTGGTGATGTTTACACATCAGGCTGGATCTGTGTGCTATTAGGAGCAAGAAGAGGAGGGGGGGGGGGGGGGGGGGGCTGGGAAGGAAGAAGAGAAGGGGAGAAAAGGGAAAGAGGGAGGATGGTTTATAAATAACCAGCGTTGCATAACAGCTACTGCCTCTGTGTGCCTGCCTCCCCTGCTCCCGGGCTTTGAAATGTCTACACACACACACACACACACACACACACGCACACACACACACACACACACACACACACACACACACGTGCACGCACACACACACACACACACACACACACACACACACGTGCATGCACACACACACACACACACACACACACACACACACACACACACACACACACACACACACACACACATGTGCATGCACACACACTCACACACACATGTGCATGCACACACACAGAGAGAGAGGGAGAGAGAGAGAGAAACCTCCAAAGAGGGTGAAGGGGATTTGAAGAAGCAATGTGCAAGAATCTGAAGGAAACAGGGAAAAGGAAGGCAGCCAGCAGCGTTGATATCTGCTGCGTCAGAGTACTAATGAGTGAGCAAATATGAACCTGCTCCTAGTGCGGCTGATACATTCAATTCCTTTTTTCCCTTCTGCATTACAGCTAGCAATCCTGTAATCCTGTCATCACCAACTGTCTCTCTGTTTGGCACAGAGATGATAATTATTATAGATAAAGACCACAATTTAGTCCTTGAATCCAACCAAAGGGCACATAACGACTCAACGATCTGGTTTGCTAGTTTGGAGAACAGCAGGAAAAGTTAAATTAGAGGAAGACTTTTCAGTGAAAAACTTGTGTTCAAGGTCAACTTCAGAGACAGCAAGTTGTCCAAGTCATCAGCCCTCCACCTCCGTGCTGACATGAGACATTTGTGTTGTTTGACTCTCACCAAACATGGCACTGTGCATTTTGGCTCTGCATGCCATCTTTGGTGTGATTTATCCTAAGAGCATTTTCCAGAGGATTTGTGCTTCATCTAGATAAACATTTGCACAGCTCAGTTGAGTTATTTTATAGAGTAAAGGATTTCTTCTGCAACCCTTCCGAACAAGCTAAACTTTTTCATTTTGTTCTTTTATCTTTCTCGGTCTTTACTTTCAGTTATCACCCACTAAATGAATCCTGTAACATTTGAGAGTCAGCCCATGGCCTTTTTGCTAATTCTTTTTAGTGCTCTGACCTCAGAGTGAAATTGGTGTGATGTTTAAGATTGTCAGTATTCACAATTTATTTCTTTTTCCTGTAGGGAATAATCTTCCTCTCGGTTGGAACAATTGACTTCTAATTGTTTGGAAATGGCTTTTTAAAGCCCTTCCCAGCTATGCTTCTCTGAGGGTATTGCTAATGTCTTTCCTTCTTGGTATTAATACACACCTGTGACCTATCAACAAAATGCTAAAACTCCTGTTTTATACGGGGTCTCCTTTGGGGATGATTGGATGATCAAATGCATCTGATTAGTAACACCAGGCTCTTGTCATCACTCATAAACCCCAGGAAAGCAGGAATGGTGGACTATGTTTATCCAGGAGCTCATTAGATTACCGTTTTGTTTAAAGATTCAAATAAAATCTTTAGATAAATGCTATAAAAAACGTGTTAAAGGAGTAATTATTTTTTAGAAATCCAAAGGGTTCAAATGAAGGCAACTGGACTTCTTTGGTTTCTTGAAGATGTTTTGCTTCTCCTCTGAGGAGATTTGTCAATTCTGATTGGATTTTGGGAGAGTCAAGCTTATAAACTGTAGTTGTCTATGTTGCTTAATGGGCAGAAACTACCTACCTATTTATTTATTTATTCAACCAGGAAGGTCCCATTGAGATTAAAAACCTAATTTTCAAGGGAGTCCTGGCCATGAGGCAGCAAAAGTTACAGTTACAAATTTTCAGCTCCACAGACATGTTATACAAAATTGCAGAAGGCAGTTAAAACACAGGGATTCCGTCTCAATGGGTCGTAGTCTGGTTTTAAATGTATTCAAGGAGATAAACTCAGTTAATTTCCAGTTTTCCTGCAGCCTGTTTCATGCAGATGGAGCAGGGTGAACAAAAGCCCTTTTGCCCAGTTCGGTACGAGCGAATGGAACACAAAATAACAATTGATCATTTACACACTGACTGTGAGAAGTTACACTTCTCCGTGAGATTAATTTACAGATGTACAGTACACAGTGGCAGCTTCTGCAGGTGCTATGAAGGAGCTAGTCTTTTTATTGAGGGTGCTATGAAGGAAGTGGTTCTGCGTACCTATTGTTCTTTAAAACACCTTCAACACTAGCAGACACATGCGTGCACAAAACCTCAACAACACCTGAAACAATCATTAATATACATCATAAACATGTGAACAATCACTGACTTTTCCATGAAATCATAAACACATACAGCCACACAGAAAACCATCTATAGAGTTGCAAGGTTAGCTAACGTTAGCGTTAGCATTTCCAGCTGCAAAACCCTCGACTGCTGCGGCGGTTGAGGGTTGACTCTCTTCATCCAGATCCGTAGGTTTTTGTGGGTCTGAGATCACTACCAAAGATTCATTTGTTTCTGACTGAACCTGTGGAAATTTGGGCAACAAAAACCGATCCATTTTACCACTAGCTCTACCTTTCACTCGTTCACAGGTGGAACATGAGGTCAAAGGTTAACATCAATTTCCTGTTTTGGTAAAAGTTTTTACTATCTATATGATAATTTACTGATTGTTTTTGTTTTGTATGTTAAATATTATCACATCCACACGTGAAATTAAAATTCAATCGGAAAAAAGAAATCTAATATTTATATGTTACGATATATAATATTATAATGAATAGTAAGCTGAAATGTTTGCTACACATACTGCATTCTGTCAATCAAACGAACAAATCAAACATTTTTTAACACATCAAATAGAGCTCTTCACCCATTTGGCCAACTGGGTGGGTTCCCATAGGTTAGAAGCCCGCCACTGAGGAGGACGACACTTAATTTTGATGGTTAGCAAACACCAGAGTTAGCTTAGTTCTGCTCTTTTTGCTGATTCTGCTTTTCCCGGGATCCCCTGATTGACTTTTCTTGCCTATTTTCTTTTTCCCTTTCCTCACATCTTTTGCTTTTCTCTTTTTTATGATTTTTTTTATTTCTTTGTTTTTGATTATTTTAGTTTCTGGGTTAAGTTTTTATTTATTGCAAGTAATATCGTCATCACAATATTAATCACTGTTATCGAGTTCTCCTTGCATCATGCAGCCCTATATTCCTGAACATATAATTTATCAAGCTTCAATATACAGTAGGTGGGTAGTAATCCAAGCATGGCCTTATACATGAAGGTGGACCAATGACCCAACCTCCTGGTGGATAAAGCAGGCCATCCCACTCAAGAATACAATTCACGTTGATGGGTCAGTGGTCTACAGTTAGTAATAAACCTCAGCGAGGTCTGATAAACCACATCAATCTTACCAAGACACTGTGCTGAGGCATTCATATACAAAAGGTCTCCATAATCCAGATTAGACAGAAATGTTGCAGTAACTAGTAATTTTTTTGACTCAGCTCAACTCAACGCAAGCTTTATTTCTAAAGCGCCTTACAGGCACAAGGGTGACACCAGAGTGCTGTACAGACATGTGTTAGTAATAACAGGACAAGGATTAAAATAAGAATAAAAACACATACTAAAAAACCATTAAAACAGCATACAAATTGCATTATTAAAAGAAAATAAAAATGGCCAAGGGTAAAGGCCAGATCAAATAAAAAAGTCTTTAGCCTGACCTTAAAAACTGTCACTGATGGTGAAGAACTCATTCCAGAGTTTTGGGCCTGCCACGGAAAAAGCCTAAAACATTAATTGATTGTGTCATCAGCATAAAAGTGCATGTACAGGTCTATGAATACCCCTCCTCCCTACCCCAACGAGTCAGTGATGTCATTAGGTCCTGTTGTGTTAGAATGGTTGTTCTGATGCATGTTAGATGCAGGAGGGTGTGACCTAAACTCAAATTGTTTTGTAATTAGGTTTAGAGCATTACTGTAGGTGCTGGGAAGGTGAAACCTGAGGCCGCCTCCTCAGTTTGTTGTGGGTATTTCCCATTTGCTACAGTTTATAAGCTTGACCCGCCCATATTCCAGCTAGAATTGACAAAGCTCTTCACATGAGAAGCAAAACATCTTCAAGAAACTAAAGAAGTCCAGTTTCCGTCATTTGAACCCTTCAGATTGCCATCACCAGGATGACTGAGAATCTTCACCAAAGCGTTTTTTTTAATGCATTTTGTAAATGCAAGTATCATCAGGTAGAGAAGACCGAACATCTGGGATTCATTTGAAGAAATGTTGCTTTATTTTCAAAAATTACGTCCCTTCCAGTTTTCTGTGTTGGATCCAGTGGGAATAAATGTGTTCACACATGCACACACACACACACTGATACAGCAGCACATCCTCGACCTCAGCTACTGTGAAAATCATTGCTGCTGCAGATGAAGTCATGGGTCAAATTAAAGCCATAACTCTTGTTTGTGCGTGACACTCTAATGCTCAGCTTGTAATGATTTTCAGGAGCATGTTGTGGGCTGAGACCTGTTTTATGTGTGATATTATATTATCTTCCATTTCTGTCCTTCACATTTATTCATTCATCTGTAAACTTTTCATCCTCGGGTCCTCACATCACTTTCTACCAAAGTAAATGGGATATTTTTCTTGTTGTCTCGCTACAACTAAACTGTCTCTAAATTTCTTTCAAACTCGGTTCCTTTTCTCTACCCACAGCCAGCGCTACTGCATGTGCAACCCCGATGTGGTGCAGCAGTTTCACAATCCAGATACCATCTTCATCCTGGCATTCGCCATCATCCTGCTCAACACCGACATGTACAGCCCCAACATCAAGCCAGACCGCAAGATGATGCTGGAGGACTTCATACGCAACCTGCGAGGTAAGGGGCCTCAGCATTATGCATAAGCTGTTTGTAAAGAAGCACACCGGGGGAGTTCAATGACAGTAATTAATTTGTATAATCCCCTAAAGCAGGTAAGTGTTGGTGTGTGTCACATGAAAAGGGCCAAAATAATTGTATTTGAGCTGAATATTTCATGCTGTGGGTGGAATGAAGCACGTTTTACATCACATTTTGAAGTGTAATTATTTTGTGGTGCAAAGCATGAGACTTTATTTTACAGTTAAGCTTGGATTATGCTTGACACATTTACTTTCCACTTGGTGATGCGGCTCGCGGATGGAACGCGCTTCACAACTCGCAGCGTTTATGGTTCAAGCGGCTCGTCTCTGCGGTGAGCCAATATTCCCCCAAACTGAACGGGGCAGCATGGAGCTCTACTGCATGCATCCAACACTACACCATAGTAGATGTAAAAATTACTGTTTACAACATGGCATTCCAGCATTTTTAACAGCGTTCTCGTCTTTTCCGACAGTGCGAGCTATTTCTCTCCAATAATTATTAACAACATGTTGATCACGGTGATCTCTGAGAGCTGAATCATACAAATGTCTGTAATTACGAACCTCTGCCATATCTAGTTCTTGCCGGTCCGCCATGTTTTTCCGCGTCCGACCGTCCGCGTGGTTAAGAAATTTTCCTAGGTGCACGTGCGGAAATTTTGGGCCGTGCGGAGGCGCGGTGGAGGGCCGTGGTTGTTAAAATGACGCAATTTCGCCGCGCAGAGCCGCGCAGAGCCATGCGGACCTCACGGACGCGTCAAGCATAAAACAACCTTAGGATTGCTAAGTGCATAGGAAAGAACACCCGTACTGGTTTTGTCTGGGATTTGAAACTTTTGGGTGATCTATCCACAGACGTCTGTCAAGTTTAGTAGAAATATATATATTTTTTGTTTCGATTTGAACAGAAAAATGGTTCAGAATTAGTTTTTCCCAACTCCTCTCTGGATTCATCTCTTCCTGCACCACCAAGCAGCAAATCTCCAGATAAGCAGAAGCATAAGTCAAAGTCCAACTGGTTTCAAATTTGCAGTCAGTTAAACCTGCCAACATAAATTCTAGAGATAAAGATAAGGTTACATTTTTCTCCCTGTATACAAACATGCTTGAAAAACCCTCTCACTGTGACACAGGCCAAAGACGCTTGTACATTTTCTCTTCAGCATGCAGACCATGGTAATTCACTGTGAGTAGAGGGAGAGACACGAGACCGTAGCTTGTTTTTCCCCATCTGTGTAATCAATCAGAGACTGCTGAGGTCGATGCAGAACAACTTTACTGCATTCATCCAATCTGTTCCTCACAATTAAATTATGTTGGAGAATCAATTTCAGCATCTTATGCAAATGAAGGTATGCTACTCTTGTTTTGCCTATCTATTAATCTCTGTTCATTTTCTTCCTCTCATATCAAACAAATCTATTATTTTGCAGTTAAACTTTTGATCTTTTGCCCATTTATAATTTTTTTGATTGCATCCTGTTTTTTAATATTCTGTCCACAGTTGACTGTCCCACACACTGACAGAAGAACAGTTCACTTGACTAGCTGAGGTTGGGTGCAATTAAGCACCTGAACCCAGCGGTAATGACAAACAGTGGCACATTCATTAACTCGACTGAAACAGACTGACGGTGTCAAAGCCCTCTCTTAATGAGGCGCATTAATTTAATCCAGTTTCTGCGATGAATGATTCTAGTGCACTTATGAGATCGTGTTATTTGCTCATTGTGATATTTTTAATTCATTGTTTTTGGAGGCTGATTATAGCAGAAATTTTCATTAATATTTCTCCTTTTGTTTGCTAGAAGACATGTTGATTCCCTGATTTATTTACACCGAGATGAGGTGTACTTCTGAAAGCTTCAAATTAGATGGAATAAAACTGTAAATAACGTGCTTCCCACCCTTAAGAGGTCACTTGTTTAATGGTTGCAGGGCATATTTCTGGCAGAAAAAACACTTTTGGTCCCATATGAAATGTGTTTCCATGGAAAAGTTGTGCATGAATTCCAAACGTTGATAAGCATAAACCCAAACTCTGACCAAATCTCTCTTAGGGTCAGCAGTAGCTCAGGGGGTTGTCCAGTAATCTGAAGGTTGCAGGTTCAATCCTGGCTCTGACCAGAGAATTCTGCTGTTGTGTCCTTGGGCAAGACACTCAACCTGCCTTGCCTGCTGGTGGTGGTCAGAGGGACCAGTGGTGTCAGTGCTCAGCAGCCTCGCCTCTGTCAGTGCATCCCAGGGCAGCTGTGGCTACATCGTAGCTCATCCATCTGGTAACGTTGGGATCTCTCAACTCGTGCAACACACCAGCATCGATGTGGAATGCACGGGAAGTTATTGGCAAAGAAACTGAGACTGAACAAACAGAAATCCATCAGGAAAAAAAAGTTCTTATTAAACTCTTGAACACTTTCCTCTGCGGCCATCTCCTCCTGACTCTAATGTGCAGTGATGTCCCAGGGTGCCTCAATGACATCCCATCATTAGTGGCCGCTTCGTTTATTTTATTTTATTTTATTTTTTCACACACATCCTGCCCCATTGAAAAGTCAATGTACCACACAGTGCAGTATAGCTGTGTTGATATAATGGGGAGCAATTTGAGGGCAACCTTTTGGCCTAATGACATGCAGCTTTACCTGCTTCGAAGTGAACTGGCTTTGAGCTGCTTCGTGTTTCTAGACAGAAAATCTTCCATGTGCAAGGTGGGAATGTTAATCTCCTATTTGCCAATTAACCTCCTCTCACTCATCGCCCTTAGTCATTACTTAACAGAGACAGTGAACGACAGAAAATCAAAACAGAGCAAACACAAGGACAGAAAGTCGGAGCTTTCTTTGCACTACTTGCACAGAATATGTTGCATTCATTTTATCCTTAAAGCAACACAGATCCAGGTGGACTGCTGTAACTCCATAGCCGTTCAGAGTCCAGGTTGTCAAATATAATCAGCTTGTTTCCATCTCAGGTGTGGACGATGGTGCAGACATACCCAAAGACATGGTGGTGGGCATCTACGAAAGAATACAACAGAGAGAGTTGCGCTCCAATGAAGACCATGTCACTTACGTCTCCAAGGTTGAGCAGTCCATCGTCGGCATGAAAACGGTGAGGACACACTCTTGGTTATTTTTACTCTACAGCCACAAATATTTTAAACAAGCTAGCGTTAACAGACAAAAATTCTTTGATTTTATTGAATTGTTTGGCTCCTAGAAAATAATTTTATTCCACAGAATTAAAAACTCAGATGCTATTCCAGCCCTAATCATAATCACCTTGCATACTTATTATTCATTAAACGTCTCATTAACAGCTCAACCATTACCTCAGGTCATTACTCCTAGATACATCATTAACTACTGACATCATTACACTCATCTCAACATTTTCAAATCAACTTTATGACCTTTTTTGTAGATGAATTTAAACAGCGCCCTCTGTGGCCATCTTCCACATGTTGAATGGGATAGAAATGAACGTATTATTCTGTTAAAGTTAAAGGCGTTTACCACTCATTTAGTCAATGAATTTGTCTCTGGTAGGAATGAATACCTTGTAAGTCGTACTCTGGGGAAATAAAGCCCAGAAGCACCTCCAGCATGGAGAATTCAGCTGGAGAACAAAGTAGCTCCAGACAAGATTTGGAGTCTTACTTCCTGATATTTGGACATATACACCGTAAATCCTCTAATATTAGGCTGTATTTAATTAACTGCCGGGTATCATATTTTGGTTGGTGTCTGAGTCGGTGGAGGTGAATAATGGCCGTTTTTTTTTATTGTGGCCGGGTAGAATGTGGTAACAAGCAAGTACGGGGGCAGTTGTGTCATCCGTCTCACTTTTGATTTGCCAGTGATAGACCGCGAGGGTAACTTTAACCGTGCGGAGATGAAGAAGGGGTGAAAATTTGATATCAAGTTCAAAGAGAACGTGCTGATTATGCTGCAGAACACTCTGGGGAGCAGTAGCAGGGGTTGTATGAACTAGTCGCTAGTCGACTTCACTGCTCTATAGTGACTTTGTCATCGACTAGTCGCTGTCACGTGATAATGACCGGCAAGATGCAGTCCTCTTAGGTGTCAGCAGGTGACAAGCTCCTGCACGTTGGGAGGCAACGCACTGTGCCAGAGCGTCGGTACTGACACCCGCCGTAAAACGGACATTTAACCAAATTGTGACGTTTACCCTCTTGCAATTTAACCTTCCCCTCACTCCCATCCTAACCTTAACCAGCTTGCGCATGCAAAGCTCTGATTGTTGACGCGCTCCAGACATCTGCGTCCTGAACACGGCCACAGTAACATTATCAAATCAGGTGTCGCCGCCTCAAAAACTAATTTAACACGCGATCGTTCATGTCGGCTCATTTCCTTTTATGTTTTCTGTCTTTTATTTGTTCCTGATGCTTTTCGCTGCTGTGGATCGGGGCGCATCACCTGTTTTGTCCTCGGTGACGTACTTAACTGATGTGGCCGGCAAGCACTCCGCTGTTTTTGCGGTCGGTAGATCTTTTAGAAGTGCAGTTCAAAGGTAACTCATGAGGTGAACATATATGAACCCAGGTAGCAGTTTTTCTTTAGGATTGAGAGGAGATGCAGGAAGATAATAAACAGGCAGGACAGAAAAATTGTCAAATAAAAACAAGTTAGTTTTTGTACCTGGTTGTTGCAACAAACAGACACCATTGAAGGTAATCAGAAGTGAGGAACAGAAAATGAAATAATTATTTTAATATTTAGAGCAGCAGGAACTCCGAGAGGCTGCAGGCGCATCAGTGAGTTTGCGGCCGCTGCACAGGGGGAGGGGGGAGAGGGCTGAAGCAGAAACTACCGTTGTTAAAAGAAATGTGTTTAACTTTGAAAATGTGGGCGCAATTTTAATTGTCAAAAACTCCAGCGAACCATTAGTTCATTTTGCTCAAATAGAAATTGAGGCCTGCCTCTAATTCTGGTCCTCCTTCCAATAAAGGCCTGGAGCTTGATGAGCTTGAGTCAAAAGCAGACCCGGGCCTGTATTAGAGGATTTACGGTATATATATATATATATATATATATATATATATATATATATATATATATATATATATATATATATATATATTTGGCTAATAGCAACGCAACTCTATCACTGTCTGTTTACTCTGCAACATTGATGTTTTATCTCCACACAACACAAGCCTGAAGGAGCTTTGCTGTGTGGAGGAGTTTCTAATGCTAACAGTTAGCTTCTACTAGCAGAGACATATGCTGCTGTTTCCTTGACGCTAAACCAACAACAGCCTTCCCCGTCGTGAGTCAAGATGGGTGAGTCCATGACTGTTAGTGACAGTGTGACGTAGAACTGTCAGACTTCAAATCCAAAATTTTCATCGTCTATTTTCTATCAGAAGCGAAAGAAAGAGATAGGTGTAGGAGACTATTTTCATGTTCAGTTTTGTTTTGGTATTCACTCAAACTGTCAGGTCTCCTCACCTTGGCTCGACAAAGACCCAAACGCGGAAGTGATAGCGATGGGTGACGTCTAACACGCAGTTAATGTAGGAAAGCCGACACGAGCCTCGAAGGGAAACGAGGACGTGGCGATGATCCAGACGGTAAAAGGAACAGGCTTACTGAGGTTGAAGATGGTGCTGAGGAGCGTGGGAGCTCTTGAATTGCCCGGCGTGAATGACGGGCCGGGGCAATGCAACGGGTTGAGCTGTGGCTGTCCGACTTGAACTGGAGCGTCGGCTAGGACAAGGGAGCCACTGAGCGATGTGAGCACGGAAGCTCCGGGCGCAACGGCGTGGCGGATTGAGCCAACTCGCTGGAAACAAAGGCGAAATAAGCTGAATACATGCTACCGAGCGAGTCGCCACTACTTCGGTAATGAGCGGCAAGCGCCTATGTCACGGACAGAACTAAGGAGCTTTGATGACTGAGCACAGACTATTGGGAAGAACTTCCTAAAATAGGGTGTGCGTTATGTTTGTTTATGCTTATTTATTTGGCAGATGCTTTCATCCAAAGCAACTTACAATTTATAACCTATAGGGCATGTTGTGATTTCTGGGGGAAACTGGAATACCCAGAGGAAACCCACGCATGCATCGGGAGAACACGCAACTCCACACAGAAAGGCCGCAGCCGAGTTTCGAACCTGCAACCTTCGTGCTGCGAGGCAACAGTGCTAACCACTGCGCCACCATGCAGCCAGTGAAATACAGAAATGCATCTATCGATCTGTGATGTGGAGAGGCTGAAACCGGTGTGGGGAATGTTGGGAAGTGGAGTTCATTTGGTGTCTGGTGTGAAGTGAATGGTTGAAGGGCTGGAGTCATGACAAACTTGTTCTGTGGCCTCCTGATTTTATTCTGTTAGCATTTTATTTTCCAGTCTTATTTAGATGCTTCTTTTACTGTCTGGAACAACTTGCAAAAAATTGTCCCTACAAGTATTTCTGACTTGGATTCTGACACCTTTTTTAACCAGTTCAATACTTTTTATTTTGTTCTTTGCACCAAGACCGAGTGATAGATTTCTGTACATTTATGGACACACTAGAAAATCAGTGCATTTGTGTTTAAACAGATTTGTGAGGGGGAAACCTGACAGACCTGCACAGAGAGCTTACCGGAACTCCTGAAAACACAACAGTGAGCCAACATCATGTAGACAAGGAGCGTAACATCAAAACACCTTATTTAGTTACATCATTTTTGCTCATTTGCAGGTATTTCCAAAAGTTAAGTTAGTCAGGAATGCTTAATCTGTAGCTTTTGATTTCACAAATTCTACTGGGAAAGTCCAGCTTGAGCTCACTCTTAAAACTGAGTGACTTTTAAGTTTCAAGAGTTCAGGTGATTTGGTTTGGACATCATTCATGCAGTGGGTCCCTGCAATCTCTGTGAAAGATTTCATAAACACCTATTTTTCCTCATTTGAACTCTCAGCAGAGTAAAACACATTATTTCAAATGTTAACACCATCGTGTGAAATCTGGTGATATCTTTCCTAGTTGTGATTTTCAAGTCAGTTTAATAATTCTGTACTTCTGGATCAGTCCCTTACCCGCTGTTCAGACGTGTTGTCTAGGGGTCGTAGATGAGACATGGTCAGGGGGATACGTCTAACCCAACACATGCAAAATCACAACCAACTCACAGAATGATGGAGAGGTTATATTTTAAAACGGGGACAGAAGGCACACTGGTCAGTCCAGTGGGGATCGAGAAACGGGAGCGGTGCGTCTGAAAGGGGGGGGGGGGGGGGGGGGGGGATACAGGCGAGTCCAGGGAGGTAAGTCTTAACTTGGTGGGTGCAGAGAAAAGACTGGGAGTTGGGGAAGCACAGGAATGAGGGAGAGCAGGTTGACAGCCGGGGTGTATCCGAGTAAGGGGGTCCAGGAGAGGGAGCGGGAGGTGAGCAGGAGAGCGGGTCTGTCAGGAGGAATGAGAACTGTTCAGAGCTGTGTCTAGAAATCCTATGGGGCACGGGTGAGTAATCCTGAGGCGTCGCTGAATCCAGAGACATTCCAAAAACCTGGAGGCATGTGATCACAAAATCCAAAAATTCACAGAAGTCCAAAAACACTAGAGCATCCAAAATCACAAGAACCACTAGGAGGCTGGAAACTACCAAGCTGTAGCTAATCATCCAGCGTCGAGGTGTGTTCATCCTCCTTAAGTAGCCGGGCCCGCTGATTGCAAACCAGGTGCAGCTGGGAACCTCCCTCTCCTGCAACACACCACTCAAAGATGGAATATTGAGAGGAGTACTCACCCCGCTCATGACATTAGAAAGTATTTAAAACTTGCGGAGCAACATTCTATGTCCCCCTTGATGTAATATTCTGTGTGATCAGAAATAAATTAACATAACTATGACTTTACATCTTAATGAACTGAAAAAAATTAATTTCAGTGACATCCTAACTTTCCAAATGACATTGAGGTGCTGACATTAAATGATTGCACTCGTCTTTTTCCTCCTCCTTTTGGCTTGTTCCTCTCTTTGTTTCTCAGTGATAGATGAGTAGCCATAAGATTACAGAGGGAGTGCTGTCACAGCCAAACAATGATGGATTATTATGATAGGAAGTGCCTTTTTGTGCTAATGGCAGCTGTCTTTCATTAAAAGGAAAGATAAAGTTTCTACCATCTTCAGCCGGGTTAGAAGGGCCTTTTATCTTTTATAGGAAGTTCTACACTTGAAATTCATTTCTTTTATGTGGCTGCCAGGCAAATACTTGATTTTCATTCTGACTTGGTATAAATATATACCACTATTAAACGTGGATTAGTCGTGTAAATTATAATTGGCAAACATGATCCTTTCAGGACATTTTCCTTTTAATTTGCAGATTAACAGCAAGAGGCATTTCAGGCTAACGACGTCTTCACGTGATTCCAACATTAGTTTAATGAAAGGCTGACATATTGGAGCTACTGTGTGTGTACCCTGCAGGGATAAGATACTGGGGCGATGCAGAGATTGTGAAGAGGGTAAGAACGCGATCAGATCATTCTCCGAAGGCATTTCCTCCAACATAATCTTCATAAACTTGGAAATCCACTCGAGGAGCAGAGGAAGAGCCTAGCCTTGGGGAGGAAACAGCAGGATTTTGGAAGGGAGGGGGGTGTCCTATCAAACCTTCAAGCAAGATGTCTCCCTGCCTGCACCTTCACTAATCTCCTGTCTCCTATAGGAGTCTGAGAAGTTAATGTGATGTGACGACTTACACAAGTTTTGTATTGCTGATCTGTGTGTCTGTTCTTGAAGTCTGCTGCTGCTGGAGGCAATTACAAGATCACAAATTAAAGAGCAGGCCGTGTTATAGTTAAAAAAAGCTAAGTGACATTTTGATCCCAATTCAAAAAAATGTTGCAAATGTAAAAGCTTGTAGTTTTTCACCAAAAACTGTTATTTTGGTTCTCAAAGCCAACAGCAAATTTTATCCTGATGCTCTCTTGCTGCAAGATTGAAAAGGGAAAATGATGCACAAACATGCAAACCTGATCAATATGAGTTAAAATCTTAATGAATCTAAACTCTTCTTCCTTTCTCTGAGAAATCCAATTTAGTTTGTCCTCAGTAAAACCACTTTTGTTCAATGTTCAGTAGATTAAGTGACAGGCTCGGTGCTCAAAGATGCAATGAAATACACACTATTTATTTCTTTATTTATTTATTTACAGGTAAGATCAAACATCTCATTCTCAAGGGGGTTCTCCACTATTTTCAAATCAAGAAGTATCTGGCTTCCTGGTGACTTTACATGTCTGAGCTGCAGTGCCGCTCTCTCTCTACCAGGCTAACAGGAAGTTAAATTGCTTCCTGTTCAGCCTGAAGCAGACCTGGGAGCGGTGGCTGTACAGGTGCAGTTCCTGGATGAACCAAAACTTCAGATTCCTGTCGTGTCCCGTGGATATTATGAACCTTTCCCCTCTTAGCTGCAACTCTTCTCCTGCTCGTCGTTATCAGTGCTGCCAGGGTTTACATCTGTCAGCGCGAAGGACACAACCTGCATTCACTTCTGCAGCTGGACAGACCAGCTGCACATTTTTGTGGTTGCCAGTCATGACACAGTTAAAGGGCTCTGAAGTCAACCCTTGTGGCATCTGGAGCAACCATCAAATATCTTTTATCCCTTTTATCCCTTTCTCTGTTTGTTGACGATCTAATTTCTTCCCAAAAATGTCAGCCCTACAAAGCGAGACAAGATTGTCTATTTTTTCAATAAAAAGTTTGTAAATGAGTCTCTTTTGTGTCTCCAGGTCCTCTCTGTCCCTCACAGAAGACTGGTGTGCTGCAGTCGACTTTTTGAAGTGACAGATGTCAATAAGGCCCAAAAACAAGCAGCACACCAGAGAGAAGTCTTCCTGTTCAACGATCTACTCGTGGTGAGATTACTAAAAGTCTTACACTTTCAGGATTTCCACAATTATTTGCTGGACTGTTCTTAAACAATGATTTCAAATAATCCACGCGCGCCTTCACAGAGAATTTTCCTTAAAAAAAGGTAAGCAATTGCAAAAGTTGAGAGAAAGCTGTTGAAACAATGTGCTTCTGTCATCTAGAGGCATAGTCCCTCACTGATCTGTGTTTGTTTTAATACATTTTAAAATGTTTTTCATTTTCAAAGGAATACAGATGGCATCAGTTTTAGAATTAGAATGAAATTACTTGTCCTGACAGATGTAAAATTAAACATCTGAAATCATTTCCATTAAACACAGAATCACGATGGAATATTTGGAGCATCAATTCTTGTTTACTCCCCTGAAAAACTCATGTCTGCGGCACACAGTGAAGCTTTAAAGCACCTTATTTTGTTGTGACAGCTGCAGTGCCTGCTTCCACTGTGAGCCATTTCTGAAAGCTCCTCATCTTTTGTGTTTTATAACTCAGGGCTTTCCAGCCATTTCTTCTAATAATACAAGGTAGGAAAGGCAGTGCAGCAGCCTAGCTTTAGGCAAAGGTCTTTCGCCTATAGAGCTGTTTATTATAAAATTGCATTTCACTTGAGATGAAGTTTTGTAGAATGTTGAGTTATCGAAGGGTTGATGCTGGGCATAATTAAAGTGTTCATTAAGCGCCACGCAGGAGTTGTGTATTCAAAGTACTTGACTTCACTCATAACTAAAGGGTGTCAGTAGTTGGCATCGGTCCAGGAGAAAAAAGCATTTTTGTTCACCTTGTAGCATAAAAGTAATTGGGAGCTGCAGGGAGGATGGTTAAAAGGCCAGTATGGAATAAAGGTGAGACAAGTTAACCTGCAACAACAAAGGTCATGCATCTGAGTCGTTTTTCCCAGAGTCATTTTCTGGTGCTAGTGGAAGGAATTTTACAAAACTGGGGGAAATGTTGAGACTTAACTTTGAATTTGGCCCATGTTCCTGCAGCTTAAGGGGATACTATCCAACTTTTCATACTTTTGAGCCAGAATGTGCTAAAATTACCCTTTACAGGTTAATGAAAAGTCACTCGAAGCCCTACCGTCCTCTGTGGACAGCAGTGGCTCAGGAGGTTGAGCATCGAAGGCTGCAGGTTTGATCCCGGCTCTGGACAGATAATTCTGCTGTTGTGTCCTTGGGCAAGACATTTAACTCGCCTTGCCTGCTGGTGGTGTTCGGAGGGACCGGTGACGCCTGTGCTCGGCAGCCTCACCTCTGTCAATGTGCCCCAGGGCAGCTGTGGCTACATGGTAGCTCATTACCACCAGTTTGAGAATGTGAGTGTGAATGGGTGAATTGCACTGTAGTGTAAAGCACTTTTGAGACTCTGAAAGGCGCTATACAAGTGCGGGTCATTTATCATTTATCAATATCATTGTCATTACATTGTAAATGTTTGTATTTTTTGCTGTCTCTTGGCCAGGACACCCTTGTAAAAGAGGTTCTTAACCTCAATGGGTCTCTATCCTGGTTAAATAAAGGTTAAAAGAAAAAAAAATATCACACTTGTAACTTCAGTGTGCCGGGCCGTTACCTGTTGGACTTAGAACAATGTAGCTGACCTACCAGGCACTGCAATCTGCGTCCTGCACGTTTCATGCATGTTTTAGATCATGAACACGGCTTTTAATTTTTTTATTTAGTGATGAATCACTCCTGCAGTAACTAATAAAGGCTGAGGAGACATTTCATTTTCATTAAGGTGTTTAAAAGAGGAACGCAAAGCACGAAGATAAGTTGAATTTTCATTTCAACCACAGATAATTAATAACGGAAACTAAGGGGTGCTAAAAATAGTAAGCAAAACAGCCGTTTCCTGCTCCTCCGCCCTACGTGTTTAAAGTGGAATAACTGTCGTAAACAATCCTAGTGCAGCCAGCTGTACGCTAATGCTAACATTAAGCTAACACTAACATTAGCCAACTAATACTAAAATAAACCACAAAGTAAAAAGATCCACAATGTTGGATCAAAAATATTATTATGTACAAGTCCAGGAGCAACAAAGCCAGGTCACAATCGGTCCGTGATTTTTTGTCAAACTTGTGTGGGCAATGCCAATGAACATTCTGGTTTTAGCTCTTTGTTTCACCTTCAAATACATCACTCTCTTACTTTTATTTCCAGGCTCCACCTAGCCTGACCACCCAGCCCCATGCTTCTTTATGGGATGCATTGGGTCTGGAAACTTTCCTATTCAAATAATCCCAACCCCTGAGAATTCTCACTGAGCCAATCAGCACTGTGCAGCGTACATCACACACCGCAACACTCAGTTTTTAATAAACAACAAAGATGGCACCTGAAGCAGAATTTGCTGCGGCTCTTTCCTTTGTTCTAAATGACTTGGACATGGCTTTAAAACAACAACAAGAAGAAGCACTAAAAGCCTTTGCCACATGCCATTTTTGATTACAATTAAAAAACTACAGCATGGTGCAGTACAGTCTGCATTTTTGCCTTATTTTTTTTTTGATTGGTTATTTTTTATCTGGCTAGTACCACCCCTCATGTGCCTCTCTGCCTGTGAGTAACCAGACTAGTGTACAAATAAACAGCACACGAGTCTGGCAGGCCAGGCTAGGCTCCACCATGAGGCCAACACAAAAGCAAACTTCTTTTTCTTTTTCATGTGCTATCATTGATGACCAGTGAACCAGGGCAGCCAACTTTTGAACATTTAAATGTGTGAGAGGCTTTGTGAACTGTTTCACCCTGTTCACTGACCGTCACAGTGGGGGAGAGGGGTTGGCAACCTGTTCACTGATGATTGATCAGCGTGAGATATTGGAGGTGTGGCGTGAGAGCATGTGAAGAGGGTCAAATGCGTGTGTCTCACGCTCAGTGCGTGAGTCGGCAGCCCTGAGTGAACTAGTGATGGGAATTCTAGCTCTTTTTAGAGAGCCGTTTTTTTTTGGCTCAGCTCACCAAAAATCAGTCAAATCAATCAAATCAAAGATACTTTATTAATCCCAGAGGGAAATTAGAGTTTCAGTACATACAATTCAGAGATCAGACATACATGGGCAAGACACATGACAAGAATTGGTGACTGTGGTCATTCGCAACCCTGAGTCGCGCTACCTTAATAGAGATAAGAGGGTTACATGAAGGTTGGTTCAGGTGGAGGGAAAAAAGGCACTTCAGAGCTATCCTCCATAGGGAGGGCAGCTTTGCTCTGCAAAAAAAAAAAATTAAATTAAATAAACCTCAGACAGATATGCAACAGACTTCAGACAACACAACATAAGTGTCCACTAGGTGGGGTGGTGGGTTGGGACTATCCCCACTTCAGTTCCCGCAGCCACGATAAGCGGTGCATGTCACCTCAGTGTGGATAGGAGGAGGAGCATTGAGGGTTGGAGGGTTGCAGTGACCCTGCAACGTTTCAGCGGCCTTCCCGCAGTCCCGCCCAGGCTGGGATAGGAGATAGATTTTAGTTGCCATAGCGACGGCACATTCCACATATCTTCTGAGGGAGGAGTTTTCGTTGGAGCCTTGCAGGCTCAAGGACGCCAGATTCCGATTAGAAATTGTTTTGGGGCCAGACAGAGATAATTTCCTCTCTGTCTTACAGTTTGTTGGTCCTCAACCTTTCAAAATCCCAATAATGGACATTAAACTATCCTAATCCGTGCTGATTCGTCCACTCTCTCCTTGATGGCATCCGTCTTTGTGCCAATAATGAATCTCGGCCAAAGTCCCAAGCTTACGGTTCATCTCGACAATTATGTGAGTCTGTGAATTCACAGCGCGGTGCAATCCATCTCTGAGCTCCGGGATCAGGCCAATATTCCTCGACAGCTCGTTGATTTTCCGGTAAGCCAGGTAGCCTCCAATGCCGATCAGCAGGAAACCCAACACCAACACCACGAATATCCACACATCTTCAGAGTCCTCCACAGACAGCTGGTCTGTCCCGGAGGGGCATCCGGGAGCCCCTTCTCCTGTTTTCATCGTTGAAAAAATGTTATCAACCGCATTGAGTGACCAACTGACGAGATCCATTTTAGTGAATTTCAGTTTCCAGTTTCCAGAAAAAATGCAGAAGCAGCCGTGCACCCAGCACACACAGACTGACAAAAGCCTTGAGGATAAGATATGGAGGAGAGGAGAAGAAAAGCCTCTGCACCCTCCAAGAGCTGGAAGAAAAGAGCTCCCAAGTGGCTCGTCAGATTTTCTGTTGTGTAAAGTATATTTATCACCAAAAAAAAAATGCAAAACTATTTGTAAAATGATTTACAAATGTAAAAAAATGCAATGTATCAAATATTTATCATTTATATGGATTTATTTACTGAACACTAAGAAATTTCAACTTTCCAACTGCTGTCGCTCATATTCTCACCGTCTTCGTCGCACTTTCCTCTCTCTCACTCGCCTTTGTCCTCCTCCTTATTCCCTCTCATCTCCCTCTGCCCGCATGTGCTCTGCTGTGTGTCTGTCTGAGTCTGATCCTCCCTCTTCCCGTGTGTGGATAGTCTGGACACGCAGTTACACATGTTGGCCAATCGCCTGTGGCTTTCACCAAAGCAAGAGGGGGAAGGGAGGGAGGGTGACGGCTCCCAATGACGAGCCGGCTCGCGTCGTTCTCTTCATAGAGCCGGCTGTTAGAGCCGGTTCGTTCGCAACCGACACATCACTAGTGAACTGAAAACACTAACTGCTAGCATAACAGCTAACAGCTGTCAAGCAGGTAATGAGCTCCTGCTATAGAGCTCCAATCTGCACCACAAAACTTCTAAGTGCATCATCGCCGAGTAGAGGGCTGCGGATTGGTGCCAAATATGAAACTGGTCGTTTCTAACTGAACTGTCACTGAGATCAATGTTACAGCTCTAGGTTCAAGTTCAAAAATGATTTGGTGTTACTTTAAAGTGCCTGGAATGCATTTGACTCTGACTTCTTTATTGGAATCTTTAACCAAACAGTATCAGTTCAAAGCTGATTTGCCTCAAGTTTCTCTATCAGGAACGTCATTTGATGAAAAAGGTCTGAAATGTCTTTAATGCATCTAGGTATGTTTTCTTATTTCACTTCTGTTCATTTCATTTTTTCCAAGGCTAAATAAACAACTGAAGGTCATCCTGCACATTAATACAGATTTATAATAAATGTGGTAGGATTAAATAGTTTGTGTGTGTCTGAGCTGAGTTTCATGTCTGCAGATCTTGAAGCTTTGTCCAAAGAAGAAGAGTTCTGCAGCCTACACTTTCTGCAAAGCCATGGGGTTGCTTGGCATGCAGTTCCACCTTTATGAAAATGAATGTAAGTTGCTGCTGCTACTGCTGTGATAAGTGAAGCGCAAAAAGTCCACAAAAATGACAGACCTTGTGCCATAATTCAACCAAACAGTGTCATTTGGGAAGCTGCAGGTATACACACAGGCCTCGGCAGGAGAGACTCCAGCATTAATCTTCACAATGTGAAGTCAATGTGATACTTAAACAAATAAATCTTTTGTCTAACATTTTTAGTTCAGAAATTAAATCTGGTGTGATTCAGGAGCCTTGAGATGAATTTAGATGAAAGGAACCCTAATGTGGTCATTCGTAAAGGCAGCAACATGCTTGAGATGGAAAAAAAACAAAGTTAAATGGGCTTTAACTTTATTGTGAAGGTCTTTCTGCAGACATATGGTGCGTGAGGGCTGGCTGTTAGGAGGATTCTAGTTCTGCCTGCTCTTTTGAAGGTCATTCATGATAGTCACAGCAGGAAGTGGCACCTGTTGCCAGGTAATTAGCTTTTTCTCCCACCTTTGAGACCACTCAAATCTTCTTTTAACTCCACAGACTACCCTCACGGAATCACAATCCTCTCCCCGTATGGCTCAGAGAAGAAGCAGGTTCTCCACTTCTGTGCCCAAAGTTCTGAGGAACTGCTGAAGTTTGTAGAAGACCTAAAGGAATCCATTGCAGAGGTGTCGGAGATGGAGCAGATACGCATCGAGTGTGAGTGTGTCTGCATTATGAGACGGTTCTTTAGTTTTTACCAAGAGATTCAAGCATTCTCGATAACTATACACTGTTTTAATCCCATCCAGTTTCATTCTACTACCTGTAACAATACACGCTTTCTCATTATAAATTATGCTAACTAAAATGAATAGGAGATGCATTTTAGTCTACGTACATAACTTCATAGGGGGAGTGCACATTGGTGTGCACTTTGCAGCCAAAGCTGGGTCAAGATTGATTTATACATACATAAATTCAAATATTTTGTTACAGGTTCATGAAACATTTCAGAAAATGCCTCCAAGAAAACCTCTGATTAGACACAAATCATGTGACATCATTGGCCTTCTTGTATTCTCTAGTTGATTCAACAGGCTGCAGGAGGGATTAGCTCAAATTCTCCTGATTATAATGCAATTCACCTTGCATGTACTTTCACACTTTTGGAAAAAAAACCTGCACAATCAAAGCCTGAGACCCAACAGTTTGCACTGAGAACGGCCCACCTGCTGGGATTTGAAGCAACAGATTTAACTTCCAAAACAGAAAATCAAGGAGGGAGATGGGAGAGACCAAGTACGATGGGAAGACAATAATTGGTGTTTCGATTCTCAAAGCTTGGATTTTTTTTACACACACAAATGTATGCACACTCGCACAGGCACACACACACTGATCTCATTATTATTTAGTAAAGTTGCAAAATTTCCAAAAAGCACATTGTTTTTTTTCTTTTGTTGGTTTTCAATAGTAAAATAGGGTAAACATGTGGTTTAGGGCTTTGTGTTGCTTTATAATTATAATGCGTTATATTGCAAACCTTGATTTCTATTTATTTTTAAGCTATAATTAAAATAGTGTTTGTCAAACACTTGGTTTATTTCCTATTTTGTACCGGTTGGGATGCATGTGAAATGTTTTTATAACTTCCTACTGCTCTGTGATCATTTAAATTCATAACTTTCTGCAGCTGGCTCCTGTAAAATATCTGTAAATCCTAGAAAATGACAACAAAATATGTTCAAATGTAACTTAGCTAAGTCCTAACTACCCACATGTTGAGTACTTGATGCAAAATGTGTTTGTCTCAATTAGAACCAGAAGTCTGGAGGTAATTCCAGGACACTGTATGTAAATGAAAGTGATGCTGCTTTTGCGTCTCAATATATTGGCTAAATGCTCCGTACATTTTGCGTAAATGAAAAAGAAATCATTTTATAGGCAGCACCTGTCTGTTTTGTGGTTTAGAATCTGAATTTAGATGCTGCAGGAAACAAAGCATTTATTCACCAAGATGAGAACCAACACGCAAGTCTGACGTTTAATTAAAAAGATGAAGAGCTGTCATTTGAATTTTTAAATGTGTGTGAAAGAGAACCCCGCCAATAACATTAACAGATTTGACTTTATGTGCAATCACGTTTTGGTTATAGCTTTTAATGTCTTGTGTTCCCACTACTACATTACTAGTCGGTACTTTTTTTTTTTTTTTTTTTGCTGTGTCATGGTGATTATGAGGATGACCGTCTTTGTTCTTTGCAGGGGAGCTGGAAAAGCAGCAAGGAGCCAAAACGCACTCAGTTAAGAGCAACGGCACACAGCTAGAGCAGCGCAGCAAACAGGGCTCCCTACCAGGTGTGTGAGAGCAAAATGCTGCTTTTTTTAAACAAACATGAAGTTCTGCTGCACCGCCGGTGCTTTTATGATCTGAATAACTAAAGAACAACCATATTTAAGTAGTTACTTGCTGAACTGCATCCTCAGCAACACTGGACTATGTAAGACTGCTGTAGTGGTTGTAATGTTTACTGTAGGGAGACCCCTAAAACATCCCATTCCTGCATGATATAAGATTCATGCAGTTCCTTCTTCCAATTTAAACCTTAAAACACCATTTCTGAATATAATGCCGTTCTATCTAAAATGATGAATAACTACTATTTGACTAGTTGCAGATTGCTTTCTGAATAGCCTCAGTTTGAAAAAACGGCTGTTATCCACGATACTTTGTCATTCTAGACATATGTTATCCATTCAGAATAAAGCAGGTTTCCAAATAAAACTAAAATAAAATAAAATCTCCAGCGGTCAATGGGCAATAAGGCGGGGTACACCCTGGACAGAGAGCCAGTCATCGCAGGGCAACACAGACACACAGGACAAACAATCATTCACACTCACACCTAAGGACAATTTAGACAGACCAATTAACCTAACAGTCATGTTTTTGGACTGTGGGAGGAAGCCGGAGTACCAGGAGAGAACCCACGCATGCACTGGGAGAACATGCAAACTCCATGCAGAAAGATCCCAGGCCGGGAGGCGAACCCAGGACCTTCTTGCTGCAAGGCAACAGCTCTGACCACTGCACAGCCCCAGTTCAATTCAATTCAAGTTTATTTATAAAGCACCAAATCATGACAAGAGTCGTCTTAAGGCACTTCACATAATAAACATTCCAATACAGGTCAGTTCATTAAGCCAGTCAGTAAAACGTTTCCTATATAAGGAACCCAGCAATCCTCATACTAAGCAATCATTTAGCGACAGTGGAGAGGAAAACTCCCTTTTAACAGGAAGAAACCTCCAGAGGATCCTGGCTCAGTTCCAGTCACCTTTTTGATCCTGTATGTTTTTCACACCTCCAGGAAATCAGGAGGTAAATGACGGAAGTGGACACAATGCAGCAGAGGTGAGTGCACACAGACAGGTCCATGTCCCCAACACCAGGTAAGTCAGAGGGCAGGATGAGACAGGACAAAGGCTCAGGACTAGTCGTTTCTCTGGGACTAAAGGCGTCAAGCAGGCATGGGTGAGGAGTGCATGAGTGAATGAATGCTGCTGGGTAAAGTGCTGCGGGCATGTTTACAACTCAATCTAATTAGAAAAAGCCTGTTTTGGGTACGTCATGCAAGGCGTCAGACTCATGAGTTTCTGCCCAAAAAGGAGCAAGTTGTAGTTTCACGAGCTTACGTTCAATCTGGGACTCCTTTTAGAGGTTTTCAAGGAAACAAAAGAACCCAGGATGTGTGCAGAATGTATGCACCAAGCAGTGAGAGTTTATTTAACTCAGTAACATGTAGTCAGAGAAATCTGACACTTATTTGATCTCCAGTTGCTTCCATTCCACCCCAAGCCAGAAGCTCGGGGGGGGGGGGGGGGGGGGGGGGGATCCTCAGGCGAGATTTTTGTGTGAGCAAGAGAGCTGGCCAACTACTCTACTGGCACTTCACAATTACCATTCCCCGTGACCTTCCTGAGTACTCCATGTGGCTGTGGAGTGGCTTGGTGCAAAAAGCCAAATACATAGGCGGCCATCCTGACATTATGTGGCTGTTGAATTCCACACTGCTCTTTGGAGACTGGAAATCTCACTTTAAGCAGAAGTGTGCTTCATGATTTGAGATTTCTTAAACCATTTCTTCAACATGTTGACTCCTGGGGCTTTCTTAACATCCTGTCATTTTTCTAGAGGCTTTTTTGCTTGCAGTCAGCCTTCATGGCATCCTTCCTTCTGCCATGCAGCCAGTAGTAAAAATCAGAGGTAGTCTGTTAACTGTTGAGATATTTTGGAAGCTAGGACTCTTCGCTCCCACAGAGCCTTCTGAAACCACAGGATTACCACATCTCATGGCAAGCTTTTATTTGTGAAGAAATGTTAATGCTGAGATTATGTTACCATCTGCCTTCGGGGTGCTGATAATAAACCAGTCTGTGCCAAGATTATGAAAAGGAGATGATGATTTTACATGATTTCATCTTGATGCAGTAATCTGTTTGTGTCTCCATCTGTTCATCAGCTTAATTACCCACAAGAAGGACCCGTTAGAACCTTAAGGCAGCACCAAATGATCAAACAACTGGATGTTAACTATTTGAAAAAAAAATCAATCATTTTTGTGAATTGCTTGTTTATTTTCTATTGCTTAGATTATAAAGAAAAGTGGTCCACAGTTTGGATACAGAAATAAAACATGTAGCTTTAATCTGGACTTTTCACGATGAAAAACCACTAGAATACCAGTATGCCATTGTGCACAGCAAAGCCTAGAATGACAATAATCAATTACTGGGTCTTCAGAACCCTTTTTGTTACATTTTTAATGTTCATCCCAGTTTTTTTGTTCACATACAAGAAGAATATTTTTTATTTGGATGCTATCTCCAAAATCGCCATTAGATGTCACTAAATTCCACAAAGTCTTAATGGAAATGCACTCATGTGGGGAAAAAGATTTAAGTGTTTTCAACAACTGATGTTTTGACCATGTTCAAGAAAATAATCCAAATGAAATTTGGTACATTCTAATCATGCAGAAGTTCCAGTGAGCTAATTTTGTCTGAGGAGCAAATCTTTTCTGCATACTTCGGACATAAAATTTTAAAGGCAAGCTAAAATATTTGATGGAAAGGAGCTCAATTCTTTATTTAAAAACAGAGATCTGTGAAGACTGAGACAATAACGATGGAGATTCCTCACAGCTGCATCACATCAGATCCTGCACATAGTGCCTGGTCTGCAGAGTTTTAAGGGAAAGTTATATGTAGGCAAGCACACTATTCCGTGGTTGATTAAATGCTGATTGGAAAAATGAAACCTTTAAGGAGCACTTTCAATCAAATCCAATATTTTAGTTGTAGAAGCAGGAATTTGACAACTTTAAGTAGAGTTTGCGCTGTTCGGTGTGATATTTCTAAAATAGGCTCTGTGAGAATAATTCAAGGAGAGGCAAAGAGAAGGAAAATAGACAGAAATGTGACATTTTAAATTAATGTTGCCTGTGGACATCTGTGGTTGTCAGCTCACTTCCTCTCCTCTTCCTCCACCTCCCTCTCTTCTTCGTTTGACCCTTGTCTCACCTCAACCTTGATGTTTCCTCGTTTCCACTGCTACCATAGTGCCACATGGTGGTTTGGAAGGGAGACACAGGGGCCCACAGTGGCCCGCTTGGAACCACGGGCCCCTTCTGTAGCTTTGTTCTTTCCCTCACTGCTCTCCACCCGACCCCCGTCACTCACTGGTGTTCCCAGCATCCGATCTGCACTGTTCCCAGCATCTGTGGGGGTGGAGGGAGGGGTGGTTTGCAGTAGTTCACAACGATTCTACACCTCCACTGATCCTTAACACCTTAGCCTCCACGCATGCCCTGTCTGACTGTGTGTGTGTGTGTGTGTGTGTGTGTGTGTGTGTGTGTGTGTGTGTGTGTGTGTGTGTGTGTGTGTGTGTGTGTGTGTGTGTGTGTGTGTGTGTGTGTGTGTGTGTGTGCGTGCTGTGCCTTACCACCCCCACAGGGAAAAAAAAGAGGGCTTGACGGACTGTAGAGGAGGAACCAGTTTTATAACATTTGATGCTGTTCTCTTGGCTGTTTTCTAAACTAGGTGTCAATTCACAACAGGCTTCAGACGTGCCAGCTCAGCAACAGCAACACGGCTCGGAGCGCAAAGAGCGTGGCCCTTCTTAACAACCGTGGGGAGCTGCTGATCCAGCAGGGGCCCCAGGGGTTAGCACAGGGGCCAGCACCTCCTCTTCCTCAGCACCCGCAGCTGCAGTCAGCAGCCAGCACCCCCGCCCACCATGTCCCCCTCCTGCAACCCGCTGCCAGCATGGTCGATCTGCGGCCCGAGACGCTCATCCAGTGTCAGCAGATTGTCAAAGTCTTCATGCTTGACAATGGCAGCCATGGAAGAATGGAGGCCTTCCTCAGCCAAACGCCCACCCACCACCATTACCAGCACCACCACCACCACAGTCTCCAGCAGCTCAGTCAGTCTGCCATGTCCACGCCTGTCCGCTCACCAGACGGCTCCCATGATGGCCACCAGCCCCCGCTGCCTCCCCCACCCCCACCCTACAACCACCCGCACCAGTATATACCTCCGGACCCGCGTCTCGCATTGCACCGGACTGCGAGCGGCTCACGGAGCATGGTGTAAATAAATCACAGCTCAAACTTTCACGTTAGCTTCCCTTCAAAACCTTTTACATCATGTAAATATGATATATAAACACAGATGAAAGAGCTATAATGGAAAAAATCCACTTGTATGCATTTAAAGAAAAGATCAACTAAAAGCATAAAGGTTTTAAAAGAAGTTAGAAGAAATAAAGTGCAAATATAAGGTTTTACTTGACTCCTCATGTATTTTGAAATATTATGTAGTTTTAACAAATTTCTATAACTTGTTCTCAGTTTTATCTCTCGCTAGAGAAAAACTACAGATACAGTTTTCAGTTCTTGAACTCCCTGAGACTTTTTAGAAAATTTCCAGTGGTGGATGGATGAATGCGCTCCAACGACCCTTCGCTTCTGTTTGATTTTCTTATCCGAAACCTCTTGCCTCCTGTGCTGTCTGTTCACCTGTGTCTATCCGACACTCAACGGAAAACGTGCCAAAAATACTTATGTCGCCACTGAACAATGACTTATTTGCACTTGACTGAAAGCTAGGGCTGAAAAAAAACCCACAACCATTTGTTTTGAGATAGTCATTCTTTCAGGCCTTTCCCTTCAGGGGCTGAAAAAATAAATAGCAAAAGAAAGCTATCTAGCTATTTGCGCAGTTGATGATTTATTTATGTGGTAGAGGGTCTTCTTTCCTCTCCTCTGCTCCTCTAGATGAAAAAATAAATAAAAACAAGGAAAATGGCTTCCTGCAGTCAGCTATGTTTTCTACCCACTCTTCTTTTGTGTTGTGGCTCTGTATCATCTGAGAAAACACTCACTCAGCTGTCACCCGGGTTTTATTCTACAGGGAAGAACAACAGATGCATATAACACATAAAGATTAAGGATGTTTTCTACTGACTGAGAGGAATGTGCTTCTTGCATTGAAGTTGCTTGACTGTTGTAACTGTTTGATCCCATTCAGCATTCACGTGTAATAAATGTACAACTCACTGTGCTGTCATCTGCACTTTGTCAAATGTGACTTTCAGGAAATCCCACACGAATTCACTCAAACGCTTCCGCTGCAGCTGCTTAATGTTAAACTCTGTTTGTCTGGATTTTCCTGTGTGTGTGTGTGTGTGTGTGTGTGTGTGTGTGTGTGTGTGTGTGTGTGTGTGTGTGTGTGTGTGTGTGTGTGTGTGTGTGTGTGTGTGTGTGTGTGTGTGTGTGTGTGTGTAAGTCCACTTCAAAACTCCCTTTTTGTTTTGGATCTTTGTGACTGTTTTCTCCGTTCTACCCTTTCACACTGACATTTTCAAAAAGGCAAAGTCAAAATAAAAAACCTACACATGGCTTTTATTGCAAATGCTGACATTAATGGTATTCTTTGTGCTGTCGGCTATCCTGCTATTTAAAGAATGGGACAAAAAATGCACTATCTGATCTCTTTCTGTTGCACCTGAGCTGAGATTGTAAATACCAAACGCGAACCGCGTCAGAAAGGACAAGCAAATTGCTACCACCCTGTCAGATGTCCATGCTGAAATAGGTCAGCATCTACCCCACCTGGTACTTTGGAAAAAGTCATCAGTTAACCCCACTTCCTTCTGACCTCCATATATCTGATTTGTTGATTTATTATCACACAGCCAATGAGGGAAGCTCTCTATCTTATCATTCTATTCTTTAAGCTTGGTTTATGCTTGACGCGTCCGCGAGGTTCGCACATCTCCGCACGGCAAAATTGCGTCATTTTAACAACCACGCCCCTCCACCGTGCCTCCGCACGGCCCAAACTTTCCGCACCGCTCACCTAGGAAATGTTCTAACCACGCGGACGGTCGGACGTGGAAAAGCATGGCGGACTGGCAAGAACTAGTATGGCAGAGGTTCGTAAATACAGACATTTGTATGATTCAGCTCTCAAAGATCACCGTGATCAACATGTAGTTAATAAATCTTGGAGAGAAATAGCTCGCACTGTCGGAAAAGACGAGGACGCTGTTAAAAAAATGCTGGAATGCCATGTTGTAAACAACAGTAATTTTTACTTCTACCATGGTGTAGTGTTGGATGCATGCCATAGAGCTCCATGCTGCCCCCTACAGTTTGGGAGAATATTGGCTCACCGCAGAGAAGAGCCGCATGAACCATAAACGCTGCGAGTTGTGAAGCGCGTTCCATCCGCGAGCCGCATCACCAAGCGGAAAGTAAATGCGTCAAGCATAAACCAAGCTTTACCTGCCACCTGTGAAGAAGCAGGCTTGTGTCATGGTAGGCAGAGATGAACGTATACGACCTGCTCACAAATCAACATCCTCCCAGCCATGTTCATTCCACTGATTACATTTGTTGTTGCGTAACACAATGAAAGGATTTAACGGTTTTAAAAGGGTTAGGGTTAGGGTTAGGGTGATTAGTTTAATATTTATGCTAGCTAGGAACATACTTTTAGGGTTATTTAATCAATTTTAGCAGATGAAATTGAGTTATAATATCATGGATGATGCATTAATTGATGATTGTAATGTTGCTCACTTGTTTTTCTTGTTTTTTAAACAACTTTAAAATATGTTGTGATGAATAATTTTTTTCATGCATGACATCAGTTTGAAAATGTATGGAATGTTTGGGCATGGATGATACGTCTGAGAAAATGAAGATTTGTTTTTCTTTCTTTCTTTTTTTTATTATCTCAAATTTCTGTTTTGCAAGTGTTTCAGTGCCTCGTTTCCACGCACTCACATTATTTTGTCTCTCTGTTTATCGTAGCACAGTTTGAACAATGTGTTTTTAAAGAGGACATATGTGATGCGCGTGCAGGGAACATGAGACACACCAATCGGATGGATTTGGGAGGAAATCGATGTAGCATTTTGGAAGTGTAGCTAAATGTTAAAGAAACTTTCATGAAGAAATGAACAAAAAGGGCTCTGCCGTACCAGCCCCATCATCTCGTTGGGTTTTCCAACACTGTGCTTGCTCATACTCGTACAGAAAGATAATGAAATAGTCGACACGTTTAAGGATAAACAGGTGGAAACTGAGTGTCACCATCTCTTTTCCTCGGTTGGCTTTCAACCCCTCTCTACTTCTCTTTATAGTATATCAACATGCAATTAAAGATGATTTAAGGGAAAACACTGAATTTTCTGCCTGAGTTATTGGACACAACTGTTTTTCAGCTTTTTGACTGGGTCGTACAGAAAGATGTGTCAAAATCATCATAGTGGAATTCAAAGGAATAAAGAGAACAGTTTAAATAAATTATTTATTGGATTATTTTTCTTTCATCCTGACATGAAATCTGAGGTACAGCCAGCATCTATGTGCAATGCATGTCATAACATAAAGCTAAGCAGCAGCTGATGGATTCAAATTGACATCGGAACAGCGCCGGGCCGAGCTGAAGAATTTAAAAGCACTGGTATGACACGACAGTACGCATTTACATTTAATCCCGCCCACTAAGTGAGAGTCCAAACTGCGACTGAAACTCTTTCCTGAAATTGCAGATGCATACCGGTCCATACCAGCTAACAATGACCCACCCTGACCCGTCCCGAGTCCCCGTAATGGAACCGAGTTATAAGATGTCATGTTATGAGCATCACATGTGTCCATCATCTTGTAATAAGTATTTTGCCTGATTAACAGGTGGTAGGTAGTCATGGTGCTGTTTGGTGTCGGGGTGTGTGCAACACTGACCATAGAGAAGTAGAAGTGGATTATTTTTGAGCATGTTAGAGGAAAAGGGTAGAAGACCATGTTACTGTAATTACAGTAGAAGTTTATGGTCCCCGTGCCTGTAGAAGGCCACCCTGGGTGGAAACACAGAAGGACAATTGATAGCCAACTGGAAGAACATAGAAGTGAACTTCAAGGCCATACTCTAAGGTTGCACCAAACATCTATTTGAACCAAATTAGAATATAATGATCAAGGACATCAATGTAAACAGCAAGTCATGAAAAGGGTAGATTAGGATTTGACTAAATTCATGTCAACCCTCCACAAACCTTCTGGGTGAATGTCCAGAATGGCAGATGGGACAAAACTCAAGGTATTTTTTTCTTTCTTTTTTTTTTCAATCTCATCAGCTCTTTGTTAACAGATGCAGCCGAGCTTGGTCTCAGTCACAGGGCACTGGTCCCCCAGCAGTTTAATGAGCCAAAACGTACAAGAATGTCTAAGAACAAAGCATTGGACCGTCCTGGTAAGGTTTTCTCTGAGCTTTGAGCATGTTGAACATTGGTGGAAGGAGCTCAAACCCTCACACCTAAGAAGTGGGCCAAAATACTTGTCAAGTAAACAAGTGCAGAAATCTCATTGAGTCACAGAAATCACTTGACTGCCTCAAAACCTCGTGCAGAAAATGGGACAGAAGTTTAAGGTGTGGAACACTGAAAACCCATTTTTTAATGATTATTCCTGATTTTAATTGGTCACTCTGAGTTTTTCATGCAGGCTGAACATGTAAACCGTCTCCTACACCTATCTCCTGCATTAGCTTCTGATAGAAAATAGATGGTGACACTAGGAATAGAAAAGCCTGACAGATCTACGTCACACTGTCATTTGACATTCATGGACTCACCCATTTTGACTCACGACGGGGAAGGCTGTTGTTGGTTTAGTGTCCAGGAAACAGGAGTGGACGTCCTGACTAGTAGAAGCTAACTGTTAGCGTTAGCAAGTTCACCACATAGCAGAAGCTCCTCCAGGCTTGTGTTATTTGTGGAGATAAAAGATCTATATTGCAAGTCAGTGGTGGAGTTGTGTTGTTGTCGTCCAATCAGAAGTGAGATGTCTAGATATCAGGAAATGAGACTCCATATCCTGCCGTGTTAAGCTCTCCTCTGATGTGGCATTCCACTTGTTCCTGAAACAGGCATATCTGAGCTTTTCCCCCCCACCGAGTACGGCTTGTGAGGCATTCATTTCTACTAAAGACCATTGCAAATGTAGTGATTAAACAAGTGAACCACACATTTCAGAGTCCAGAGCAGTTTCATATTTTCCTCTTTCAATTATTTTTGTTGAAGAGTGTCTGATTTTTTTTTTTTACTGTTGTTATTTTCAGTCATTTCATCATTGCTTTTGCCAGTTATTTCAATGACCTTTCATTAAAATAGTGACTTTGGAAAAGCATGTTTTCTCCATGTTTAATTTTTTTAACCCACCATCTTTCAGCATCCTTTTTTCTTCGCAGTTTTCTAATGTCCTAGAAAAATATTATTTTACACGATTTAAAGCTAAAATTATGTCTGTAAAAATAAATATAAAAAAATTAAGGTAAATTGCATGTAAAACATTCATTAAGAAACAAATGGTTACCTATTTTTAACTTTTTATAACCAAAACATTAAATGCAACATGAAGCTTAAAATAATCAAAATATTTTATCTTAATCATTCATATTAAGTTTTACCAGAAAAAATCCCTGCAACAACCTTCAGTGAAAGCAAAGAGCAAACATGATAATTGATAGTCCAAATATACAACAATAATGAGAATTTACTTTAATAACAGGCTCATTTTAACTACAATGATGATCTGTTTCTTTACCAATAAAAGGAACATTTTTATACATTTATCAAAAGTTTTTAACCCCACTGTCAGCTGGAATCAAACTAGTAAAGTGATTTTCCTCAAATAATTTCATTCTCCCATTTGTTATATTTTCCACCCACATTAAGTCCAGCCAGTCAGATCATTTAAACCTGAGCAGTCCTGGCTAGACGGGAGCTTCACCCACGCTTCCTGTGTGTGTTAAATCTTCATGCTCTGATGGCTTCTCATCCTCCTGAGTGGATGTCATCCTCTGCCAACGCTAGTCATGTAACAGAGATATTCAGCAGCTTTAGAAAACAAGCAGTTTTGAAGGTCCTTGTAGATCATTTTAAACTTTCAATAAGTCAGATGAAGCAAAACACCTAAAATAAGACTACTATAATAATATGAAAGGACATTTATCACTTGAAGGGCAAACAGAGAATATTTTTTAGTAAAAAACAATTGTTCTATAACAGGATGTACCTGTTTGATGTTGCCCTTTGTGGTGCAGAACATGTAGATGACATATCCTGGGATGAGTATCATTGACGACAATGCCATGCACCATCCAATCACTTGGCCCCACATAGGAAAAACGTACTTTCCCAGGGTCAGAGGGGTCATCTCAATGGCACTAAAAGTAAACACCCCCTACAAATGAAAATTTCAAGTTATTACACACACACACACACACAAAAAATACTAATAGTTAAAAAATAAAAATAAAAGTAATGCTAAAAACATTTATATATATATATATATATATATATATATATATATATATATATATATATATATATATATATATATATATATATATGTATCAATGTTTGATTATTTGAGCTCAAAAATCTGGATTTAATTTGTTCAATTCAATTCAAGTTTATTTATATAGCACCACCAAATCATGACAAGAGTCGTCTCAAGGCACTTCACACAGTAACCGCTCCAATGCAGGTCAGTTCATTAAGCCAGTCAGTAAAAAGTTTCCTAAATAAGAAACCCAGCAAATTGCACACAGGCCACACCGGTCTCATTGACCACAGCCATAGGCAGGACGGTGAAGTGCCTTGCCCAACAATTGACATGACCGATGGAGCCAGGGTTCGAACAAGTAACCCACGGGACAAACGCCTCACCCCTGAACCGCCCAAACAGTGACATTGTCACCCTGCAGCCACTGTTTTCTCTCAGTTGTAGCTCCTCTCTTCATGTACTTTCATGCTCTTTCATGTTTTGAGCAGCCTCATCAGCCTTTTGGTTTATTGTTAATTCTTTTTTCATCCAGTCATTCCATGCTTGTGCCTGAACCTTGGTTAGGTCTTCCATAACATGATTTGATAACCCTCTTCAGGGTCTGATGTGCTGTGCTTTCAGAGCATAGAGGCCTACAATTCATTGAGTTGCAGCTATGTGATTGTTTGATGTGCCATTTGTGTCGATAGACAAAGATGTAGCAAAATAAAACTTTTGTAGTGTAATGATCTTCCTGTAAAATGTGCTAGATCTGTGGTCTGGAGCTTGGAGCATCATGTGTTTGGGTGAAATTTCAGTTATTCACTTTTTGCAGTTGATATTTTTGTTACAACAGACAAAAGAAAAGGGAGGCATCAGTATTGTCAGGTCCTGATACTTAAAGGGACTTTACGGAGTTTTGAATTTTTATGCTCGCGATTGCCCCCTCAGGCCAAAAGCGTAACGGCAGCATCAATAGTAGGCTTGTGCATTAAGCGCACATGCTGTACGAGCACACTCCTTAACGAAAACAACAGCTGAGACAGTCCTGTGTGTGTGTGTGTGTGTGTGTGTGTGTGTGTGTGTGTGTGTGTGTGTGTGTGTGTGTGTGTGTGTGTGTGTGTGTGTGTGTGTTTGTGTGTGTGTGTGTGTGTGTGTGTGTGTGTGTGTGTGTGTGTGTGTGTGTGTGTGTGTGTGTGTGTGTGTGTGTGTGTGTGTGTGTGTGTGTGTGTGTGTGTGTGGCCCAGAGGACAGAGGACAGGAGAACGTGCAGCTAATTAATTAAATAATTTGGTTCTGTACCTTTCTCTTCAGCACAGCCGACAAAGGCTTATGGTGGGTCAGTCCTCCTGCATGCTCAGATCATTCCCTTCCCTTGCTTGAAAAATTGTTCCAAAATGAAAGTTGAATCCACATCTTTTAATCTGTGAATTCAATGCCGTTCAGCGAGTCTCAAATAGAAATTTGGGCATCTTACTGTAAAAATAATATACCATTAATGTAAAAAAGAAATTCTAAATGAACTCTGTTCACACCCAGAACTGAACCCAGATTGTCTGCACGAGAGTCTGACGTCTTACTAGGTGAGCTAAAGCGCCAATGATGTCTTTTGTATCTGTAACATATATATCCTTGATAATAGCTGAAAGAACGGTTCAGAGCGAAAATGGCTATTTTGTTGCTAATTTGCAGGAAATATCTAGAAGAAAGTTCTACAGAAAGTAGCTAAGGGTCCTCAGAAATGTAGCTAGCTTTGAGTGTGTTTACATGCAGCCAGTAACCCTTTTAAAACCCAAATATTCACAATAACCCGGTTCCGCAGGTCCAATGTACACACCGCCAAAAACCCGGACATGCTCACAACCAGGTTTTTTAAAACCCGGTTACTACACCTGGGGTAACCCTTTTCTAACCCGAATGTTTGGTCGTGTAAACGCACACCGGGATATCCCCATCAAAGCGTGTGTTCTGCACATGCTCTGTTCGCAAGGAATCTTGGTCTTTTGAGTAGCGAGACGTCTTGTATGCGCCAGAACACCGGAAGTAAACAACAAGTTGGGAGCAACATGGCGAGTCGCGGCACAGCACCACACTTTTGGAGTGACGAGGAAACGAAAGCACAAACAAAATCGGTCGCTATCTCTTCTGAACTGGGAAACATGTTGTTGTTTTCATGGATACCGGAACAAGAAGAACCGAAAATGACGAATATTGCGTCTGGGCGTAGTCCCTACGTCCTGACGCTACCCCAACGTCCGCATTTAAATCGGGTTATGCAAGTTAGGGGTAACTCTTTCTATTTATGCTTGTAAACGGGTTATTCTGATCAACTAAGAAACCCGAATACCGACCTTAACCCAATCATAACCCGGATATTGGCTGCATGTAAACGTAGTCATTGTCACTAGGCATTAGGAACAGTGACAAAGTGGAACTGCCTCTCTCTCTCTGCTGCTAAAGCTACTGATAGCAAATGCTACGGGCTACGCCTGAGCGTGAACGTGCATGAAGCAGCCTGCTCGACCCGAGCGTCTCTCTTTTTCTGTGATTTTACAGAAAAACAGTCAATCACAGTAAAAATGCCAGGACTAATTCTACAGGACCAGGGCATTGCAGGAGAATGTATGAAGAAGACATTTATTATTTCTATACATGTTTTGGCTGTCAAACTTCCATAATGTCCCTTTAATAAGATGAGTCAGTAGCAAGAAAAAAATGACCTCATCACAGTAGGAGGAAGTTTTCTAAGAAGAATAACATTAATTTGGCTTTAGAGGTTAATAAACCTCCTACCAGGCAGATCAGCGGCGTGAAGAAAAGCCAACAAAGCTTCCACCAAACACACGGCCGATAGCCAATCATATCCTCGATGTTCTTGTAGAATCTCTCAGCTCCTGTGGACAAAGAGGAATTGTGTAAGTGTGTGAATGCTGGGATAAAAGGAGAGGGGGAGAAGGAATGTGTGATGGTATCTGAGATGTAATTTCCTGTTGGATGGCTGCAACATGCTAAGAGCTTATTCACATGATTTTCTCAAATAGTTTAAGCTGCAGTTACGTTTAATATCTGAAAGCATCTGCACAAAACAAACAAGCCTCCTACCATAAAACCAGGATATGGAAATGGTTTCAAAGAAGACAAGGAAGAGGAGACACATCCCACTGGCAGAATAGTAATCAAACAGCTTGAAGACATAGAGACCACCCTGAGAGGTTTCAACAGACACAGAGATGGAGGCTGAATATTAACTTGCCTTTTTTAAACTAATACACCTTAACAGCAGGACGTTGCTCTAGTTTGTGGAGAGGTGTTATTCTGAAAAAATGTTTCCAAACATCATCGTAAGACAAAACCACCTGTGTAATATTGGAGAAGCCAATGGTGAAGGAGATGAAGCAAATAATGAGGATGAAGACCTTCTTCCTCCTCCTCAGCACCAAAGGATACTCGTCCACCAGAGCTGTGATGAAACCTTCGACTGTGCAAAACTGTAATAATGAAATAAAGAAATGACGGAATGCGACATCACCATTACGTAATCCTTCAATTAAAGAGAGATGAAGTTGGATGATTTCATGGAGCAGATTGCATTATAGTGCGTTCGATTTGTCCTCGGAACTCAGAAATCCCCACCTCCGAGTAGGAAAAATCAATTGAAATGCCCCCCTACGTCGGATCTCCAAGTCGGAAACTCGGAAAATTTTCACAACCCCGACTTCGAGATCCAAAATGGCAGCTCTCCGTATCAACAACAATAGTTTTGATTGAAGTGTTTATTTTACAAGACACACTTATAAGAGTGCGTCTAAAATCAATGTTATATGTAGCGCCTGCAACTCCAAGCTGATCAATTTAAAAGTGTTGTTTTACATCGTCTTTGTCTCTCTTCGAATATTTTTTGAAGATGAGCTTTATGTGTGTTCATGAGTCGTCTGTGTTCGTTGAGAGCTAACAAAACAGCAGTTTTCGAGGGTGTCGCCATATTGGAATCCCGACTCCTCCGTCTCCGGCAAACAGAACGCTATTAACTCGGGTGAGACGTCATTCCTAATTCCGAGTTCTGACTTCCGAAGAAAATCGAACGCACCCTTAGGACCAGTTATCGTACAGTACTGATCTTTGAGCATTGGGTTGCGTTAGACAGATTTAATACACAATTTGTTTTTGCACCATAGTCAGTTTTTTTTAACCATGAAGAATGTATTTTAACACCAGAGAAACATGCTGCGTGGGTGTGCAGTCAGACTTGTGTTTTAGTATTGAAATTAAATTTCAGAAAACCTGTTTAAACCAACAATGCATCTTCAGCTGAGACAATGACCTTACTTCATAGTAAAGCTCAGAGTGAAACCACCATGTTAACAACACATCTTTTATCTCGTGTGGTACCTGGCTGTCCAGGCCAAGCATCATGAGCATTGAGAAAAAGAGGATGGCCCATAGAGAGGACATGGGAAGCTGGGTGACAGCCTGAGGATAGGCTAAAAATGCCAAACCTGGACCTGAAAATGAAAGTTAGAGAAGAAATGACTTCCGAGATGCATTGTTAAAGTTATAAACAAAATCACTCAAAAGTTGGGGATTCTTTGTGAATGATGTGAGTTATCTGAAGCATCAGCAATGGTTTGTCCACAAAAAATAATTAAAAACATGTGTTTCATCAATCATCAATCTAATAATGGACACCACATATCTAGCCTGGCCTGTCAGACTCCTCCTCTGTTTGATTCTGCACAGAGAAAGGGTCTGGGAACTCTCCTATTCAAATAACCCCACCCCCTGAGAATTCTAATCGAGTCAATCAGCGCTGAGTAGCGTGCGCCACACACCATAACGCTGAGGTTGTCATAAACATGGCGACTGAAGCAGAGTTTGCTGCGGCTCTTTCCTCTGTTCTAAAGGACTTTTGACTAAACAACTACAGTGTCGTGCGGTGTCGGTACAAGATCTGCTCGGGTGCAAGATCGGCTCGGGGTCCGTCGACTGCCGATGACGTCTAAGTAGTTGATTGGCTGAACATGAACCTTACGGGAGTTACGTAATCACGTTACTTTGTTATCACGTTAAGTTGGTCCAGGCAAATTTTTCTGTTGGAAAGATGGACAACTTTTACAAAGAAATCCATAATTACCTCTTTGAAAATACACTTTTAGCATAGAGCTGCATGTATATTAGGGCTGAACGATTAACTGCATGTGCAATGAAATTGCGAGGTGACAAAATGAGATTTTCTAATCGCAAAGGCTGCAATTTGGCAGCGAGTGGTTAGCTCAACGCTAATATACATGGAAAAACCCATAGGAATGCTAATGCTAATATCACCAATCACATTCTTACAAATTATGAATTAGAAACGTGCCAAATGATTACATTTGGAGTCTAATAGAAAGTAAAACTAACATCAATCAAATAAGTACAGACAGGTATTTTAGTAAAGCCAGGAAACATTTAACTCCAGAGTTTTGGCCAGCAGCTATGAGCGTAACTGAACTACGCATGGACAAGACGTCAAAAACTCTAAACACAAAATACTTCAATAAACGGGACACACTTCTTTCCTGCAAATACAATTTCGCAGGTGTTGCTAATACCTATGATCCTTCAAGGGATGTGCTCAAAGAGGAGTTCAACATTATGAATTCAATAGTGTTTTATTTTACAAATACCATTATAAACGCAAACTTACGTCGTAAGAAACATTATTTTAATAACAAAACTGTTAAATTCTTTCCAACAGTATAGATGTGTAGTGTATTTTGTCCGAGTGGGTTTGCCGTTTGACGTCATCGGCAGTCGAAGGACCCCGAGCCAGTCTTGCACCCGAGCAGATCTTGTACCGACACCGGTATAGTCGGCATTTCCGTCTTTTTTCTGATTGGTTATTTCTGAGCTGCCTAATCCCACCCCTCATGTGCCTCTCTGCCTGTGAGACTCTTTATCTGAGCAGAATTAAACAGAGGAGTATGGCAGGCCAGGCTACCACATATTTGCCAGGCTGGAAATTATTCAGTGAAATAAAAATCCTGATTTCTATCTTTGAATATGTGTTTCCATGGAATAAAAAAATAAATAAATAAACTCATGATGTTGTTGTCACGTGGGAGGCAGGGGCAGACCGTGACAGTTGTAGTATGAATTTTCATCTTCATCACTTCAGAATTGTTTTGGTCTGGATAGATCTGTTATTCCCTGCTTCCCAGCTCCCCCTTGTTGTGTTCAGTTTCAGTTTTTTCACGTGTCTGAGCAGAACCTCCCTGAACCGTCTACAGGTGGTTCAGAATGCCTGTGCTCGGCTTCTGACCAAGTCCTCCAAACACACCCACATCACCCTGCTTCTCCTCCAGCTTCACTGGCTGCCAGTCAACTTCAGGGTTAATTTCAAGACCCTGGTTCTGGTCTATAGGGCCTTACATGGACAAGCACCATCTTACATTGGTGATCTTCTTAGTCCCTACACCCCCAGCAGGTCCCTGAAGTCCAGTGATCAAAGCCTACTGGTTGTGCAGCACCAGGCTAAAGACCAAAGGTGACAGATCATTTGCTGCTGTGGCCCCCAGACTCTGGAACTCTCTCCCCTTGAGCCTGAGATCAGTGGACTCAGTGGTCTCCTTTAAAAAGCAGCTGAAGACTCACTTGTTCAAGCTGGCTTTTGTATGACCTTCTTCACCACTCTCTCTTTATTCTGCTCTCCCCACCTATTCCACCTTCCTCAGATCCACTGATTTCCCTCTTTCCTATTCACTCTCTCTCTTTCTTAACATTTTTTTAATCACAATTGTCTATTTTTGCTCATTTAAAATATATTTTTTAACCATTTTCTAAATGCTTTTTAATATTTTTACATTTTTTTGTTTTTGTGAAGCGCCTTGTGATTTTAATCTTGAGAGGCAATATAGAAATGATATTTTCTTCTTCTTCTTCATTTGTCTCATTCAGCTGTTTTCTACCAGTTAATCAGTCCAGCTTCATTCACTTAGTTATCATCTACTTCAACATATTTATTTATTTCCCTCCTACATGCATTTGCTTTGTGCGTTAGAAAGCTTTCTTTTTTCTTTCTTGCAAGTATTTTTGTTTTTGATTTTTTTACCTATCCAGTTCTCTGCCTTCCTAGTCTGCATCTTGTCTGCTACAAGCAATCCCACATTTTTGAGTGGAAGTTCAACAACAAAACATAAATTATTCCTCTGTAAGCATCCAATAAGCTAACATGTCCAACGCAGTTATTCACAGTTTTCATTCTACCAATATAACTCTCTCAGTATGTTTCACAGCCAACAACACAAAGTATACCTGATGCTGCCAATTCTTGCACAGGTTTCTTAGTAATGTGGGACATAAAGCCCACAATGGAGAAGATGACAAATCCAGCAAACATGCTGGTGCAGGAGTTGATGCAGCACACAATTATAGAGTCCCTGAAGTGGTGAGATCAAATCAAGCAATTAGAAGCAACGAAAGATAAAAAAAGAACAAGATAAAAGCCATTAAGGAGGGCGCTAAAAGCTTAGATCTCTTGTCACTACTTGTAGACATCATTGTTAAAGGTGTTGTAGCTTCCCAGTGCAATAAGCGAACCCAGGCCCAATCCGTAGGAAAAAAAGATCTGAGTCGCTGCATCCAGCCACACCTGGAGACAGAAACTCCTCATTAAAATGTAAGTTCTTATTTTTAAAGTTACGTGTAGATTCAGGGACACTGTACCTCAGATCGCATGAGCTTATTGAAGTCGGGGGTGATGTAGAAAAGGATACCATCGATAGCTCCTGGAAGAGTGACCCCACGGAAGAACAGGATGAACAGCATAAAGTAAGGGTAGGTGGCTGAAAAATAAACCACCTCAAAGAGAAAAAAAAGTCATTTTAGTATATTTATCCAGCCCAAAAATCTAGACAAACTGTAGCAGTAGCAAACACTTTTTGCTCTGCAGGCTAAACAGTAATTGGCTTGAATTTGATATAACAACCTCTAGGGTTCTACAACCTCCCCCAAGGCACTTTACAACACACTCAGTCATTTACCCACACACACAAATTCACACTCTGGTGTTGATCAGCTACAAAGTAGCCACAGCTGCCCTGGGACGCGCTGACAAGCGAAGCCACCAAACACTGGCGCTACCGGTCCCTCCAACCACCACCAGCCTGGTCTAGCTACAATCCATTGTACCTTCAGCAAGTCTAGCAGGTTAACTAAGTTTAGGCCAATCACAGTGCTCCATGTGTGTAGAGGGAAGTTTGGTGGGCATAGCACCGTTATGGCAGACATATGATGACGGTGGAGCTGCGATGGGGCAAAACAACAATGACGGCGGAGCTCAGGAACAAGATTCGTTTGAAAAATCGCTTTGTATGATTTATATTTGATCTCTGTCTCTGAGTCATGGCCAGACTAAATATTTGCATATATAGGATGGCTTGCCTGGCTAATATTAACTAATTAAAAACTTTTCAACAGCTTTGATGTCTGCATATTTATTCATCATCACAACCGTAAATAAGTCATCTTTTTAATCTGGAATCAGCTTCTAAAATAGATTAATAGTTTTTTTTTTGCATGAGAATCGGTATGTAGCTCACAGTTGTGTAACTTAATGCTTATTATTAATTGGTAATGTCCATCAAGACCCCAGCCTGGAGGGAACTCGTTTTTCTCACTTTTCTCAGATGCCTCACATTAAAATCCAATTATCCCGAGCAGTAAATGTGTAAATGTGTTTCTGCTTGTATATTTTGCTTCAACATGCTGTAATTAAAATTTCCAGGCAGAAGGCAGGGTGATGTTCTTATCTTGTTCTGTTTTTCTACTCATACATTCAAATCAACAAGCTATTTGGCATCTAAAATCCTTTAAAATAGCTTTGCTTAAAGTGATGAAGTGATTGGGTTTTGCACATCGTGCAGGTCAGAGTTGAACTACTTATAAAAGAGGGTCTCCAGTACTGGGATACATTACCACACTCGATGCCAGCAATAAGCAACAATTAACCGCTAAGTGAAACAGCTGTAAAAACACGCTAACTGCACCGATCGAGAAAAACACACATTAGGGACAATGCAATATGATCCTATCCACAGCAGACTTTATAAAGTGACAGTTTTAAAACATAAATTCTTTTATACAAATTTCTTACTTGAAACTTGGTGAATTATTAGTAAAATTCCTATTTTCATAATTCAATTTTTTTCTTGTTTTTCACAGAAAAGCATTGAAGACCAAGTCGTCTGAAATGGTAGAAATAGAAATTTGAAAGGTCTGACCTTTCCTGTCCACTCCACTCCTTTCCAGATTGAGAAGTAGACAAGGATCCACGCCAGAGCTAAAGTGCCCACCAAGGGCCACCGAAGCTCTCCCGGCTCCTCCAGTCCACCTGACAGCTGATGCATGTTACGCCTGCAGAAACACGCCTACATACTGAATACGGAGCATTTGACGCTGAAATGTGCATGCAGTTTTAGTGGTTTTACTGGCTTACTCCCAGAACTCTGTGACAGCGCTGGTCAGGTTGGTGGTGTCTGGCAGGCTGTAGTTGGAGAAACACTTTTCTGTGTTCCAGGAGTTGTTGCAGCTCTGCCAAGGCAGCTCCTGCACACAGAAAACAAAACACAATGACATCAGGGGTGCCTCCAGAAAATTATGATGGGGTGGCCAGATAGCGCCAAAAACATTTTTAGGGTGGCACACCAAATTGGTCCTTGTGGTGGCTCTGGGAGAATTTAGCCTGTGGCGATGTACTGCATTGCGCCTTTATTCGTTTTGATTAAAATAACAGTACATATCCAAAACATTTACTTTAAATTTTACAAACACAAACATTTCAGAAACATACATTTAAGTTATATAAAATGTTATCCCTAAATTAATTTAAAAACATATTTTTTAGGTAAATTCATCTGTTGCAGTGTTAAAAAAAATTATGGAGATAAAAAAAAATTTAAATGATGAGCAGCAGAAACATGTTTTTTTATTCGGATTATGTCTTTACTCATTAATTGTAATATTTTTATTTTGTTTTACAATTATGCCTTGAATAAACAAGATCAATATATGGTTTGACTGAACATTAATATGACTTGTTAACAGTGGCTTTTCCTGGGAGGGGGCAGCAATTTACTAGGGGTGGCCATGGCCACCCCTGGCCACCCCTTGGGGGTGCCCTTGAATGACATGTGGCTGTTTTGCATTTAGTCAAACTCAGTGAGGTGGAAAAAATGGTTTTCCTAAAAACAAAGACAAACCGAGGATTTGCATCAGATACACGCTTACTTTTTTACTCTGCTGAAAAACAAAACGTAACATTTCTGTCCTTGACTATTCACTCACCTGTTTCATTTGACTCAGTAGCATCAAACGTTACAAAGAGTTCCCAGAACACAGGAGACAGACGAGTAAATGGGAACTATTCAACAATGAAAATGACATTTTAAGAACTGACCTTCATCTCAGTGCATTACACATGAATGAAAGCAGTTTTTACTTGCTCCGTTTCCCTAACAACCTCATGCCTTTAAAAGCTTTTGGACCATTTTTATGCATCAAATAACTTCAGAAATATTTTGATAAACAAATAAAGCAATATCTGTTGTGAAGGGCGACGAACACACCGAACCAAAGGAATTGAAAAAGTAATAGAGAGCCCAAGCAATGATGATGATGTAGTAGATGTTTAGCCAGAAAGACAGGACGACTGCAGCCAGACCAACACCTGGAAAAAAGAACAGAACAGATGTGAGTGTTGCGCAAAGGGAGTAAATGATAACTAGTACTTGAAAATCTTGTCACTTTTGAATCTATCCATCCATTTTTTGCTACTTATCCATCAGGTTGCAAAGGTAACCGATCTAGGAGAAAACTCCAGACATCCCTCTCCCCCAGTAACACTTCAACTGTGTAATCTCCCCACTGAATTCTGGATCTACCCCAAGATAATCTCAACGGAATATCCTTTGTAAACATCCAGAGAGAGAAAACCAGGAGGCCTCCAAAACAGATGCATAAACCATCTTACACCACTCTTTTAGATGTGGAGGGGCAATGGGTCTACAACAAGATACTTGAAGTGTTCCAGTTGAGGCAGAAACTAACACCCAACATGGACGGAGGCCAAAAGTCATGTTTCAGGTTTAAAGGAAGACTCTCATCTTGGCTGATTTAAGCTCACCTGCAAAAATCCCCATTGCACAGAGAAGATCAAGATTTGAAAAGACCAATGGGATCGAACAAGAAAACCAAACTCCCTCAATACTTACAGCAACTCTGCATGAGCAACAATCAAGAGCAGGAGGCTCAGGACTCCAATCAGCAGAGGTGTGACCAAGTCATGGCTTTGCAAGTCACAAGTAAGCCACAAGTCTTTCTACTCAAGTCTCGAGTCAATTCCAAGTCAAAGACAACCGAGTCCAAGTCGAGTCCAAAGTCAGTGGTGTGGAAGTCCAAGTCAAGTCCAAGTCCTTAACTTTGAATTTTCAAGCCGTATTCAAGTCATCTGTCTGACTTCAATTTAATAACAACGATACTAAATAAATTCCAGAAATAAAGCTTCTTAAGGCTTGATTTATTTGCTCAAACAAGCAGGAAGTGCAATAGAAATTGATTATAAACAAAGTGCTGCTGTAGTTAGCAAAATCAAACCCAGAACAAAGAATGATTTATGATTTTTATCCGTGTCGTGCCACTTTTGTGCTAAAATATCAAATATCCTCAAGTCATCATCAAGTCAACAGACGCAAGTCAATTCAAGTCACAAGTCATTGGCGTTCAGTCCGAGTCAAGTCGTAAGTCTTAATAGATTTGATCAAGTCAAGTCAGAAGTCATTAAAATAATGACTCAAGTCTGACTCAAGTCCAAGCCATTTGGCTCGAGTCCACACCTCTGCCAAACAGCACTTCCTCCTGTTTCCTGGAGTCTTCCACGCTGCCTCCTCCTCCTCCTCCTCCTCCCTCTCCTGTCTGCACAAATGCTCCTGATCTGCTGATCACCACCTGAGCACATCAATGGCAGAGCTGCCAGAAGCAGGGCAGGGTGCAGATCTGTGCTGCTGCCCCTAATTGCTCCACATTAGATGTGCTGACTATTTATGGTTTTAATAGAGGCGCTTGAGTGAGCTCTGTACATCTTAGATGTGTTCTTGCTGTGTCTTTGTAAATCCATGCTTTCGTTCTTTTTTAAACACAGAAACAGTTTTGTTTACCTGTTTGTAGCTACGGTTTCGCCGACAGCTGCCGGCTTCTTCAGGCTGACGCTGATGGTGGCGCGTCACTTCCTTCTCCGTCCTCTGCTGCCCGCAGATAAACGGAGAAGGAAGTGACGCGCCACCATCAGCGTCAGCCTGAAGAAGCCGGCAGCTGTCGGCGAAACCGTAGCTACAAACAGGTAAACAAAACTGTTTCTGTGTTTAAAAAAGAACGAAAGCATGGAGCTCTGTACAGAAAATAGCCATAATAGTAATAAAAATATTAGCTTAATATTAGAAAATGCTGAACCAAGGACTGGATCTGTGCTGGACTTTTGTAAAGGAGTTTGCATTAATTCAGCTTTGTTTTCAAGATAAAAACCATGAGTCAGACTATTTGATTGTTTTTTTAAACTGAGAGTGGAGCGTTGTGTGTTTAAAATCCTTTAAAAAACATACGATTTTTATCAGCATGTACACGTCTCTTTAAGTTACCCCTTTCCTCCACCTAGACCAGCCACAAGGGTCATTATACTTGTCTCTAAACCTAAAGTACTCGATATTTACCTTTCATCATGGGGATAAGTCTCCACACTCCTAATCCGCCCACTGAGGTGAACTGTCCTAGAGCAGTCTCCAGGAAAAAGAGCGGTATCCCAGCAAACACCAAGGTCATGAAATATGGGATCAAGAAGGCACCTGAAAGGTAAACACAGAAAAATATCACAATGTGCTCTTAGAGTCATAAAGAGTGTAGCGACATGAATGGCCTCATTTTGTGACCCAAAGGTCACACTTCCCCAGCCAGGTCACGCTGTCCTGGCTGAACTTCTGTCCCACAGATTATCCATCACAGGAGACATAAAGTCTGCTGAAAACCATCTTTAATCTGAATGCCTTTTATCTGTCTGCTGTTCCTCTGCAAGATGAAGGACACTTCAAGATGTAAAATAATCATTTTTAATAAACTCTTTTTACTGTTTATTACAAGGTTCATAATAATTCAATTCAATTCAAGTTTATAGCGCCAAATCACGACAAGAAACGTCTCAAGGCACTTCACATAATAAACATTACAATTCAGGTCGGTTCATTAAGCCAATCAGAAATAATGTTTCCTATATAAGGAACCCAGCAAATTGCATCAAGTCACTGACTAGTGTCAGTGACTTTACAGCAATCCTCATACAAAGCAAGCATTTAGCGACAATGGAGAGGAAAACTCCCTTTTAACAGGAAGAAACCTCCAGAGAATCCTGGCTCAGTATAAGCAGCCATCCTCCACGACTCACTGGGGATCGAGAAGACAGAGCAGACACACACACACACACACACACACACACACACACACACACACACAGACAAAGTAATGTGTCTATAGATATATTGTGATTTCTTAGTAAATATTCTATTTGGTGAGAGATAAACTTTATTGTATTTATCCTAGTGGATCTATAATTAAATGGATAAACTAGTAGTAGCACATTCAACGTCAAGGAAAGCAAAAAGTTATTATCAGGAGAGGGAGATTGTTTAAGTGGTTAGCAGCAGTGTGCTAGACGATGGCCCCCTCCATGAGGCCACCACAGCTCAGCAGAACATCATTGTAGCTTCTTCTGGGGAGAAAAACACTTAGAGAGAAAATAAAGTTAACAGATGAAATTGCAGAAAATAATACAGTTAAAGAGCAGATTGTAAAAGAAAGTAGTAGAGTGTGAAAAGTGGTCAGTGTGTCCTCCAGCAGTCTAAGCCTATAGCACCATAACTACAGAGATAACTCTGGATAATCTATCCTATTTAGATGGGAGGCATGTTGGAGGCAGGGCAAGGGAGAGCCGTCTTTACCGAATGTTCACTCCACCTCCCTCTACTCCCCCACTTGTCCAGATTTAGGCTAACATCAGATTTTAACCATAGGCCCTATCAAATAAAAATGTTTTAAGCCTAGTCTTAAAAGTAGACAAGGTGTCTGCCTCACGGACTAAAGCTGGGAGCTGGTTCTACAGGAGAGGAGCCTGATAACTAAAAGATCTGCCTCCCATACTAATTTTAGATATTCTGGGAACCACCAGTAAACCTGCAGTCTGAGAGCGAAGTGCTCGGTTAGGAACGTATGGAACAATCAGATCACTGATGTATGATGGAGCTTGATTATTAAGAGCTTTATATGTGAGAAGAAGGTTCTTAAAATCTATTCTGAATTTAACAGGTAGCCAATGTAGGGAGGCTAAGACAGGAGAGATATGATCTCTCTTTTTAATTCTCATCAGAACTCTAGCTGCAGCATTTTGGACAAGCTGAAGACTTTTAACTACATTCTGTGGACTTCCTGAGAGTAATGAATTACAGTAATCCAGTCTTGATGTAATAAATGCATGAACTAGTTTTTCAGCATCACTCCTGGAAAGGATGCTTCTAATCTTATCAATATTCCGAAGATGGAAAAAGGAAATCCTACAAACCTGTTTAACCTGGGATTTGAGTGAAATGTCCTGGTCAAAGATAACACCAAGGTTCCTTACTTTGTTCTCGGAGATTAATGTAATGCCATTCAGGTCAGGTGATTGACTAAGCAATTTCCTTTTCTGGATTTCTGGTCCAAAGATGAGAACTTCCATCTTGTCTTGATTTAAAAGCAAAAAGTTTAGAGTCATCCAATTTTTTATGTCCTCAAGACAAGCCTGTAATCTACCCAACCAATTAGGTTCATCAGGGTAATGGATAAATATAACTGAGTATCGTCAGCATAACAGTGGAAGTTTATCCCATGCTGTCTAATGATTTTACCTTTTGGAAGCATATATATAGTAAAAAAAATTGGTCCAAGCACTGAACCCTGTGGTACTCCACAAGTAACCCTGGAGTATGAAGACGATTTGTCATGTACATTTACAAAATGAAATCTGTCAGACAGGTAGGATTTAAACCAGACTAACACTGTTCCTTTGATCCCTACAACATGTTCAAGTCTTTCTAAAAGAACATTGTGATCTACTGTGTCAAAGGCAGCACTGAGATCTAACAAGACTAGAACAGACACAAGATTCTTATCTGAGGCCATGAGAATATCATTTGTAACTCTCACTAACGCAAGTTCAGTGCTGTGAGACTCTCTAAAACCAGACTGAAATTCCTCAAACAGAGCATTAGTGTTTAAATGCTCACATACTTGGATGGCCACTATTTTCTCCAGGACTTTGGATAAAAATGGAAGGTTAGATTTTGGTCTATAATTCATTGGGTCATCTGGATCCAGAGAAGGCTTCTTAAGTGAAGGTTTGATTACAGCAACCTTAAAATCCTGTGGTACATATCCATTTACTAAGGATAGATTGATTATATCTAGAATGGGGGCAGTAACCACAGGAAATGCTTCTTTAAATAATTTGGTTGGGATTGGATCCAAAATGCAAGTTGAAGGTTTAGATGAAGCTAATATTTTTGATAAATCTGAAAGCTCAACTGGATCAAAACGGTTCAAGCACAGATGAGGTTCTACAGTCACCTCTGATGCTGCCTCACTTACTGAGGAAGAAGAAATCGCATTCGGGAGGATGCTAAAGATTTGTTTCTAATAGAATTAATTTTACTTGTAAAAAAACCCATAAAGTCATTGCTGCTGAGGGCTAAGGTAATATATGGCTCAGAGCTATGATTCTGTGTAAGTTTAGCAACTGTACTGAAAAGAAATTTAGGATTATGCTTATTCTCCTCAATTAATGTTGAGAAATAAGCAGTTCTAGTTTGTCGAAGCTTATTTTTATAAAGCACAAGACTATTTTTCCAGGATAGGTAGGCCTCCTCATGGTGCATAGAGCGCCATGTTCTCTCCAATTTCCAAAGGTTTTTTTTTAAGGCTCGTAAATGAGAATTAAACCAGGGAGCCAACTTCCTGTCCCTAATTACCTTCTTTTTTAAACGGGCAACATCATCTAATGCCACATGTAAAGAGGAATTAACATGATGAACTAAGGCATCAATGTGTGAGGGGCTAGAACTGAAAATATTGCCCTCTGCTACATGCCTCTGAGATGCTGAGGACAGTAAAGATGGAACAGTTGACTTAAAAGATGCAACTGCGTTGTCAGATAGAGACCGACTATAGTGAAATTTACTTTCATGTCTCGAGAACTCAGTTATAAAAAACTCAAAGGTTATCAGAACGTGGTCAGAGAGGACTGGATTATGTGGAAAGATTGTTATTTCCTCACACTCTATGCCATAAGTCAGCAATCATTTTCAATGTCCACATGAATATTAAAATCCCCCACTACAATGACCTTATCAGTATTTAGCAACAAATCAGATAAAAAATCAGAGATCTGATCCAAAAACTCAGAGTAAGGGCCTGGTGGACGATATAAAACTACAAACAAGAGTGGTTTTACAGTTTTGCAATCTGGAGTAGGAAAACTAAGAATAAGATATTCGAACGAACTGTAGCTATTAATCTGTAAGGGACATATTAATAAGTCAGAACAAAAAATGGTTGCTGCTCCTCCTCCTCGCCCTTTACTTCGAGCAATATGATGATTTAAATAATTTGAAGGAGTCGACTCGTTTAAACTAACATAGTCCTCTTGCTGCAGCCAGGATTCTGAGAGAGAGAACAAAGAAATCTGATTATCACAAATCAAGTCATTAACTAACAAAGTCTTAGAAAAAATGGATCTAATGTTCAACAACCCACATTTAATTTTTCTAGTTTTCTGCTCAGTTGAATTTATTTTAATATTTATGAGATTTCCATGATTTGCTTTATTAAGCCTGATATTTAATCTGTGTGATTTTGGCCGTGGGCGTAGCTGCAGAGGGGTGTGTTAAACTACGACTCTGCTTCCTGGTCTGGACTCTGGGTTGTCATGGAGGACTAATAAAACTGGCCATGTTCGTAGAAAGAAGAGCTGCTCCATCCAAAGAAGGACGGACGCCGTCTCTCCGCATCAGACCAGGTTTTCCCCAAAAAGTTTTCCAATTATCAATGTAGCCCACGTTGTTTTCAGGACACCACCTAGACAACCAGCGGTTGAAGGACAGCATGCAGCTAAACATGTCGTCACTGGTCTGATCAGGCAGGGGGCCAGAGAAAATTACGGAGTCCGACATTGTTTTGGCAAACTTATACACCGAAGCAACATTAATTTTAGTGACCTCCGATTGGCGTAACCGGGTGCCGTTACCGCCAGCGTGAATAACAATCTTACTGTATTTACGCTTATCCTTAGCCAGCAGTTTCAGATAAGATTTAATGTCGCCCACTCTGGCCCCAGGTAAACATTTAACTATGGTTGCTGGAGTCTCTAATGCCATGTTTCTGACTATGGACCCAATGATCAGAGTCGGCTTGTCAGTGGGTGAGTCACTGAGCGGGGAAAATCTATTAGAAACGTGGACGGGTTGGTGGTGGCCCACGGGCTGGGTTCTATGCTTCCAGCATACCGTCACCCAGCTGGCCTGAGGTCCCGGCTGCTCGGGTTCTGCTGGAGGATCACTACAGGGTTGTTCTGAGCTAGTTAGCCCTGCGCTAGCTAAGTGGCTACGGCTGTTACGGGTTTTACAACAGCGCGGAGCCGGGACTCCAGTTCCAACACCCTCGCCTCCAAAGCTACAAAAATGCTACATTTATTACACGTACCATTATCGCTAAAGGAGGCAGAGGAGTAACTAAACATCTGACACAGAGAGCAAGAGATAGGAGACGGAGAAGCAGAGACAGAAGTAGCCATAGCCGTGCTGAGGCTAAGTTAACTGGACGAGCAAACTGTTCAACATCAAATAAACTGTGTGCGAACTCAAATGGTTCCCTAAAAGCTAGGTGGAAGAACAGAAAATGTGTGTTTTAGCGTGCTTATGTGCTACAATAACTCAGAGATATCCTAGTACAGAGACATTAAATCAGCTTTAGCGAGCCCCAAACACCAAACAGCTACACGTAGTGCAACACTGAAAACAGGAAACAGGAAACGCCTTACCGCCAGGTGCAGCCTGGCGGTAAGGCTGAGGCGTCAATACACAGAATGGTGTATATTTGGTTATTAAATAAGAAAAGATTCCATTAAGTCATTAAATGATACCATGATGATTATAATCATCATCATAATCATCATCATAAATAAGCATCATGGTTCATTATAAATGTATTTAAATACTGAAATCACTTATTGTTCTTTGGGTAATAATTATTATTATTTATGATAATCAGTAATGTTTAACAGTGTGACACAGGTTTGCGTTTGACACCAAGTTTAATATCAAAGTTGTTATAAATTGTCATTTATAAATTGCCATTTATAAGTTGTCATCTTTAAATTGTTAGTAAGAAATTCTTAACTTTATAAACCTGACTCTTCTTTGAAATGAAACACAGAATGGTGTATATTTGGTTATTGAATGAGCAAAGATTCCATTAAGTCTTCTGTTTAATAAATAAACTTCTGCTATTAATTACATTTCTTAAATTAAATATTAATCTTTGGATTAAATATAGACCAAGCCCATTGGTGTTGAACTTCTATCAATTATATAAATATCCTGGATATTTATATATGATATAAGCTTCGTTTGCTAACTTGTTTGATCTTCTTCAGAATCTAGCAAAGCCGATAGCAAACAGCATTAATTCTAGTATGTAGATTATCTACGCTACAAGAGCGAGTGAAAATTCTCTTTTGCTACTTCAACTTCAACCCGCCAAAATAAGAAGCTTTTCCTGTAATAGAAGACCAACAAATGTTCAACCTTCCTTCCTGCCTGAGGATTTTCCGCACAATTGGTTTTTCGTGACTAAAGCTGTAGAGTTGATTCAGTTATTAGATCATCCAAATGAAGAAGATTCATCTTCCAGTTGCCACTGGGAAGGTTTTCATTTTGATGGAGAGAAAAGCCCTAATTTAAAAAGCAAATGCATTCATAAAATACTCTATTTCTACAATATGCATCATTAAATTATCTATGAAACATTGTTTTTGTTAAACTGGTTGTGTAGCTGAAAGGAAAATGGGTTCTCTCAGCTTTACTACTGAGGCGACGGTTGTTATGGCTAAAACCCATCATATTCATTGCATAATTCTCCACACTTACCTCCACCATTCTTGCCACACAAATAAGGGAACCTCCAGACATTCCCTAAACCAATGGCATATCCCACACATGACAGCAGGAAATCAAACTTCCCCTTCCAGCTTCCCCTGTCGGGCAGGACCACATCTTTCTCTGTCTCGTCTGGATGAGGGGCCGTGGGATCCAGTTCCTCAGATGGGACAGCTTCTTTGACCTCTGATGGGGAGTTTAAGTCTACTGTGCTCTGCCCAGTCTTCCCCATAGTGGGACCACTTTGGTCCAAAGAGGTCAGTGACCTTTAGTGTCCTCACAACCTGGGTTTGTTGGAGCTGCTGCCTTGCTGAGTGCAACACACTGAAATCGTGAGTGGACAGACCCAGACTGATGTGCTGGCCACAGATGTTCAGGAGGTCTGCAGAGAAAATCAAAACAGTTAGATTTTATTTTATTTTTTCTTTACAATAGTTGGTGTAGTTATGAAAAATTGAAGGGCATCCAGATAACAAATATTGATGTTCAGGGCTGTGATTGCACATTAATTCATATACATATAAAGAGCCTAACAGAAAATTAAATAATCACCAGATGGTTGGTGATGGTATTGATGAATACATATAGTGGACTTTAGCTCCCCACATGAGAGAGCAGCCAACACCTGCACGAACATGATTAATCAACTTAAACCACAAACAACAAGAAGGAAACCTCTAGCACCAAACGTCTTTAATGTTCCTCAGACTACTCTTATTCATTCAGCCTTTGATAGGGAGGCAAACTTAGATTTCTGAAATCTGTTCTCAGCATAAACATGAAAATAAATGTGGAGAATGTGGTTCCAAACTTCTACAGGTTCCTAGCAGTCACTCTTAAGATCTGACCACCTTGTACTTAATTAGCAAACATCCAAAAGAAACTAGTTGGTCAACCAGAGTGTGCTTACTGAAGTGTGGATCCTTAAAAGGTCACACAAATATAATGGGGCGTGACCATCTCAAACTTTAACAGGAAGCAGTAAAATCTTAAAACTAAATCTAAAACTGACTAGGAATCAGTTGAAAGCCCGGGTCAGATGCTCATGTTTTAGTTTATAGCCATAAAAGGATGTGACAAGTACACCAGGAGTTAAAGCTGGCTGTATTTCTATAGTGCTTTTTTCTCTTTAAGATTTTTGGTCATGCTCAACCAGTAATATTTGAGGCTGCCCAGTCCATGGTGTTCGGTCAGAAAATGTTTGAAGACCATTGATCTAAACCAAGATACAGAGAGTTACTGCGGCCTGAGGGGGAATGGCAAATGGACTGTATTGACAGAGTGCTATTCTTGTTTGCCAGACCAATCAAAACACATGAAGTTACATGTAACATTCACCCTACCACATCGCCGAATGCCTTTTATGAGATCCTCGCTGGGGAGACACAGCTTCATAATAGCTCTTAATATCTGTTTTATACATTTGTGTCTTCCTTACATCTTCCAAGTTAAAACACAAACACTTTCAAGGGATTGTATGTTCTAAGCTGCTGTGTGGGTGTGTCATCTCAAGGGAGAGGATTGCTGCTGTGCAGTTGATCTGAAATGAGTAGGCAGATCGCTCAAAGGAAGCAATCCTGGGAAACCGTCACGTTGAGCGCTGGAGGAGTTGGACCCAATGTGCAGACACCCAGAACGACACGAGGCAGGAGAGGAAGTAAAAGTAAACATTCTTTATTTAGAATGAAAAAATAAATAACCTAAAGAGGCACCAAGCCCAAAAAAACCTAAAGACCTAGTAGCCATTTTTTAATGACTGCAGTGTTTAATTTTTAAGTGAACTGTATGTTTGCAAATATTGATTGACCCAAAAAATCTCCAGGTTGCTTCAGTCGAGGTTAATTACAGATCTGTCACGATATGCTGGAGGTTGGTAGGACCCAAAATGCAGGAACCCAAGATGACACGAGGCAGGTGATAATATAAAGGAAAATCTTTTATTTTGAAGGATGAACCAAAGAATAAATCCAAGGCAGGGAGCCAAAAGTCCAAGTCCAAATCCAAATCCAAATCCAAAATCCAAAATCCAAAATCAAAAATCAAACCTAGAGACAAAAAACACTGGAGACTAGAGAAGACTGACAGAATAACCACAATGGACCGACACAACACAGAGACAAGACAGGGCTTAAATACACTGGGAGGAGTAATTAGGGAAAATGGCAGCAGGTGTGTGGAGTGAGGGCTGGAGGGAAGACAGGTGAATATAATTATCTAACTGGGAAAACAGAAACAGAGGAGGGAAAATAAACCTAAAACACAAAACTAAACAACAATATCTAAAGACAGAGGGAAGGGCTCACACACACACATACACACACTGACACACACATAAAACTCACACACACATACACACACTAACACACACACATATACTGAACTGGGGAACAAGAGGCTGGAGCTACAGGAGGCTGAGGATGACTATGAACACCGGACCTGAGGGGATGATATGAAGGCCTACAAACAGAGGACACACAAATGAGACACAGACAAAGGACACCTGAGGGCGCTATGAGACACAGAAGGGAATCTAGAGAGGGATAGAGAAACATGAAGGGAAGACGCAGACGCAGACCATGACAAGATCACTTGCTGATTTATGTGTCAGGCTCTGCTGAGCTGATCTTTGCCCAGTCGTCGCTGCTTATTATCACCCAAATGAGGGTTTTAAATGCAGCATAATCAATGTAATCATCAAAAGTTTGACACCGACTTGAAAATGACAGCTTTCAGCTGTCATTTTCAAAGCATCTGGTTATTATGAGGTTTAGCTGTAATTTATCATTTTGATGAGACTTTGTATAGCTTAGATGCTAAAGATCTGCTAAAAAGCCTTTAATAATGAACTGAACAGGTTCTTAGCAGAGTAATAAGCATAGTATTTGATGTATGTAGCCTATGTTTTGTGTAAATACACTGATCAAAATGGTTTAGGCACACATTCCTGTGTCAAACAACGTTGTGTTTAAAGCAGAGTACCAAGTAACCATCCTGTCATGTTAGGCCCTGATGATGAAATGATCAGATGTACGCTTTAAAACAACCTGCACATCAAAAGCAAACACATCAGGCACTCTCTTTGCGCAAGTCAGAGTTTATAGCTTTTGACAAGTATGAGTTTTAGGCTTTCATTAGCAGAAAAGTTTTCTCCAACACTTCGATAAACTAATAAAACAAGAGGACAATTTGTGTCTCCTGACACAAAGTTGAATGTCATTTTCATCGTGACTCAATGACAGACGTGGTAAATTAGAGTGTGCTGAAGGAGAGACTATTGATCTTACCTGAAAGATTCCAAGTCCTTTGTCAAGTCATCAGATTCAGTTCTGTACACTAGTAGCAGTCCCAAGTCTTCAAATTCAAATCCAAATATTAAGCCTAAAGAGCTTCCTGTTAATCCTTAAGAGCCAGCTGAAGTCACAGCATGCCTGGCACCATGTTTGGACATTAAAACTCTCCCTCATGCGTGCTGTCCTTTGGAGGCGGCTGATCCTGCAGCTGGTATTGAGTGTTTGATAATAAAGTTCGACCTGCCTACTTTGATTACAGCTCAGATCTGACTACTGAGGCCTTAAGGGGATGTGGCACGACTATTGCCCGACTCTGGTGGGGAACTCTCGCAGCAGGGGCAGTGAGTGTGCAAGTGTGTGTTGGTGTTTGTTATGATGGGCGCAGTAAACTCTTGCCAGCAGTGTTACCATGGTGTTTCTTTAAGCAGAATGGTCCGAATAGTGAAAGAGCTCATGGGAAAATGAAGTGATGGATGCTGGCAGAGGCCCTGGAAATGTATGAGCTCAAATGAGGTTGAGTCAGTATCAGACTCTGAGAAAATCAACACAGAAACTGACCTAATGTTCACCTGCAATGACTCGCAAATGAGCTTATGCAACAAGAAGAATAGATTCAAGTTCAAGAAGAGCAAAAATATTTTAACAACACAAAGATTTACGACTTTTTTTGAGGATTGTTATAATTTAAGACATCGTTTAGATGTTTTGCATTGCTTTTGCGTTTGACTTCCTGTCTGGCCCGATCTAAACAGCAGAACTGGTCGTGTTATGGAAGCGTAGCTTGTAAAAAATGGACTCAAAACATAATGATAACATCTCATCTGTTCTGGTCACACTTTGCTGCCAGAGGAAACAAAACCGTCTACCATAACGGCGGCCGTTTTACAACACTTTCACATCTGGAGGAAAGAAGGGGTAATAAACATTGAGCTCTAATCTGATTTGATAGTAACTGTTCGTTACATATTTAGAGCTCCACTGGTTGGTCATGAACTCTCAGATTCACCAGATGTACTAAAGCTGGTTAGCCTTTGTATTCAAACACACTCAGGGTGGCTGCCTGAACCAATTAACCTTTGAAAATACCAAAGTGGAACAGTTTTACAGATATGGAGCTAAAAGTCCATGTGCTAGAGACCAAGGATCATTTACAAGCATACTTGGAGTGATAACAGACATTTCTATTATGAGATCATGCAAAATGGTGTTTGCAAGATTTCAAAAAGCCAACAGTCAATGAAATAACATTCTAAGTGGTATTCTCAGTGTGAAATATGATACTTTAATTTCTCCAGGCACGTAAACTAATGACTATCACTATCTACAGATATTCTATTACCATCTAATTAAAAAAGCTAATGAACATTACTACATTATTCACAGTTTTCCTGGGGAAGAGGATCGTCACTTGGGTTTTAAAAGTGAACAATTTAAATCATTTAAAGTCATAATTACAGCTCCCATCAAAGGGAGGTTCAGCGTAATCTCTGACAAGGTTTGTTTTCCATCTGGACCCAAGTGAGGATAACTGGGCAGGATTGGAGTTGTCAGAGCTGGTTTTCATCAACTTGTTTACAGCATCACACAATCAATGCAGCCTGATTGTGTTTCCAGAGCATCCACAGCCAAGAATAATAGGGAGCAATTACGTGGGCGACAAAGGCTAGATGGTGGACAGAATGTCATGAAAACTAACGTTTGGTTTGTGTCAGAGTAATGGAAATAATATGATAACTTTACAAATTTGCTTACAAGTCTTTCTTAGAAAAAGTGGCATGTGTAGTTTTTTTTTTACAAGACAGAGTAAACAACATATGTCTTTTAATTAAGACTAGAAAATAGACTAGAGGAAACGACTTCACATAACCAACTAACATGAGATGAAACTCCTCTAATTGGTCATTATTTAACATTTTTGGAAACACCATTAACACTTGTGAGAAAGCGATTTTCTGAGTCTGCAAACGCAGAGATACACTTAGAGTAATCTGCATGCACAAGCACCAGTCCACTCTCTGCATAACGATTGCTTGAAGTAACAATTTGCAGAATAATGGCTGATTTCCATCATAAATCATGAGTGTAGGTTAGAAAAGTTGAAACTTTTTGAATTCTTTGGGACAACGTCCCAAAAAAGTACACTTTTTTCTGTACATTGATTTTTGCTGAAAGGTATGAATGCTGGAAATGAAAAGCAATAATTCTTCAGCTAGAACCATAAAAATGCTGACTCATCTATGGTTTATAGAATAAATAATATGTGCAAGAGTTTTTGGACAAAGTCATTCATTGTCATCTGGTGACGTAAGCCTAAGGTGTAAAACATTGTTGGCATGTTATTGGTAGAATCTGAAAAACTGACTGTCAACAGACCTTTTCTAACAATATATACTAGGGATGTGTATTGGAGAAATTTTGGTGATACGATATGTATCATGATACAGGGGAGACGAAGCAGTTTATCACAATATATTGCCATATCGATATTTTCTTACATCCTAATATACACGGTTGGTACTGAAAATATTCAGACACCTGTCAAATTTTCACTCTTTGTTATTTTGCAGCCATTTGCTAAAATCAATTAAATTACTTTTTTTCCTCATTAATGTATACACAGCACCCCATATTGACAGAAAAACACAGAATTTTTTAAATGTTGCAGAGTTATTAAAAAAAGAAAAACTGAACGGTTGGAGTTTGTTTAACTCGGGGTAAAGTCTAAGTATCAGTCACTGTAACTGATGAATATGTGGGTTACAGTGGCAGAGGAGTTAAGTGCTTGCCCTTTAATTAGAGGGTTGCAGGTTCAAGCCCCCACTGTCGCAGTAGTCGTGTCCCTTCCTTGCCTCCTGGTGATGATCAGAGGGACTGGCGGCGCCAGTGTTCGGCAGCTTTGCCTCTGTCAGTGTGCCCCAGGGCAGCTGTGGCTATAATGTAGATCATCATCACCAGTGTGTGAATGTGTGTGGGTAAATGACTGGTTCTCTTCTGGCTCTTGAAGGGTGCAGACGCTTCTTTTCCTCCTCTCCTCCATATCTTATCCTCCAGGCCTTTGTCTGTCTCTGGGTGCTGGGTGCACGGCTGCTTCTGCATTCTTCTGGAAACTGGAAACTGAAATACATTTAAATGGATCTCATTAGCTGGTTTCTCAATGCGATTGATAAAAAATTTTCAACGATGAGAACTGGAGAAGGGGCTCCGGGATGCCCTGCCAGTACAGACCCAGTTGGACACATCTTGGACTCCTGGAAACAGTGGAACTTGATTTGTGTAACTCAGCTGTCTGTGGAGGACTCTGAAGACGTGTGGATATTCGTGGTGTTGGTGTCAGGTTTCCTGCTCATTGGCCTTGGAGGCTACCTGGCTTACTGGAAAATCAACGAGCTGTCGAGGAATATTGGCCTGATCCCGGAGCTCAGAGATGGTTTGCACCGCGCTGTGAATTCACAGACTCAAATAATTGTCGAGATTAACCGTAAGCTTGGAACTTTGGCAGAGATTCGTTCTTTGGCACAAAAGATGGATGCCATCAAGGAGAGAGTGGACGAATCAGCACGGATTGGGAGAGATTAACGTCCATTACTATTGGGATTCGGAGAGGTTGAGGACCAACAAACTGTAAGACAGAGAGGAAATGATCTCTGTCTGGCCCCAAAACAATTTCTAATAGGAATCTGGCGTCCTTGAGCCTGCAAGGCTCCAACGAAAACTCCCCCCTCAGAAGATATGTGGAATGTGCCATCGTTATGGCAACTCAACTCTGCCTCCTATCACAGCCTGGGCGGGACAGCGGGAAGGCCGCTGAAACGTTCCAGGGTCACTGCAACCCTCCAACCCTCAATGCCCCCCCCCCCCATCCACACTGAGGTGACATGCGCTGCTTCGTCGTGGCTGCAGGAACTGAAGTGGGGATAGTCCCAACCCACAACCCCACCTAGTGGACACTTATGTTGTGTTGTCTGAAGTCTGTTGCATATCCTTCTGAGGTGTTTTTTTTTTCAGAGCAAAGCTGCTCTCCTGCTGGAGCATAACTCTGAAGTGCCTCTTTTTTCCCTCCACCTGAACCAATCCTCATGTAACCCTATTATCTCTATTAAGGTAGCGCGACTCAAGGTTGCGAATGACCACAGTCACCAATTCTTGTCATGTGTCTTGCCCATGTATGTGTGATCTCTGAATTGTGTGGACTGAAACTCTAATTTCCCACTGGGATTAATAAAATATCTTTGATTGATTGATTGATTGATTGATTGATTGATTGATTGATTGATTGATTGATTGATTGATTGATTGATTGATTGATTGATTGATTGATTGATTGATTGATTGTGTTGTAAAGTATCGTGGGGCATTGTAGAATCCTAGAGGGTGCTATCATCATTTTTATTCAGGTAAAAACACACATTTTGCATTAGCTTCTGAAAAACTGAGAATAAAAGGAGATTAGTTGGGAAGACTAAAACAAAAACATTGCTCTCTTTGAGGTCTCTTTACAAGCTGCGTTTAATTCACTGCTAACGTTTTGGTTCATGGATCAGTTTGGGAGCTATTATAAAGCAAGAGACACAAAGGAGCAAAAGGCATGCATAGGGAGGCTATTATTACTAACATTTTCCTTTGTATTGCAGTAGGATGGTGCATGCTGAAAAAGCGTATACAAGTTGAGGACAAACAAAGGGGTGAGATGCACGTCGGAGAGAGAATTGTGTTAACGAGATGGAAAAATGAAAGATGAGAAAAAAGCATTTGTGGAGAGGAGGAGATAGAAATTGGTTGAGAGGCAAAATAAAAAGATTACGAGTTAAAAACTGGAGAAGTTACACTGCTGCCGTTCCTGAGAAGATAAGCCGAGAAACAGATGTGAAGATATAAGGAAATGGGGAGATGGCAATGAGACACAGAGAATGGCCGATCTATTGCTGCAGATAAAGGAAGAAAACTGGAAAGGAGAGAAAATCTGATAAAGGAAGTGACATTGAGCATAGAGCTGTCTGCATGCAGTCCCCCTGATATTTCTATCTAAAGTTTCACTTCATATTGTGAAAGTCAAACCCTGGAGATCAGTCAACACTCTGCTTCAGAAACAGAAGTCTCCATCTCCTTTCATTGCCTCTGAGTCACATTTTATAATTGCAAATGTCTGAAATGTGTTATTCTAATAAGCCGTTTTTATCTTTTATGTGAACAGAAATTCATTGAAACATTTTTATAAAAGTCTCAAAGTAATGGATTTAGCTTTTAACTGTATTTAAAATGTCCTTCATGGATATCGGCTGTATCCAGAAGGACACATTCTAAAAAAATATATGTTTTAATTTTTAATGCATGCTAATACACAGGTGCAGCCACTTAGTGCAATCAAGGTTTGCACAACAGCTTGGCTAGTGAGGATGCTGAAGGCCAAACACCGTGCATCCAAATCATTAAAAACGATCTCTTTTATAGTGTATTTTTTTTATATTCACTGTTTTGAAGAAAAACGAACAAAAACATGTAGGTGTATATAATGATTAAAAATACTTCAAGAGAGAAACGTAAATAAGAGAAGTGTTGTAGATTTGCTACAGTGGATTTAGGCGGGACTTGGCTCTTTGTGGTGTTTCAATCAGGTGATGCACAAAACCGACGCCTAGCACTAGGCCCAATCCCTATACTTGCACTTGCACCCTTGCGCCCTTCAATTGCGCATACCTGGCCAGGGGTGCGAGTGCGTAGGGTGTCCCAATTCTCAAGTGCAGAAGTTGACCACGCCGCCATTGCACCTTAATCTGCACTTCTCAACTCAACTCAGCCTTTATTTAAAAAGCATCTTAGAGGCATGAGCATGCCACCAAGGTGCTGTACAACAAAAGAATAACACAATAAAACATATAGCGCTACAGACATAATTAAAACCACAAATAAGAACTACAAAATAAAACATCAACAATTGCTAACCCACAGAATAAAAAGCCAGATCATAAAAATAGGTTTTCAGCCTCATTTTAAAAACTGGTACTGATGGAGAGCCCCTAATAGTTAGGGGCAGTGCGTTCCACAGTTTCGGACCCGCAACAGAGAACGCCCTGTCCCCTCTCAACTTCAACCTAGCCTTAGGAGCCACATGCAGCAGCTGGTTCTTAGAGCGGAGTGACTGGGTCGGAACATATGGCTGCAGCAACTCTGTCAAATAAGTTGGAGCCACACCATTCAGCGCCTTAAACACCATTAAAAGAGGTTTAAAACGAATTCTAAAATCAACAGGCAACCAGTGGAGAGCAGCCAAAATTGGTGTCACGCGTTTATGCTTCCTTATGTTGTCACCCAAGTCTGCAGTGATGCGGACCTCAGACAAGAGTATTAGCCACAAGTCATTGCTGCGGGAGAAATGGCTCAAGCTTCTTTTATGAAAATATGCATTTTCTAATGAAAATAGTTAATTTTAGGACGATTAGTTGATGCTCTGAATGTTTTAGACAAAACAGCAATGAAGTGAAATGTATTTAAAAAAAAGTATTCTTTGTTTGTTTGTAAGTTGTTAATAAAGGTTTTTGAAAAAAGTTTCACAGCGACCAGCATCTCGGCATGCATTGTGATCGATTACGCAATGCTCCCCTGTCGCAATTGTGCAATTATTTGCACACTTGTGTACGCACTTGAACCCTACTGCGCACTTCCTCCAAGTGCACTTTGCTGAAGTCCGCAGGGCGCAGTGCGAGTATTGATATTGGGCCCTTCAATCTGTTCAGTGACTCATGAAATGTTCTGCTGTTATGTTACAGACACTCCCCTTTCTGACCACCAGATGGCCTCAGTGGCACCGTTCTCACCCGCTCCTTTCTCTAGTTGGATGTAAAAGGATGTCACGCGGGCTGAGAAGGGAAGAAGCAACAGGGAAGTGTGGACACAGAGGTGTTTTTGCTTCTCTCTTCTCCTCGCGTGCTCGACTGATCGTCAGCTTTGTTTAGTAAACTCGTTCTGTGAGATACTTTTAAATTCGGACTAGTCAGAGTCTCTGTTAAACAGGACTGCTTCATCTAAGTTTTGGGTTTTTTGTGGACTATTTCCGTTAGTGTGCCCAGCCCCTTCTGGGCTGGCGTTTTCTGTTAACCCATATGTGTTTATTCTTATGTAAATATCCCATTTACACTTCTGTCCAGTTGAGTTTTGTAATAAAATCCTTGTTTATAGCGACACACAACTTTGTTTTTACATAAGCCTCACACGTTTTCATTACTCTCTCCACCTCTTCACTCCTAGCGAGCTGGGAGATATAATAGATTGGACAGATACACACATAAAACTTAGCTTTTGATAGTGGATGATGACATTTTATTGTTATTTCCTTACATCTCTTAAAGGTGTGGGAAACTTATTTAATCAATACATTTGCGGTGGTCTCTGGTCAAAACGAATGCCTTACAAACCATACTCGGGGCAAAAAAGGCCCAGAATTGCTTGCATCTGCATGGATAAGTCTGCTGTCGTAGAGAGTGGCAGCAGACGGCAGGATTTGGAGTCTTTTTCCTGATATTTGGACATCTTGCCTTGGACTGGATTACAGCTACACAACTCTACCATTGACTTGCAACGTGGATGTTTTAGCTCCACAGATAAATCAAGCCTGGAGGAGCTTTTCTGTGTGGTGGTGTTGTTAATGCTAACCGTTAGCTTTTACTAGTCAGGGCGTGGTCTGCTGTTTCCTGGATGCTAGAAAAAACAGCCTTCCCCATCACAAGTAAAGAATGAGGAGTCCATGAATGTTATGTGATGTAGATCTGTCAGGATTTTCAAATCCTGGCATTTTACCATCTATTTTCTCTTAGAAGCTAATGTTGGAGGTAGGTGTAGGAGACTGTTTTCATGTTCAGCCTGAATGAAAAACTCAAAGACCGATTATAATCTGAAATAATCATTAAAAAAGTTATTTTTTTTCAGTGAACCACACCTGTAATGCCCTACCACATACCCTAGTAGCCTTTATTTTTTCCAGTTTATTGTGCTCTATATTTAGATGACATTGTGATCTCATTAATCACTGGCACCCATGCCAAGTCCTGGGGTTTTCCATTGCTGTGGTTGCCAGGTTATGTAAAGTAGTAGATGTGCTCATTTCAACACAGGATGTGACACTATTTTAAATCAAGCCCTAGGCAATCTCAGATCTGAGCATAAACAAATCAATATACAAATGGAGACATGACCGTATTTTTTATTGCTATTCTTGGCCATCGATGCTTCAACTGCTTCCTGTTCATTTAAATTTCAGCTCATCAGTTTGTGTCATCTGGGGCAGAATAGTGGGGCCAAGGTGACAACAGATGAGAGACAAGTGAGAGGAATATCAAACACCAGTTTAAACATGGAGCAGTAGCATTAACACAAATTTGGGGGATTTCCTGTTTTGTTGAAAGAATCTAAAACACATCTTCGAGTGCTTGGTGTATTCTCTTTTCACAGAAGTACAGTAGAAGAAAGGTAAATGACTAATCACAAAAAACTGAAAGGCAAAAGACCAAAAGAAAGTATTGACTCAGGAAGTTTGACTTATTTCATTTTCTGCATCATACAACAACTAATGATTTCATTCTTCTGGCTCTTGGAGGGTGCAGACACGTTTTTCCTCCTCTCCTCCATATCTTATCCTCAAGGTATTTGTCTGTCTCTGTGTGCTGGGTGCACGGCTGCTTCTGGATTTTTCTGGAAACTGGAAACTGAAACACATTTAAATGGATCTCGTCAGTTGGTCTCTCAACGCGATTGATAAAATTCTTTCCACGATGAAAACGGGAGAAGGGGCTCCCGGACGCTCTGCCGGTACAGACCCAGTTGGACACATCATGGACTCCTGGAAACAGTGGAATTTGGTCTGTCTTTCTCAGCTGTCTGTGGAGGACTCTGAAGATGTGTGGATATTCGTGGTGTTGGTGTCGAGTTTCCTGCTCATTGGCCTTGGAGACTACCTGGCTTACTGGAAAATTAATGAGCTGTCGAGGAATATTGGCCTGATCCAGGAGCTCAGAGATGGTTTGCACTGCACTGTGAATTCACAGACTCAAATAATTGTCGAGATGAATCGTAAGCTTGGGACTTTGGCGGAGATTCATTCTTTGGCACAAAAGATGGATGCCATCAACGAGAGAGTGGACGAATCAGCACGGATTGGGATAGATTAAAGTCCATTATTGGGATTCTGAGAGGTTGAGGACCAACAAACTGTAAGACAGAGAGCAAATTATCTCTCTCTGGCCCCAAAACAATTTCTAATCGGAATCTGGCGTCCTTGAGCCAGCAAGGCTCCAGCGAAAACTCCCCCCTCAGAAGATATGTGGAGTCAAAAATCAATTTCCCTCTGGGATTAATAAAGTATTTTTGAATTGAATTGAATTGAATGTGCCGTCGCTATGGCAACTTGTGTCTCCTTTCCCAGCCTGGGCGGGAATGCGGGAAGGCTGCTGAAGTGCCCAGGGTCACTGCAACCATCCAACCCTCAATGCTCCTCCCCCTATCCACACTGAGGTGACATGCGCTGCTTCATTGTGGCTGCAGGAACTGAAGTAGGGATAGTCCCAACCCACCACCCCACCTGGTGGACACTCATGTTGTGTTGTCTGAAGTCTGTTGCATATCTGTCTGAGGTGTTTTTTTTTTGTTTTTTTTTGCAGAGCAAAGCTGCCCTCCTGGTGGGAGGGTAGCTCTGAAGTGCCTTTTTTTCCCTCCACCTGAACCAATCCTCATGTAACCCTCTTATCTCTATTAAGGTAGCGCGACTCAGGGTTGCGAATGACCACAGTCACCAATTCTTGTCATGTGTCTTGCCCATGGATGTGTGATCTCTGAATTGTGTGTACTGAAACTCTAATTTCCCTCTGGTATTAATAAAGTATCTTTGATTTGATTGATTGATTGATTGATTGATTGATTTTGTTTACAGAAAGTACAAACTCAAATAATGCTCAAAAAAGTTAGAGCTAAGTGTTTTCATCAAATAATGAAATGAATCATCTTTTAACCAAATGTGACCATCATTATTGTAAAGGGCCTGTATTTGTATAGCGCCTTCTTAAGGTTCTACAACCCCCCAAGGCGTTTTACAACACAATCAGTCATTCACACATTCACACGCTGGGGATGATGATCTACAGTGTAGCCACAGCTGCCCTGGGGCGCACTGACAGAGGCGAGGCCTGCCGACCACCACCAGCAAGCAAGCTGGGTTAACTGCCTTGCTCAAGGACACCACAGCAGCATTCTCTGGCAGGAGCCAGGATTGAACCTACAACCTAGGGTTGGGCGATATGGCCTAAAATCAATATCACGATATATTGAGGATTTCACCTCGATAACTATAAATGGACGATAACTACAGGTATGCACAGAAACAAAGGTTGTCCACTAGATGGCGCTGTCGCGTGTATTACATTGAGTCACATTTTTATGTGACCACGTGGTACAGCTTCTTAAAGGGACATGAATGTTGCCAACCTACACACATCTTTTCATTTTTTTATTATCAAATTTATTGGCATGGGAAAAATTATCACAAGAGTCACAAATTTCGATAACAATAAATTGTCGATATATCGCTCAGCCCTACTACAACCTTCCGATTACAGGACAACCCGCTCTGCCTCCTGAGCTACTGCAGCATATAACGCAACAACAAATGATTTTTGATTGATATCACTAAAAATAACAGCATGTGTCTGGGAGCACATTGCATTTTCATCTTCATAGTGAGGGAGCATATTTCTCTGTTTTAGTCTCACTGCAATGTTTTCATAAGAAATGTTTCCAGAGTCACATTCTGGTCATTTCATTGTAGGTATTTTGTGTGATTCACAAAGACAACATCATCCTCTTAGTTTTGAGGAGCTTCTGTTGAACACAAACGTTCCATAATTGCGTAATCAAAAGCCAAACTAATCTCCCTGAAGACTTATAAACATGTAAACATGTGACTAACAAAGAATTTGTTTTACAAAATTGAGATTAAATGTCATTAAACACTGTTGTGATCCTCCATCATCATCTTCTCGTTCCTTTCGTCCACTCTCCTCTCCGGCTGGTCCCGTGCTTTAAAGATGACGTGGTCACACAGAGTGAGCACCGGCTTGTCGGGGCGAATCTGTCGCAGGTCTCTGGATGATGTAATCAAGTTTCTGGGATTCTTGTGTTGCATAAAGAACAAGATTAGATGTGTTGGAATAGAAATCACTGTGTGATTGCTATGAATTAGCTTGATCTTTCCTGTTCAGCAAGAACCAGTTTGAAATAAAATGCTGATTACTTACTCTGTACAGTGAGATCAAGATGAAGGCTGGGATGCATATTATTGGTGCAGAGATGAGCAGAACAGCTACAGCGGGGGCCCAGGACCCAGGGACATCATCCGTCACTCTTATAGGGTTTTCTTGCACCAGATTATAAAGCATAGTCAGCTGGAAAATAAACAAGTTAAGCTAGTGATAGAAATGATCACACTTGGATGGAATTTTTTAAACAAAAATTATCTTAAAAAAAACTGCTATGAAGAATTATTTGAATAACCAGTTTAAATTATTTCTGTTGGTAGTTTCTAACTGTGCCTGACGGCCAGTGAACAGGAGGCTTGTAAAACATTTGCACTGAGAAACAGAAACGTGTTTGCTCAAATGGGATCACTGGCTTGGTGAAATGAAACACTTCGTAATGGATGAAAGAGCAAAAGCAGCTGATGGTGACTATTTAGAAATAAAAGAGGGTGGAGAATGTGTTTGAGGGGAAGAAAAGAGGCAGAAAGAAAGTATGTTAACACTTTCTATGACGGGTCCCTTTATTATTATAACATAGTGCATTATTAAGCATTAATAAATCCCTTATTTTAATGTTCCTGACGTTGTTAACTATCAAGTGTCCTTCAGGTTAGGACAATGGGTTGGGGGGGGGGGGGGTCTGCATAGCAGTTGTCAATACTTTATTTAATAGTTTATTAATGCTTAATAATGCGCAAAGTAATGTTAATAAAGAGGCCCTTATTGTAAAGTGTTACTCGAGTATCAGATAACAGACAAGCGGGCAAAACACACCACACAAATGATCGGGGTGACAAACATCCAGCAGTACTTCAGCACAGGTGATGGTCTGTATCCAATCATGTCCTCGATGTTGTCATAGAAACGATCTGCACCTGGAAGGTGGAAAGTCAAAAACTGGAAATGAGTGTGTGTGTGTGTGTGTGTGTGTGTGTGTGTGTGTGTGTGTGTGTGTGTGTGTGTGTGTGTGTGTGTGTGTGTGTGTGTGTGTGTGTGTGTGTGTGTGTGTACATTTAGAAAAATACATAAAGTAGTTTACTTATAATTGTTCTATAAGTTTTTCTGTTGATGATGATTAATAATAATAATAATAATAATAATAATAATAATAACAATAATAATAGATAGATAGATAGATAGATAGATAGATAGATAGATAGATAGATAGATAGATAGATAGATAGATAGATAGATAGATAGATAGATAGATAGATAGATAGATAGATAGATAGATAGATAGATAGATAGATAGATAGATAGATAGATGACTGATAGATAGATAGATAGATAGATAGATAGATAGATAGATAGATAGATAGATAGATAGATAGATAGATAGATAGATAGATAGATAGATAGATAGATAGATAGATAGATAGATAGATAGATAGATAGATAGATAGATAGATAGATAGATAGATAGATAGATAGATAGATAGATAGATAGATAATATAAAATGTCAGTTTCAAGAAAAAAAATTCCTTTGTGATTTATTTGTTGTTTTGGTTTCATGTTTTTTTCTCCTGATAATCATCATCAGTGGTTCTTCCACCTTTCAGTTTATTAGAAAATAGTAAACTATCATAACCTTTTGTGTATTTTTTTTCCATTTAGGTCCTGTAACCTGATTACTTTTTACAGCAACACAAAATTTTGTGCTGCAGCAGCAAAAACAAGTTATTTATCATTTGTGGAGAAAAGACTGCAAATCCAAATAGTTTTTTTAGGAAGAAAACCACCTATGAGACAATAATCCTGTGAAAACAAGCTGTGAAAGAAGTCCAGTCAGTCAAGTGAGTTAGAGATATGAGCGAGACTCACAGGAAGGCCAGAGGAAATTCATATAACAGCAGATGTTGTTTATTAGACGAGGCGGTAATCAACACTCAGACTTTACATCTTTATAAATGACCGTCCTTATTTAAACTAAAAAGAGAAAGTGTTTCATCTCTTGTCATGAAAAGTAGAAGAGACAAAACCGATTGAGGGGAAGGAAGCTCTGCTGATATGAAGCGTTGTTTGAAATGTTACTAAACTCTGAGATATTTATGCATTGCTTCATAGTCATCAGGAAAATGACCTTAATTCATGCAAAAGCTAAGAACTCTCCACCCTTAAACCAGTACCTGAAGTGATCAGAGCTCACAGACCCGTTCACTCTGACATTTATGGGAAGTTAGAAGTGACTGTTTCACTATTAAAGTGGTTGTTTTGTTGTCATGTGTCTGAGAGAAGACAATGCAGCAAAAACACCAGAAAGGTCAAAGCTATCTGATGTTTCTGATTCCGTTCCAGGTCTGGCATGGTGTGATGATTCCCGGTTGTTACCACCAGGAAGAGCAGTCACCTCTTTGATCCTCCTTCATTAGGTGAGAGATCAAATCCAGACAAAGGCAGCTGTGTTTGTTATCCTCGAGAAGGATTTAAAAGAACATCGAGGATTTTTAATGTTTGGAGTGGGGCGACGGTGGCACAGGAGTTAAGTGCTCGCCCCAAAATCAGAAGGTTGCAGGTTCGAGCCCCGCTCAGTCTGTCGCTGTCGTTGTGTCCTTGGGCAAGACACTTAACCCACGTTGCCTGCTGGTGGTGGTCGGAGGGACCAGTGGTGCCTGTGCTCGGCAGCCTCGCCTCTGTCAGTGCGCCCCAGGGCAGCTGTGGCTACATTGTAGCTCATCACCACCAGTGTGTGAATGTGTGTGTGAATGGGTGAATGACTGGTTGTGTTGTAAAGCGCCTTGGGGAGTTCCAGGACTCTAGAAGGCGCTATATCAAATACAGGCCATTTACCATTTAACCAACAAAAAACTGATTCTGTCTGAATTAAATCAATGCTGGATGGCAATAATATAAAACAGTCAAAACCAGAAATGTTTTAATATTTTAATGAAAAGTAAATAAATATAGTTCAAAGTAGTCCATAAAAAATAAGAATACAAGTAAGATGAAATATAATGTTGTTATATTTGATTTCATCTATACTTAACATCAAATCTTTGCATGGTAGTTTGTTTTTCATGTTGAAAAAACCTCCACATGTACACACAGAGCATAAAAACAGGAAGTGACCTACCATATATCCAGGAAACCACTATGGTCTCTACACAAGCGATCAGGAGGAGGCTGTTTCCACTGGGACCAAAGGTGTCAACCAGCCCGAAAATGGTTATCCCTCCCTGAAAGATGGAGAACAGACATAAAAGGTGCAGACAACATGGTCTAGTCATCTCAGAAAGACTTCCATCAAGATTTGATTTTTAACATTAACACCCAGCTTACTTCAGTAACAAAAGGCAGACCCAACAGGAAGCAAACAACAGCAATGACCAGAACCAGGATCTCCCTGACACCAGGTCTCCTCAGGCGATGAGGGAACAGATCTGTGAGGGCTGTGGCCAGGCTCTCCACGCACACAAACTGTGACAATTGTGTTGATTGTTGTATTCAGAAGATACCAACAAAAGGCTGTGCAGGATGCAGGATAGTCAGCGTAATACCTGACTGTCGAGGCCCAAGAAGAGGATCATCAGGAAGAAGAGCACCGCCCAGAAGGATGAGCCGGGAAGTAAGGACAGAGCTCTGGGGTAGGCTATAAAGGCCAGACCAGGACCTGAAGGAGTTGTGTGAGTGCATCGTTATGAGCAGCCCTGCACACTAGAAAATAACATTATTTATAGCAGTGGCTGCATGGCTGGTTTCTTGTTTAAAAAATGGGAACAAATCTTTAAAACACATTCAAAACGACGAGAGAGAATTATTAAAAAATAAAAATAAAAGGTAGCAGATGAAAAGTACTCATTTTTAATGTGAGCATCAAATGCCATCTAGTGGACACTGTTGGTTAGGGTTTCCATCATGCTCACATCAGGAAGACAAAAGACAATCTGGTTTCAGATGTGTTGTCAAAATTTTCAGCAAAATGAACCAAAATGAAGAAAATATCAACATCAGACTGTGTATTAGCTGTGTCATCAACTCACCGCTGGCAGTGACTTCACTGATGGGAATGTTGAGGTCATGAGCCATGAATCCAATCACTGAAAAGACGGCGAAGCCAGCGAAGATGCTGGTGGCACTGTTCAGACAACACAGGGCCAAGCAATCCCTGAAACGGGAAAAGGAAGTTAGGCCGGGTACTGCTGGGGCTCACAGCTCTAAGTCGGATCACGTTTAGGGCGTGAGGACGCTGACTTGTAACAGTTGTTGTTGTATTTGTTGTAGCTTCCCAGAGCCGTGAGGACTCCCTGACACACGGCGTAGGAAAAGAACACCTGAGTCCCTGCATCGCGCCACACCTGCAGAGGACGAGAGCAACTTCTGAAACAGCCGTTTTTGTGTGTCACAGAGCAAATTACAAAAGGATGTTTGCTTCTTTTGCCCGTCTAACATCATATCTCAAAACTGTAAACAGGAGTGTTTATTTTTGTGTAATATTTATTTATGGGACTGTCTTTCTTTAGCCCTCTAAAGCATCTGTTTAACACAAAAAAGCACCAAAGCCCAGTCCTGCACATTTAACTCCACTCTTAGCAAAAATCCAAAGGCCCTTTCTCTGGCGCCTGTAGAAGGCTCGGTATTCCCCTGCCTTGGGTCAAGGAGGAAAATCTAAATCTGTGTCAAAATATCTTCAGATCTTCTGCCGGACAAAGTACAAACTGTTCCGCTTCTATTAGGAAACACTGCCTCGTATACAGATGTGGCAGCAGATGTCACAAACAGACACCAGATGGAAGCCAGAACTCAGTCATGACTTTCTGCTCAAACCAATCAGAAACACGTTTGCAGGCAAAGGCATGACTCAGGGACGAGCGCTAATTCTGAGAGTGTCTGGTGTTGCACAAGTGTCCTCTCTTACACGTCCATTTTCACACATCTTTTTTTATGTTTTCAAGCAATCACCAGATGTGGATTAGATTGGTACAAGAGTCCGATTTGACATATTTACAGTGATGGATGGGTTTTATATGAAAAGTGGTCAGATGTTTAAGGTGAGAAGCATGTTCAAACCTAATGAAGCCACACGTGAAGCAGCACTTCATATTCCATATGAAGACGATCTGAAATATTTTCAGATTTTCTCTAAAGATGTAAAGGTTTCCAGCTGTTGATGTTTTATCTCCACAAATAAGACAAGCCTGGAGGAGCTTTGATGTGTGGTGAAGCTGCTAATGCTAACGGTAATCCAAGATGTCCCGCTGCCGAATGCAGGACAGTAAAACAACAATAACCGTCCCTTTTGTGAGTCAACTTCAGTGAGTGCGTGAATGTTAGTTCACACTGTGACATAGATCTGTCAGGCTTTTCAAATCCTAGAGTTTCATTGTCTATTTTTCAGAAGCTAATGCAGGAGATAGGTGTAGGAGACTATTTTCATGTTCAGCCTGCATGAAAAACTCAGAGGGACCCATTATAATCAGAAATAATCATTAAAAATGTTTTCTCAGTCAACCACATAAAGGAAATCTAATTCAGACAAATGTACTGATATTTAACATCCTCTCAGAGGATGAGGAGTCATCACTGAGGATTTGAAATTGTACGGTAAAAAAAAGTGCTCAAGGATCAGAGTTCATGCAATCTAAAGGAGCAAGCAGTTCCTTAGACTCGTCCAGGGTTTGGAGCAGCTCAGCCTTCCACGTGAGGGAAGGAGCGTGTGAAGCTCACCGTCTGGATGGTTGAGGTCTGCCAGTGTGTTGTCTTTGCTGTGGTTTTGCATCAACATGGTGTAAATGTTCTCAAGAGATCGGAAAGCTGCAGCTTTTTTTGTTTTGTTTTGTTCTTTTGAGTAGGCGCTTACTGCAGCTTCTTGGTGTCAGAGCAGTTCCCAGACCAGATTATTACCATCTGGATGCTCTCCACTACCTGGCAGTCTCCTCATAAATTAGTGTTTGGTGATTCTTTTAAACGATGTTGGCTGTGTTTAGAGGTCCATGTTTGGTTGGTAGTAGACACGTGTAGGCTGTTTTCACCAGGAGTGTACGGTATCCTTCTGAACTCTACCACCATCCCCTTTGTTTTCTCCACACTGATGCTATGGTTGTTTGTTTTACACCAATGCACCTCTCTCTTATAGACTCATCATTGTTGGAGATCAAACCAACAAAAGCAGCAGCAAACTTCACAGCACATCTACCAGCATGAGGACGGAATAAAAGACAAATGACCTGCACTTGTACAGGACCTTTCAGTGTCAGAGGACTCTACAGTGTATCATTCATCCATTCGCACACACGTTCACACACTGATAGTGATGAGCAGCAGCACAGCCAGAGCTGCCCTGGGTGCACTGACAGAGGTGAGGCTGCTGAGCACGGGCACCACAAGTCCCTCCAACCACCACCAGCAGGCAAAGTTAAGGGTCTTGCCCAGGGACACAACGGCAGGGTTCTCTGTCGGGGGCTGGGATCAATCCCACAACCCCTCCGATTGCTGGACAACCCGCTCCACCTCCTGAGTGAGAGCTTCCCCAACTTAACTGTTTGAGTTTGGAGAGCTGGAAAACAAGCCCTACCCCCACCATGCCTTCTCATGTGAGACGCATGTGCAGACATGCATGTTGTTTGGGAAAGGCTCCATTTTGGGCTCGTACATCTATTCAATTCAAGTTCAATTCAATTCAAGTTTATTTATATAGCGCCAAATCACGACAAGAGTCGTCTCAAGGCACTTCACATAATAAACATTCCAATTCACTGTTCATTAAGCCAATCAGAAATAATGTTTCCTATATAAGGAACCCAGCAAATTGCATCAAGTCACTGACTAGTGTCAGTGGCTATACAGCAATCCTCATACTAAGCAAGCATGCAGCGACAGTGGAGAGGAAAACTCCCTTTTAACAGGAAGAAACCTCCAGAGAATCCTGGCTCAGTATAAGCAGCCATCCACCACGGCTCACTGGGGATCGAGAAGACAGAGCAGACACACACACACACACACACACACATACACACACACACACACACACACACACACACACACACACACACACACACACACACAAAGAAAAGTAATGTGTCTATAGTTATATTGTGATGTCTTAGTAAATATTGTATTTGGTGAAAGAGAAACTTTATTGTATTTATCCTAGTGGATCTATAATTAAACGGATAAACTAGTATTAGCACATCCAACGTCAAGGAAAGCAAAAAGTTATTATCAGGAGAGAGAGAATGTATTAGTGGTTAGCAGCAGTGTGCTAGTCGATGGCCCCCTCCATGAGGCCACCACAGCTCAGCCGAACGGGTACTGCTGGGGCTCACAGCTCTAAGTCGGATCACGTTTACGTTCTGACAGAGACCGTTTAAAAGAGCTAGGGTGGTTACTCATGACCTCACTGGTGATGGTTTTGTTCATTCTTCCAGATTCCTGTTCTTTAAACACGCTCAGACCCCCTTGTCCCTGATTGGGATTCATTTGGTGAGAAAAAATACAATCCCAATTTCTCCTTCAAATTCCCAGCCAATCCCAGATGTCCACATCATTTTTCTCCTCTAGCAGAACAGAGCTTTTACTGTCTGAGAACTGTATTGAGACTGTTTGCTGATGGCATCTAATTTGTCACAGTTTGACTCTGAGAGGAAAAGAGCAAAGCTGAGGAGGAAACGGGAGGCAAAGTGAGGGTAAAATGTCTCAGAACTTCCAACTGGCAGCAGTGTTTTAACTCCGCAAAGAAAGAGAAATATTCCTGCATGCGAGATTATTTACTGGGACTGGAAACAAGAGTCAGGAAGAAGATAAAAAAGGGGAGTTTGGAATAACAAGACACTGAACTGTCCCATTAAACCGAGAAGACCTTCACAAAGAGAGATGTTCAGAATGTGGGCTTTCTGGCTACCTTCCTAATGGCCGCGCTGTGATTTTGTGTTTCACAAAACTAAACATTGTTATTTAAGTAATTAACTGAATTCTTACATCAGGATCGCTCAGCTTGCTGAAGTCAGGGCTGAGATAATACTTCAGGCCTTCGGCAGCTCCCGGGAGCGTCACTCCACGGATGAAGAGGATGAACAACATCAGGTACGGAAAAGTAGCTGTGAAGTACACAACCTGTACCAAACAACACACACAGTTGGGCAGTTAGGAACACACACACACAGTATTTTGTAAGTTTGCCACACACACACACACTTCTCTATAACTATGCTCTTTATCATTGCTAAGCTAAGGAAAGGCTTGTGTGCTTTAAAAGAAATACCAAAAAGTTCAGAGCTGAACAAGATCAGCATCAGTTTTTATTTTCTGGAACTTTCAATGAAACTCTTTGACTTCCACAATAAACCCAATAAAATGCCCTTTTATACATTTCCCAGTGTGCAACAGAGACCCTGACTAAACCAGTGAAATCTTTTCAGAAGCAGACTTTTGTATTTATATTGTAATTATTTTAACATCATTCACCATGTTATTGTTCCTGCTTCGTCTTTTGTCTTGCACTCAAACCCAGAGTTGACTAATGAGTGATCGAACATTTAACACATTGGGTTTGTTTTTGGATTTGTGGTTTATCTTCAGTTTAGTTCTGTGCATTTAATGTAAAAACATCATCTCACAAAAATCAGAGGTTAACTTACAAGCTGCTGAACGCCTCGGTGTGAAAATGTGCATGCTTTTAGTTTTTCTTCTTCCAAGTCAGCAGGTTTATTCATGTTTTTAATGGGATTGGTTGTAAATGTATTTTTGTAACAGTAATCAACCAAAGTAAAGCCAGTTTTGAAGGTGAATCTATAAACATCCTCTAACTTGCCTTTCCAGTGGTTTTGATTCCCTTCCAGATGCAGAAGTAGCAGATCACCCAGGCACACAGGAGACACAGAGAAAGGTCCCAGTGCACCTCACCCAAGATCACATCAGAAGACACCCTCAACACTCGATTTCTGTGTGAAACAGACGCACAAACATCTCAAATGCATGCTCAGACCTGCAGTTAGTCAAATAACTCTTCCACATAGTGTACAGACAAGTTTATCCTGTTTGGAGGAAATTTGCTTATTATTTATGATCCCTTCAGTAAAACATAAGAGCACATTTTGAAGCATCTCAGCATGAATGTAATTTAAAGAGCAAGTCACCCCCAAATCACATTTTTTTTGCTGATAAACTATATAAACGAGTGTCTAATTATGCTAGAGACACATGTAGTCAATAATTTGGCAGTTCAGTGCATCTTGGTTAAAATTCAAATATTCTGTCTAAAACTGTCAGTGTTGCGCCGTCGTCAGGGAAAAATTGTGCCCTGTATTTGAATTTAAATCTGCCACCGCTATTGGCTAAGAGGGATGCTATGATGTCATCTGATACATTATGATGTCATAATGCCATTGTGAGCCTGTGTGTGTTTATTTGTTAGCTGCTCTCGGTCTGCCAAGCAGCAGCATTTGTTACATTTTTCAAACATGAAGTGGGAGTAAAGTAAGTTTCTTGTAGGGGGTGACTTGCTCTTTAAAGCATTTGTGTTGGAAGACTTTGGTTTGTTCTGTAAACCAGCAGAGAAAAAGCAACAAATCTTAGCAGCAGGATTTTAACTATGTGCTCTAATGCCAAGTCAGAAGATCATCATGTGAAGAGCAGCCGCTAGCCAACTAAAAGTTACAGTAAAAAATTAGGAATGCAAAAAATCTGAATCAAAGTTAAAGATGCTGATTAAAGAAGTAGAAGTAGCAACACGCTCCTTTTGCTTGTTGTGTTTGGATGACGTTCTGTCACCTTCTGTCAGCATCACTGTCTTAATTCAGCATCACTGAGTTCATTTAGCCTGCTAATATCTGGAAAGCATTAGGAGCTGTTTCTAAGGAATGTTCTACACCCAGACCCTTTCATTAGGGAGGATGTCAAGACCTCAGGGCTTTTCTCATGCTTTAAAATGATTGAATCAATTCAAGACTTCTGGAGCAGAACACAAAGCACACAACAAAGGGTCCTCCATTTGGCTCAAAGAAAGAAAATAAATGAGATATTTTAAGTTTTTCTCATAACCCTTTAATACCAAATATGTCATATTTGATGCATCAAGTCCCTCAGAGTTCCGCCTCCTAACAGGATTAGTGCATTCTTCAAAAACCTGCTAAGTTTTCTCTCCTGTGCCCTCTGGAGGAAGAGCTAAGAACTGCAGATGAAAAACACCAGTTGTATTGATTTTTCTTAAACTGTTAAATAAGTCATGCAACACCTGTTGTTAAATTAACTTGAGCTAACAAATGTTTCAGTTATAATTTAATTTTTGTTATTTCCATTCGTGCACCAGGCACTTTTAATTAGTAGCTGATTAAAAATAACAATTTGAATAATATCAAAAATAATCTAGTAAAAATATTTGATCGAGATAGACTGTTAAAAATTACTAAATAAAAAAAGTCTATTGTTTTCCTTGGAAACTAGAGACAACGCTATCACAAACAATGGGGCGACAAACACAGAAAGACAGGACAGGGTTTTACACTCAGGGGCTGGGTGATTAGGAGGATTGGGCACAGGTGATATTAATAAACAAGAGGAGGAGCAAAACAGGGCAGGTGAGGAAAGCCCCAACTAAAAAGCTACTGAACTAAATAACGTAACACTGTAGAAATAAGACACTGGAGAACTAAAGATAATAAAACTAATGACCTAGGAGTAATAGAACCAAAAACACTGGAAGACAGGGGAGGATAATACCTAAAGGGAAAAACTAACTAGACAATCTACAATAACAGAAAACTAATGATCAGAAAAGTGACTAAGGGAAACATGAGGGAAACCTGGAGAGAACCTGGAGGGGCCTGGGGACCACAGGGAGGCACCTGAGGGGGGATGCAGACAAGGAGACACATGAGGAACACAAGGAGACACATAAGGGAGACGCAGAACGCAGACCATGACAAAATGGTATTTTAAAAGAAGATTTTCAAGGTTGTGTGTGTGTGTGTGTGTGTGTGTGTGTGTGTGTGTGTGTGTGTGTGTGTGTGTGTGTGTGTGTGTGTGTGTGTGTGTGTGTGTGTGTGTGTGTGTGTGTGTGTGTGTGTGTGTGTGTGTGTGTGTGTGTGTGTGTGTGTGTGTGTGTGTGTGTGTCACTCACTCCCAGAACTCCTCTTCAGGTGAGCTGACTATCAGTACTGTTTCATTGCTGGAAATATAAAAATATAAAAGAGAGAGGGCACTTAGATATTAAACAGTCATTTTGAACTACACAGCAGAAGTAATGGGCATCTTTGAATGGTTTGGTATACTTTTACATTTTCGTTCAAATAATCAACCCATCAATGAAAATAATGTATATTCTTATGTATATAAATCTTTTTTTTTTGTTGCACTTTCAGATGATGATGTTTTGTTCTTTGGTCTTCAGCTCTAGTAACTATAACTGCAGCTGTTTTTACCCGTTATGTTTTTAAATTGTTTCAAATAGTTACATGGAGAAGGAAAGACGACAGATTTAGTTTCTATCTTTTTATCAGCAAGTGGTTTTGATGTGATGTGTAAGGATAATATGAGTTTAAAGTCCTATAAAGCACATGAGCAGTCTGCCAAGGCTGAGTGCATTATCTAATCATTTAAAAACTGATTTCTATCTGCTTCAGCTCTTCCGTTAAATGAAACTCTGAAGCCTTTGGCAAAGCTTTTATTTACATTCATTTATCGTACGATTTTAGTTACTGAAGAAATTTATAAATAGATCATTTTGAAGCCTTGTCCCACAGTAGATGCCAAAAAAAATCACAATCCTTGGGGTTTTAAAGTATCTCATAAATTAAATACAATCAATGTCTTTTAATCCTTCTGAACAAGTGGAGAACCTGGGTGTGACTTTCTACTCTGTGCTGGATTTTATCCCACACATAAAAACATTACTAAAATAGGTTTTAATCATTTAAAGAACATTGCCAGAGTCCGCCCCAATCTCCCTCGTGCCAATACTGAGACGCTGATGCATGCTTTTATCACCAGTAGAATAGACTACTGTCACGCCCTGCTTTCTGCTCTTCCCAAAAAGAGCATTTCAGGCTTACAACTTTTACAAAACTCAGCAGCACGTGTCCTGATGAAGACCAGAAGGCGGGAGCACATTACACCAGTTTTAGAATCGCTGCATTGGCTCCCTGTATGTTTCAGGATCGATTTTAGGGGTCTCTTAATGGTTTTTAAGTGTCTTAACGGTCTTGGGGCTTCTTATGTTTCGGAACTGCTTTTACCTTACGAACCCTCGCGACCTCTGCGCTCCTCTGGCAGCCGTCTCCTTGTGAGTCCAAAAAGCAGGACACATACCCGTGGCGAGGCTTCCTTCCAATTTTATGGCCCTCGTCTCTGGAACAGACTGCCAGAGGACCTCAGGGTCGTAGAGAACGCTCATGTTTTTAAGAGCAGGCTTAAGACTCACCTTTTTACCGTAGCTTTTAATTGATATCTGTTTTTAGCTGCATTGCTTGTTTTATTTTTATTTTATTATTTATATTTTAGTTTTATTAGACATTTATGTGTTAGTGTTTTACTATCTTTTAATCACTTTTTTAGTTATTTTACTGTCCATATTAGCTCTTATTATTTTTTATGTTACTTATTTGTTCGTGCCAGTGTTTTCCTCTGTGGGGCCCTCTGCCTCAGGGGTGGTGGTCAACTGTGGCGGCCGGGGCGCACTTCGGGGAATGCTTAAGGGGTGGTGGGAGTTTTCGCCCTACCTCCCTGGGAGCCCTGGGTTGGTGCCTTTGCTGCTGCCGTTGATCGACTACTACCAAGGCAGATGGCTCACCTGATGGCGTGTCTTTTGTTACCTAACCCATCTGAACTCGGCCTAGTGTTTACTTATGAATTATATATATATATTTTTTTATTTTTTTTATTTTTTAAGTTTTGTGTGTGCATGTGTGTATTTGTTGTTCGTGTGTGTGTGTGTGGGGGGGGGGGGGGGGGGCGTGTTCCTTAGGAAATGGGTTGTGGGATTTTGGGGGGGGGGGGTGCAACTGTCATAATTATTTTAATATTTCTGGGGTAATGATGGGATTATGGGTTATATGAGGTGATTTTATCCTGTAAAGAACTTTGAGCTGTATTTTTTGTATGAAAAGTGCTATACAAATAAAGTTATTGATTGATTGATTGATTGATTGAAAAATTTGGTGTCTGACCAAAACAATGTTCCTCAAATTGACCTAAATTCCACTTTATGTGGTGTTACCTTCACATTTGCTGGTAAACTGCACATTTAAATTATGCCCCAACAAGCTCTGCAGGCCCATTATGAATATGTTAAAGCCTCTTCCTTTCAAGGTTACAATAATTAGTTAACTTAACGGAACAGATGCTGGCACTCCCCACACAGAACACATAAAAGAACGGATGAGACTAATTCCACCCTTCTAAAAATCATGTTTACATTTCCCATCGGCAGAAAAAAGCATTCTTCACCTGTCACGGGGTTATTTAACACAAAGTTTCACCAGGATTCAACTTACAAGGAAGCATAAGAGATGATATCTTCCAGTGAGGTGGTGTTGTGTAGAAAGGACCAGTTGGTCCCGGGCCGAAACAACTCGGGGTTGGCAAAGAGGCTGACACGGCCAAAGCATGAATCTGGTGGGTTGAACAAAGGTGAAATGACAGCTGCACACTTTAAACAAGAAAAATAAAGGTTTCATGAGCACTTGCCCTGTCTTGTTAATAACATGCAGACATATTTATTTCTCACAAAGAGAGGCTTACCAGTGTTCCACAAGTTGTCACACGTGGACCAAGGCAGAGGGTTCTTGAAGGAGTTTATTAGATAGAAGATAGCCCAAGCCAAAACCACGATGTAATAAACGTTCAGGTAGACCACAATCACTTGGGACGCAATCCCCACCCCTGCAGGAGAAGTTTCACACAGCTTTACTCAGCAGCTGGTTTGCCCGAGATTCACGTTTTCTAGCATTTGCAAGCATTTCCTATGTATATGAAGAAAATAAATCATGTTAAATGGCTATTTATGACATTTCCATTCCAGCTCAAGTGTGTATTTCATTGCATCATTCTCTATTGATAAAATCAAAACAAGCCTGACAGTGGGTGTACAAAGCAGCTATTGTGGAGGGTTTGCTTCTCTAGCTGAGCCTTGTTTTTTACCCTCAAACATGGGGCAAATCTTCCTCCAGGCAGTCACCCCACCCTCACTGGTGTATTGGCCCAGTGCAGTCTCAAGGAAAAACACAGGGATGCCACAGAAGAAGAGGAACACGCAGTAGGGGATAAGGAAGACCCCTAAATACGAAAGAATTCATGAGAAAATCTAATAATTTTCAATTTTCATTGATTGAAATCTCCCACAGATGCAGCATCTTACCTCCTCCATTCTTGTAGCACAGGTAGGGGAAACGCCAAACATTTCCAAGGCCAATAATTTCTCCTGCCATGGAGAGAATAAACTCCATGTTGTTGGCCCATTTTTCCCTTGGCTGAGCCCCCTCTTCCGGATCCTGTTTATCCTGGCCAGGCTCACCAACAGTGGTTTCCTCAGTCATAATCAGGCTAATAAAGACGCTCGAAATGTAACATCTGGTGCATTTTATAACGCTTCATGATTCTCATATGCAGACATGGGTTAAAAGCTTTTACATTACAGGATGTTCATGCTCATCATCACTAAGCAATAAAACAAGCCTGACAGTTTTCAGGCTCCTCACATAAACTTTAAATAGACATATGTACATTTTGTGTGCAGAGTCTGCAAAAGTAAATCTTCCCACGAGTTTGTTACTTACCCGTGTGCTTTGTGTGATCCCGTCAATGCAATTCTTTAAATGCCTGGCAGAAGTTTCAAGAGAAGTCTTCACTCTAAAATAGGGGAGTGTCTTGCAGCACATACTGGGGCTGTCCCATGCTAAATAGAAAATGTCTAGTATAGTCAACTATCAACAACAAAAAAATAGCATAATCAAAAAAATGTAGTTAAAAAATGTGCTTCTCCAACATGTTTGTCCAATGTGTGAAATGTTGTGATTTTTTTACAAAGTTGCTTTTAATTTAAACTACTAATGAAGCTACTCAGCATGAAAAGTCTGTGAATTCTGAACAGTCAAGAATTTCTTGTACTTCTAAAACATATTTCTGAAGCGGATTATGTGCCTGTCAGGACAAAGCCCGGGTTCTTGTGCTCCACAAAACTAAGTAGGCGGTCCTTCTTTGAGTTACGCACTGTCGTTTGTCGAATGACGTAAGCACAAACCAGGAAACAAAAGTAAACAACGCATTGGGAAAGAAAAAAAATAATAGTTAGTGAGCCAGATTCAGTCTCTTTCTTTGATGTTGTCGGTGTTTTATGATCGGTTTTTAGGTCTGTTTATTTCAACAAAGAAGACCCGGTTAGAATCAGGCGTAAAGCCGGAAACACCCGCGGAGCTAAGAGGAAACGGCTGCAGCAACAGCTAATGAGAGCTAGCTGGATAAGAGATGATTCTTTTGTTTTCTTTATTCACAAGATGAAATGCACCCTAAACTATGTTGTAAACATGACTCTTCAACGTTAGGTTTGTCTGAAATCAGCATATAAGATCCCCTAATTGCGTCCCATGTTTGCCCTTCAGTGAGTTTGTTTGCTTTGTCTGTGTTTATATCAGTTTTGGCAATGTTAGCCATCAGGTCATCAGAGGAGGAGTCCACGGAGCTGGAGGAGATGGACATCTCTGAACCAAACTGGTGCTGGTTCTACTTGGCTGAGTGCGGGGTGTGGCATATGTTTGAGGTATTTTGCATCATACTACAACTCTAAATGGTGTTATTAGAAAATGTTTAAGTACACCGCCCAATTATTTTGCTTGAAAACTGTCAGGGTGTACCATATTAAATGCACCCAAAAGCCTAGAAGGCATTATTTTTTGCTTGAAATGAGCCAAACTTCCTTTTGATCTTTTTAAGTGGTATTGAGTAACTTTTCTTTAGACTTTATAAAAGTATTTTAAAGTTGTACGCTCAGACATTGTGTCCAATACAGATAAATTATGTTGTTTATTTGTTTACCCACTTCACTCCAATTCAAAGTATTTTTTTTACAGTTTTGTCAATCAGAATTGTTCAGCTCCTCGCTTGTTTTCTTGATGTCCATCAGATTGATCCCAGTGCAGCCTGCTCAGTAACAAGCGCCCAGATTGAGCAGTGCTACAACAGGAACCAGCGTGGGGTCATGGAGTTCTACACAGCCAAGTACACCTACAGATTGGACTTCTCAGGTAAACTGTAATGTTTGATAAACAACATTAGGTTTGTCCATTTCATTTTTAAACTGCAGTGTTAAGAAAGGTTAAGTAGAAATACTGAAGCATCTCAAAATCAACACAAAAACTCAGTTCTGATTGGATTTTTTTTTTACGTTTGCTCTGCGTTTTGTTTTTGAGCGCCTGTTCTAATGCTTGAAAACTTCCTCTCCAGTTATGCGACAGATAAATGTAACAACGGGCAAACAGCGACCAATCAAACGCTCCCTGCACTCTGCAACTGGTTTCAGGTGAGATTTTGCTGTTCAAATTGAAATAAGACATTAGGAATAATTTTGGTGCATCGGGAAACCTCTGCTCTGGACTTAATTGTCAGCACTGAAAGACATGTTGGCTTCTGTTTAAGAATCAGATACCTGTTTCTTCTGCGAGCTAGTACTCACCAACTTTGCTCTTCCAGGTTTATTTGTGATAATTTGGCCTTGCCTGTTCCCTGTCACTGGGAGAGAATCAATACAGATGAAACCTATCAGGTAAGTAATAATGTGAGAATGGAGGGCTTGAAACAAAACATGCTGTTAAGTTATTTGGCAAAGATACATAACAAATTTCATGCCAGAGAATAGCAAGGATGTGATGAAAATTAAGACTTTCTTCTATATTTTAGATTAACAAATATTCTACAAATTTTAAAGCATTATCAGTTCATGTTACTCCACAGCTCCCAGAAATCTCACTTTTAAATGTGGTCATCAATCCTCAATCAAAGCCAAAGGTAACCTAGATCTACTCATGAACAAAATGATTTTGTATCATCTTCAAAAAGAAAGAAAACAATCTTTTATACAGTGCCTTTCAAGATAAAAGTCACGAGGTGCTTCACAAGAACTAAAATAAAAACAATTAAAAACGATTTTAAAAAATCATATGATAAATAAATAAGAAATAAGTGCCGGTGGCTCCTGGGAAAGCAGAATAAGGATAGAGTAGAGATGAAGGTCACACCAAAGCCAGCCTGAACAAATGAGTTTTCAGCTGCTAACATTCAAACATCATAGGTTTAAAGACCTGTGCTATGCTATTTTACACCTTCCAGAGCAACAGCAGGCATAGTACTGTACGTGATCAAATATTTCAGATGAAACCCCCCCCTCCCCATCTGAATTTCACAAAAGTACACAGCAGCAAACCCAGAGACCGGAGACTGACGCTTGCTGCAGAATCACAGTAAGACAATCTGGCTCAGTTTTTGAGTTCCTAAAGAATAAATCCAACCCTTTCTGCTGATTTAACTCTTCAGGAAGACTGGACAGGGATCCTGTATCTCTCGCAGGCAAAAGTCCATGTTTGGGTTCTAGGCATTATTTAAAGTGCAGACTAAATTAGAAAGAAAATCACTTCTTCATAACTGTGGAACGCAGGCCCTGTCCACACGGAGCCGGGGATCTGCCAAAACGTAGATATTTTTCTACGTTTTGGGCTGTCATCCACACGAAAACGGAGTTTTTTCACACGAAAATGGATCTTTTTAAAAACTCCGGCCAAAGTGAAGATCTGCGTTTTCTCCGTTTTGGGTGTCTGCGTGTGGACGGACAAAACCGGAGTTTTAAGGTCCGCAACGTCACTTTCCACGACAAAAAAATGCTGACATCACGTGTGCGACCTGTGTTTACACTAGCCGACATCATGGATGCCCTCAGAGCTGCGCTCGCTTTATCAATTGTCCAAGCGCTTTTTGCTTGTTTGTTTTTGCAAGCGGAATTACTGCTCCTTGCGGAAGACCACAGAAGAAGGACGAGGTTAAGAGCGGGGGAAGTACTGCCGCCTACAGGTCTGGCATGTCCTTAACAACGTATTTATCCGTGTAAGTGTGGACAGAGTTTTTTTTTAAACGAGGTGGTGTGGATGCAAGTTTTTGGAGGGGCGGATATTCATTTTCAAAAAGCCCCGGCTACGTGTGGACTAGGCCTTATACTGACTAGCTATACATAGAGACTGGGCGTTAGTGTTTACAGTCCAATGGAGGAGGAATCCAGACTCGAGAGACTACCTGGATAGAGAGGAGCGAGTAGTGATAATTCAGCAGCAATCCCGTCTAGCTGAATTCAATAACTTAGCAAAGATTTGCAGGGCTTAAAGGTAGAAGCAGCTGAAGCCATGTGTAAAGCCAAAAACCAATTTGGGGGAGTTTTTGAGGAAATCACAATAAAACATCATCACAAGCTCAAAAAAATTGATTTTGTAATCTGTAGAATTTTACTTTTGCATTTAGAAATCTTTTCCTTTCATGTGATTTTGTTTTTACAGCTCATCCAGCTCAGCAGAGACACTTATGAGTTTAAGGAGGTAGCCAGACTGTACGAGAGGACAATGGATCATCCATTAAAGTCCATCCAGAGGATTCAAAACTTGGATTTATGGGAGTTCTTCTGTCGGTAGGCAGCTTTGTTTTAGTTTAAATTGGTGTTGGCCCTGCAGCGTTGTCATCAGGGCCGTGTGTGAGTAAAAGGTTCCTCTGTGGCTGTAATTCCATTCCAGTCATTTTGTTATTTGGTTTCATACACCCGCTAAATTCACTTAGACTTGACTTTAGCCTGTGGACATTGGATGCAATACATCTCCTGAGCATCAGTGTAGTGGGTCTTTCTTCTGTTAGACACTTATTTGATTTCAGTTGGTCTTTACTCATCAGAAGCAGTCATATGCTGGTATCTGGCAGCTTTTTGGGATCTGTAAATACAAAATGATACTCTGTGTTGTGCTCTCCCCTAAGGAAAAAAACACAGTTGCGAAAGGTCAAGCGAACACTGGATATTGAGGAGCGAATGCTGTTTCACGGTACAGGACACAGCAACATACAAGCTATATGCACCTTTAACTTTGACTGGAGGCTGACAGGAAGTCATGGCGATGTTTATGGCAAAGGTACACCCCTTTGTATCGTGGTGGGAAAAGGAAGCCATCGTTTCTTTATCTGTTCGACTTTTAACACAAGATTTAAATTTTCTGATACAGGAAGCTACTTTGCCCGAGATGCAAAATACTCCAGTAAGTTTTGCCACACTACAGGGAAACACAACACCACCCTCCAGAGACACGGACTGGCCCCGCCCATATTTGCTAACGAGCCGCACCATAAGACCATGTTCCTGGCCAGAGTGCTTGTCGGAGAGTACACTGTCGGACGTCCCATGTACTGCAGACCACCCTCAAAGGACGCCAGCTTCACCAACTTTTATGACAGCTGTGTGGACGATATGGCCAATCCAAAGATATATGTCATTTTTGACAGCAATCAGATCTACCCAGAGTATCTGATTGAGTTCTACTGATGCCTGACTGGACAGTGTATGCTTTTCGTAAATTTAAGTTGGATCCTGAATGAAATGAGAAAAGAGACGCCTAAGATTAATATGCTTTTATTTATTTCTTAGATCCGGTGGCTGACTGGAGAATAATTTGTCCTCAGTGCCTTCGGAGAAGCTTAAAAATCCTGACTACGATGGAGACGTTACACTGCACAGACGCTAGAGGGCTGGACCTTTTGGTTAGAAAAGTCACTCTGGTAGTAAAAATACATCGAATACTGACTTATGTGCAGTATTTGGATATTTCTTTCTTGATTTTTCAGTCAGAACTTGCTTGTCCCTTAGGACTGAAACAGTTATTTCAGCTGAAAGTGGCACCTGCACCTTGTAGATTTAAAAACAGCATTTCATGTATCCACAGTGCCACCCATAAAGCCTTTTTATTCAACCAAAAACATGTTCTGGTCACTTTTTTCGTATCATATGCTGTCAGTGACAGAATCTGTTTTGCAGAAGGATGACAAAATAAAAGGAAAATCCAAGATGAGTGGACAAAAACTGTTCCAATGCACTAGTGTTTTCTTTAGTGCAGTGAAAATGCCCAAAACGGTCACCAAGCCTCTTCAGAGAGTAAAAGGTTTGGGTTTTTCTTTGTCGCCCATCTGTATATAAGCTTGAACTTTTCTTGATGTGTGTCATAAAACAACTTCTACCTCCATGTTTAACCACAAATCAGAGCACTTTTCACCCTTTCTGAGAAAGGATTTATAATCGTGTCATGTTGACATAAAAGTGTCATGTTTAGTTATTATTGTCTCAAGTTTCAGCTGACCTTTGATTTTTATCTTGTCAATAAGCAGTCACAGCTTTGTTAATCTCTACTGTAAACAATGGCATCATGTTAAAAAAAGAAAAGATGTGATTGTGATGTCGACACCATCTGATAGCTTGCACTTTTTTCTCCAAAGAGAAAAAACGAGTTATTTTTGCGCCTGGTGTACATTTACTCCGTCAGTAAAAAAAGGCCAGCACATGTGTAGTACTGTAATAACAGTTACCACTAAATAAAACAGCTTTTCTGTGTGCTTTTGTTGGACTCACTGTTTGGCTGTTTTTTTTTTCTGAATAAAGAATATTGTGATCACCAACTGGACTTAGTTGTGTTTTCTGTGAGAAAATCACCCTGTTTGATTATTAAATGAATTCTGTGAAGATTTATTTATAACAGCATTTACAGTCATTCGTTAAAGTCCACACCCTGATGTCCTCATTTTCCTGTTTGGGTCACAGATAAAGGCCAGCTTACCTCACTGGGTGTGGTCATGATGTAGGGAAACCAGCACAGGTTCTAGAGCTGAGAGAAGAACTTCTGACTCATTTTTTTATTTTATTGTTGCCCTTTTGGTTTGGGGAGATAAGGGATTTAAACAATGTGGACCAATGATGAAACACCAATGGACTTCTCAAACATCTCATGGTATTACCTGGCAGATTGTGGGAGGCGGCACCGGTTTGAGGTAAACTGCTGTAAAATATTTAAGATATTTAGCTGATTGAAATGATCATCTGTAAGATGTAATGTATGTTTGACTGCGTAACTCATTCTCAGGATGACCCTGATAACCCCGTCAGGAGTGAGGACATAGAAAATCATTGCCAGATAGCTTTGGATACCTTACATGATTTTAAAGAGCAAAATAGATTTTTCTGGTATTTTTTTTACACTCATGTCTACTTATATGGTTTCTGTATTTTAAATAAAAATCTGAATTCATTAACCGTTTGTTTTTTCTGATATCTGACATCCCATATTTCTCTTTTCTTGTCTCTAAGTCAATACAAAGTGTTTGAATAAAATTCCCTGTGGTAAAAACAACCTCTTCTGATTCTAAGGTAAGATTAACCTCTGTACCTTAATAAGTGTGAGAATATACCAACTATATTCCGCTACACAGTGATGTTGCAGACTGATCTAATCACAGGACGGCAAAGAAGAGTCAGCCATAGCCTCCGCATTGAAAAAAGGTCAAATAAAACATGCAACTCAGTAAAAGTGATGCCTGTCATGGATGCATGATGAATTAGACCTGTTGAGTTTGGTTTTTAACAAAATGAAAGTGAAACCAGTCAGCACAATGGCAGCCTGTTCCTGTTTTAGTTCCCCACCTGTCTTCTGGGATAGCTTTGATCCTGCACTTCCATACCAGGTGATACTGAGGAAAATATTTAAAAAAGGATTTTTGCAATCAGCTTCATGTAAATTTACAAAACTAAAGATTTTTTTTTTTTTAGTTTTTTCAAACATGATAGTGGGATTCAAAGCTAGTGTATACTCTAGGGGAGATGTTTTGGCTGGATGCACATCACATTAAATGGATAATGGGAACGGATGCTTTAAATTCTAACAAATCTCAGATTCACAGAATGATCCAGCATGTTTTTATTTTTGATATTTCTAAAAAGGTTTGAGAAAATGGAACCACTATGTTAATATATTGTGCAGCGTGGAAGTTTTTACATCCAGTCTGAAAATATTTGCATTCGTTGTTCTGCATGTTTAATATTTTAAAGACAGTTCCACTGAGTCCCTTCACCCCAGAGTTTAAGACCGTAACAAATTATGTGATAACGGAGGGGCTTCTGAACCAATCCATTGTGTCAATAAGCCGGATCCAGAACATAGACCTCTGGGAAATGTTTTGCAGGTATGAAAGTTATTTTTTTTTATCTTTGTCCATTTTATTTTTTCCCCTTAAATCCCTTTGTATTTTTGCGTTAGTGAGGAAAAAGAAACAGCTGATGAGGATCAAAGGTGTCCGTGACATTTCTAATGGGCCATTCCCATCTGTACCGGGTCGGCCCGGGCCGGGTAGCGTAGGTTGTTTACATATCTGGGTGGCCTGGTATTTTTCCGGGCCAACCAAGGCTGGGGCCGACTGGGGCTACCCGGCCCGGGCCGACCTGGTACAGATGGGAATGGCCCAAGAGAGACGGCTTTTCCATGGGACGGATGTGAGAAATATAGACAGCATCTGCAAATATAACTTTGATTTACGGTTAGCTGGAAAACACGGCAAAGCATACGTAAACGGTGAGTAAACCAGTGTGATTATTATGCTTGTGTAAATAATTACAAAGTAAAATTTCTGTTGGTATTCCAGCTGGTCTGATTTTCCTTATTTGTGTGTGCAGGAATATGTTTTTCCACTTATGCATCAATTGCACACACACACACACACACACACACACACACACACACACACACACACACACACACACACACACACACACACACACACACACACACACACACACACACACACACACAGTTTGGGCATTGCTGCATCTTGGACACATGGAGCCAACGCCAAAACAATAATTTTAGCTCGTGTGATAGTTGGGAAGCCTACTCTTGGACATTGTCATTTAGAAAGACCAGATGGTGGAGATCTTGAAAATTCTCACGACTGCTGTGTAGATAACATTAATCATCCAAACATATATGTCATATTTGATCCAAATCAAATATATCCTGAATATCTAATTTGCTACAACTGAGCTAAAACGTGTGCAGGATACCTACCTCCATCTGTGTGGATTGTGTTTTTACAGCAGATATTTATGTAGATGTGTACAAAAACTAATGTTTTAGAAGAGCATGTTAACATGTAATAGAAGAAGAAGAAAAAAAGAAAATATCATTTATTTGGCGCCTCTCAAGATAAAAATCACGAGGCGCTTAAATCAATGCGTAATAAATCAATGAACAACTTTATGAAAACACACACAGGGTGAACCCTGTAAAGAAATGTTTCATGCAGTTTCAGGGAAGCTACTGTGGTGCTTATTCTACAAACACAACTATTTAAAATGATAACTTCATGGGAAGTTGGCTAATTGAGTTTACCTGTGATGTTGCCTCGGAGCTTTAGTTTTCTACAGAAAATAAATAATCAACCAAACACAAATATCTTCATTTTTTGAGTTGAGTGCAGTGAATCAAGATTATAGCTTCAAATTCTGTCAGAATATATTATTTTATAAAGGTTTTCCCTTTTATTTATAGTGATTAATCCAAATTCAAATGATTAAAATCCATAAATAAACTCAGACGGAGCCAATGATGAATGTGTGTTTTAGTTCAAATGATGTGTGAGAAAATTCATGCTGTGCCTGATAAAGCTGTCTGCATTTTTTTCCGGTGGTTTGAGTATTTTTTTTTTCTGGCAACACATCAGAGTGATTCTGGCAGCTGGAGCTTATCCCAGCTGAGAGGAGGATGTGTGCTGATGGTGCAGCTCCATGCAACATGCAGCTCTGTACATCTTTTGGGGCCCGCTGAACCAAAAAGCTGTTCAACATCAACTTCATTACTAAAAGGACATTTTTATTACAATAAATGTTGCGAATGGACACAAAGAGGCATCGATGTTACCACCAAGGTGCAGTTTTTATCATTTTGATAAACATCAAAAAGAAAACTGGGAGTGGTTTCCAGGTCGTTTAAAACACCAGTCTTCATGTAGACTTTAGAGTTTATCGGCAGACCTGAAGGAAGGAGTAGAATTATTGTTGGGTCAGCTGGAGGTCATGATGGGAAAGATGCTAGAGCTCCCAGCTGAGGGATTATTTACCAAAGCTACACACGAAACAAAAGGTTTCCCGTTAACAAGGATGTTGTGTGTTTACACAGTGCACAATGTTTTTTTTATCCGAACAGAACTAAAAGTTCATGTATTAATAATGATCTATAAATGAAAACTTTTATTCCAGGAAATCAACCCTCTCAATAGGAGACGTCAAACATTGTTCCCAATGCAAATGCGGTGCCTGAGAAGCCATCGAGCAGCATCCCTCATCACTCCTGTTACAGTTTTACACTCAGTCAAAGCAGAAGATCTTTTCCTACAAGTCAATTCACTTTCTCAGAAGAGCTTCTGAACGAGACGACAGAAATCAGATGAACTTAACGAAAGTGCCAGCAGAGGTCGCTGTTGTCTCGTGCAATTTTTTTTTCAAGGACCATACAGCAGGGGTGGCCACCACCCAGATCCTAGTGCCACTATCCTGCCTGTTTTAGTTTTTTTTCTCCTTTTTTTTTTCTTTTGCTCCAACACACCTAATCCAGTAGCTGAATCTCATCAAGCTCTGCAGAAAGCTGTTCATCACTTACTTATTCAAATCAGATCAGTCTGAGCGGCGAAACAACTAAAACAAGCTGGATATGTTGCATTTGATGACCAGGGTTGACTACCCCTGATATACAGACACTTAAATATAGGTACACATAGAAAAATTGCAAAATCTCAGAATTTCTCCAGAATTCTGAAATGAATTTTGCTGCTATAGTTTTTGCATACATTCTGTTTCTATTGACCCTTTTTTTTTATTTTTTTGGTTTAAATAGAGAATGACAGCGTTCACATGAACTGACAGAGTCACCTTTATGCAATTGTTCTTAAAAATCAGTGCTGCCTTATTCAGCTTCTATACCAATGCTTGGTTTGGATCCAATGTGAGGAAATCAGAGGCTGTAGCAGGTGTCAATCAAACTTTAGCTCCACCCACCAACTGGAATCTGAATATAAAAGTTTGTGTTTTAATCACATCTTTGTTTCTTAGGCATTTTAGCAATGTCTGTATAGGTCAACCATGTATGTGCTATATTTAGTTTTAAGTGTTTTAAAAAAAAGTTTGTAATACTTATCAAGTGAGTTTTAAAGATTTAGTCATTTATTATATCTCAACGCGTTGACCTACACCAAGTCTGAATTCACATCACGTTATAACCTGATAACCCTACCTTTCATCTTTAGTTGTATCTTAGAACACTGAAAATATTTAGTAAAGAATCATTAGATAACTTTTTGATTACGTAAATTTAAAAGGTCTCACATTCATCTTGCAGTCTTTAACAGCTTTTATTAAATGATGAGCTTTTATTCTGGAATACTGCACATTCAGCCTGTGTTTTTATAAACTAACCCCAGAGATTTATAATGCATCATAATATGCTAAATGAAAACCATTAGTTTACCTTTTGATTAATGTAAATGTGCTATTTGTGTTTTTGCACCAGCTGTATGACATTTTAGTCCGCTTTTATTCAGATATTCCAATGTTTTTTTTCATTGGTGACCTAATTTCTGCTAGTTTTTTGTAACAATTGCAACAATATCATTTGACATTAAATAATGAGGCATATTAATATTTATCATTAAGTAACTAAGACAGCATCAGTAGAGCAGCCATGTGACTTTTAAATTCCAGGTTTTTTTTTGTGTGTACATTTTTCTTAGTCATTGATGTAAACTTGCCTTGCAGAGATACGAAGGGCAATAATTTGAGCAACCCCCCCTCCCCCCCCCCCACACACACACACGTGGATGCAATGATTAGCACTAATACTGTGACATGTTCTCTTGTGGATTTTCATGGTGTTGTAGTGTCAACTATGGGTTGTTGTATTTTAAACATAAAGATCTCCTATGCCTGCCCTGGTTACATCTCATCTGGACTACAGTACTGCCTTACTCGCTGGCCAACCACAGAAACTTCTTCCCAAACTTCAGTTGGTACAGAACGCAGCAGCACGTACCGTTACTCGGGCAACCTCCTCTCAACATATCACTCCTATTCTTGAGGAGCTTCAATGGCACCCAGTAAGTTACCGCATTGAAGCCAAAATATTACTTTTAATATTTAAAACTACATAACATGGGCCCCGGTTATTTACTCAGTCTGTACACACCACCTCGTACACTTCGCTCATCTTCCAGTAATCTGCTTGTTACACCTCAAGTCCGACTATCCTCTATGGGCCTCAGGTCTTTTGTCTCGCAGGCTCCGCGGTTATGGAATAGTATCCCTTCAGACATCCGTATGGCCACTTCTATCATCCAGTTTAAATCACTACTGAAATCGCATCTATTCAGGCAGGCTTTCTTCCTAATATTACATTATGTAGATTTTCACTAATGTGTTACTTTGCAATGTATATCTTTATAATAATCGTCGTCGTCTTCCTCCGCTTATCCGGGTCCGGGTTGCGGGGGCCGCATCCCAACTAGGGAGCTCCAGACCATACTCTCCCAGGCCACCTCAACCAGCTCCTCCAGCAGGATCCAGGAGGCATACTGACCAGATGCCCAAACCACCTCAACTGGCTCCTTTCGATCCGGAGGAGCAGCGGTTCTACTCAGAGTCCCTCCCGAATGTCCGAGCTCCTCACCCTATCTCTAAGGCTGAGCCCGGCCACCCTACGGAGGAAACTCATTTCGGCCGCTTGTATCCACAATCTCGTTCTTTCGGTCATTACCCAAAGCTCATGACCATAGGTGAGGATTGGGACGTAGATCGACCGGTAAATCGAGAGCCTGGCTTTCTGGCTCAGCTCCCTCTTCACCACGATAGATCGGCTCAGCGTCCGCATCACTGCAGACGCTGAACCAATCCGCCTGTCGATCTCCCGATCCCTCCTACCCTTTATAATGATCTATTAATTGATTATTCATGACTTATCTGTTGATAATTTAAAATGGAATAGTTAATTAAGTATTTTAGCATTTTACTGTTTCCATTTTTAACTTGTGTTTTTTTATGTGTGTATTTTAACTTAAAAGGGTGTTTTAACCTTTATTATATCATGGGCTGCATGGTAGCAAGTTGTTAGCACTGTTGCCTCGCAGCACGAAGGTTGCAGGTTCGAAACTCGACTGCGGCCTTTCTGCGTGGAGTTGCGTGTTCTCCCCATGCATGCGTGGGTTTCCTCCGGGTACTCCCACAGATCACAACATGCCCTATAGGTTATAAATTGTAAGTCACTTTGGATAAAAGTGTCTGCTAAATAAACAAAAAATAAACATTTCTGTTAAAGTGACCCTGAGAGATCTAGGCGCTTACATTAAAATGTATTATTAATATAAGCCTTCCTCTCACCATATTGTTGTGTTTCTGTCACTGGTTCTTGTGAACCATTGTCTGCAGACTGGATATTCTCCAGAGGAGATATAAAATTCAGTGGGAGACCTAAAAAGTCCTCAGCTGTACACAATCAGCTGGACTCCTTATTTTTGCTTGGGAGTGCCCAAAATTCTGCTGTGCACAACTTGACGTACGGCTGCAGTCTGACAAAAGCCCAGCCAAACACTGAAGTCTTGTGTTCACATAAATTTCAAAGTGCTTCCAGTGCATAAACCGACACAGGTGTTGCTGCTTAAATGTTCAGCTGCTTTCTGGAAAAGAAACACTCAGCAGGACAAAAGAAACAACATTTTTTCTCTTAATCGTTCAAAAAGGCTTCACTGTTCTTTTACAAAACAACATTTTCAGCTACATATTTTCTAGAATCCAAAATCATTTCAAGAAGCTCTCTCAGTGGCAGAGATGTGAAACAGGAATCCCAGCCTGATGTCCCTGAGCAGAGAGGAAACCAAACACACACAGGTATGAAATCGTTCTCAGAGGACTGTCATGTCGCCCGTTTACAGGAATGAGGGAAGATGACAGTACAATGGCACAGTGTTGGCATTTTATGTAAAAACAAACAAAAAACAAATCATATATTAATAAATTAATGAAGCATTTTCATCAGGCACAACAAACATGAGTGAAAACAGTTCTTGGTTGGCACAAAAGGTGCGAAGACTCCAACTTTGGCTCTGCTGTGGAGTTTTCTCATGGGCTGTTTTTTAGATTTAGCTGCAGATTCATGAATGTGTTCTTTTTGTTTAAACTATCCCAGTTTGAGTTACTAAACACCATAAAAACAAGATGTAGTCAAATAAAAAATCTGCCAATTTTTGGAAATGTTCTTTTAACAAAAACCATAAATCTGAACGTCGGAGTCGAGCCACAGATTGGCACTGGTGGTGTCGGGCAGAACCTTGAAGCTTCCATCAGTCACCAGGCTGGACCCATCACTATCAAGAGGGTTTGGGCCTCCTCTTGTTCTGGTCCTAACGTCTTCTTTAAGAGCAAAACGCAACAAGGCAGCTTTCTCAGTTCAAGCATCGCCTTGCTTAGTCCTGAGGTCCTGCCTCTCCATGATGTTCCACAGCTTGCGCAGATTGGACTGGGTGATGACGTCGTCTGGCTTGAGCTGGAGGGCACGCAGGTAGTTCGCCTCCGCCTCTGGGAGTTTTCCGTTCAGGTGGAGGATGGCGCCGAGGTTCATCAGGGCTGCTGGGTACTGGGAGCAGAAGCGGAAGGGGAGAAGAGACAATGCAGGGTTACAGGATCGCTAAACTTTTTTACTCTACATTTAACAGAACATCTTTAAAGAACATTTCAGAAGATGTTTGAGACAAATATGACCTGATGTAGACTTGATTTGATGGTTTTCAGACCAAAACATAAGCTGTTATAGTATTTGGAAAATATTGGCCAATGCAAATGGTTCATATATTCTTTATTTAATGTTTCTTGCTATTTTTATTTTCATTTACCCAAAAATACAATCGTATTTCACTAAAGCCTAAAAAAAATCTAACATTTATTTCAACAAGTGCCACCCTACCCCACCAAAAAACACAAACACATTATATTCGGGCCAGCGCTGGTTTTTCATCGTGCGGATGAAGAAAACAATTTTAAGGAGTGTTCCCTGAAATCCCATTTATCAAAGAGCTACAGCGGTAAAGTAAGACCATCTGGTCTGGAGTGATCGAGGGAATCTACAAATCCCAGCACAGCAAGTAACTAACAAACACACCTAAACCTCCCCTCCCTTAACTCACGACAGTCCCAGCACGATGCATGCTTCTGATTTTCTCTAAACACGTATTTGAGTCTTTTCTCAAACAGATTTGTTTGGTTAACATTCGTTTTTTCACAATGGCTGAACACGATTGCTTGTTTTTCCACAATTAGTAGGACAAATGAATGATTAAAGAGTTTAATTTTCTCATTGTCTGCAACAGACCATGAAAGGTTTTATAAACTGAATGTTCTGTACAGAAACCTTGCACAAAGCTGAGACGAATGACAGTTAGAGAAAAACAATAAAACTAATTTATTCTAAACTGACGGATAATCTGGCACACTTCAGGTTTGGAGCTTGGTTTAATCTAATTATACGCAGCTTTAACCCCTGAAGCTGCCCTCGATTCAGCTGGACTAACTGCCTAGGAGTTCGATTCATTCTTGCCATTTTTTTAAGCAATGCTATTTTGAGCAATGGTTCCCCGGTTCAACGGCGTTCTGAAGGTCTCTGCTTAGAACTTTGCTTGTTTTTCTACATATTTCCTTGTTCTTATTTCAATTTTTAAAGGAATGGTTTTTATTTTTCAAGCAATGATCAATGATCTCTGCGTCTGTGGCTCCTAAAGAAGAGCCATTTTCTGTTGGTTTTGTCTTTATTTTGCCAACCCACATATCAAATAATGGATATCTGTTGCATGTGTCATTTATTAACACTGCACAGGTAATCTAATTTGTAATTTGGTAATCATAAAGATGTGTTTTTAAAATGATTTAGTCATATTTTACCCTGTCATTTTGTTGTGCCTTTAAAATGTCATGGAGATCCTCCAGTTGAGGCTAAACTCACATGAATTTTTTGGTGTTTTGAAAAGTCGAGACTTGTAAAGATGGCAGAATGAGGGCAAAACACACGGGCAATGTCATGACCCATGTCAAATAATACGCCAAAATCTTTTATCACATTCTCCAGATGGCATCTGGTGAATCTTTCTTGTTTGCTTCTATTTGCAAACATCAGTGCTCCTAAAAAAAAGTCCTGCTTCTTGTTTTGGACATCTAGGCAATTGCAGCAGTTTTGTTTGTCTACAGTTTCCCTTTTTGACTGATCCATCAAACAGAAAAAGAGTTTAATTACCCGGGGTCTCATTTATCAAACATTGCGTAGAGTCCTTACTAAAACCGTACTTAAGCTCAGCAAAAAAAAGTACTTACGCCAAGTAGGTTTGTGATCTATCAAACATGGAGTATGCACAGCTGCACGCAATCTCCGCTTCATAAATCAGAGACTAACGAGAAAGGTTCTCAGCTGCTTTTTTGTCACATCCCGCCCTCACCACGCCCACTTACTGCCATAAATGGTCAGTGCCTTGTGGATCTCATGCATGTACATAAGCCGGCTTGTTGCAGCATTTCGATCCCGATCGCAGATCAAGGCAGATCAAGGAAGTGCTATTTCACAAGCAGAAATTGAGGTACTTGTGGGTGAGGTGGAGAAATGAAAGGAAGTGCTTTTGCAAAACAAATAAGAGAAAATCCACGGAGTGGCACAGCGTTGCTGAAGCCGTCAATGTTGTGAATTCTTCAGAGAGATCTGTGGTGGATATAAAAAAAAAAGGTCCTATTGGGATTTGATCCCCAGACTCCCAGGTGAAAGTCACACGCGCTAACCAGTCAGCCAAATGGGCATCTCTCTTTGACCAAGTAGCCAGGGCGCATGATCAATCGGGTCACAGTGACAGGACACACACTGTCACAGATGCATGACATTCTGTCTCTATCTGCCCCCCTGCTGATATTCAGCATTCTCTATTCTGCGCTTCAGGCTGTGTGTGCGCGTGCGCGCGCGCATGTGTGTGTGTGAGTGTGCACACGCATGTGTGCGTGTGGGGGGGGTCTTGTTCTGTGTGTACAAATCGGTACAAGTGATAATGCTGCAGGATTTCATAATTGCATCCTTCTCAGCAGCAGCACTGCAGGTGCTCTCCATGTCCATAGTCAACTTAAAGTTGCGCACATTTTTACGCTACGTTTTCTTTTATAAGTCCCAAAGTTTGCGTGGAAAGTTGCTCACGCAGTTTTTGACCCCGTTTTGTGCGTAAGCAAGCTTGAGAAATGAGGCCCCCGGTGTCTACATGTCTTTTAAACTTATATTTTTCATATACGCTAAACAAAAATTTCTTAATGTTAGGGCATTTTAGGTTTTATTTGATTTTATTCAGATTAAATCAAATTTGAGCTCCAATAAATGATAATCACCAAACAGAGCCACCTGCTGATGTAAATTAGTAACTGCAGTTTTCTCAATATGTGAACTGAGTATATATGATGCTTAAGGGCAAGTAAAAATGTACATGTATATAACTACAGCTTATGAAATGTGAAATGGTTGTTGAGGAGAACACAGAACATACTAGAGTATATAATGCACCCTGCAGAGTGATGCTGCGGATGCTCGGATTATTCAAAATTGTGTTTTTAACTGAATAGGTTGTTTTATAAATGTTCTTTTAACAAGACTTTAGCTTGTGAAAGAGGTAAAGGAAATTTCATAGGTTGATTAAGTTTGTTCATTATGTTGTTTTATGATTGATTTGCAGACTGAGTCCAGCTTTGTTTATTGAAAATTCTTTATTGAAAATTAATCTGATGATGTTTTCATTTAGTAAAAAAGAGGCAGAGTTTTATGTTTGTTGATTTTATTCTGATCTTGTTTTTTTCCCCTTTGAATTAAATAAATAAAACAACAAGAACAAAAACCTAGAGCTTATCGGCTTAGTTCTGGAGGGGACCAGGTGACGGGCTCGACCTGCTCCAGACTACTGCGTCTTATTTTCAAATGAATCTCTGAGTAGGTAAATAAAATATAAGAGAAAAAAAACCTCCTTCACACATTCACAGACTTTTCTCAGCATGGAAATATAATGGTGAATCTTTCATGAGCTAAAATCTTTTGGATTAAGCTGATATTTGGTAGAAAGTCATCCACCCAGCACAAGGGACGCATCAGAGCTAAATCAAAAATAAAGTTTTTGCATTTTTATTGGTTTTAATGAACATATTTGGCGCAAAATGTACCATAAAATATGTTGAACTAATCTGACGGATGAGAAAAGTGTGGAGACTCTGTTTAAAAGAGTGCAGCAGAATTAATGCAGCAGAGACACGAAGGTCAAACCCTTTTTTCAGCATGATGGTGCAAAAGTCACAGAGCCGACTTCTACAAAGCAGACCACCATAACAAATTGCTGCAGGGACCCCCCCCCCACCCACCCACCACCCGTTTTTTTCTCTAAATGAATTCTCCTCCAGCGCAGCCTTTGAAGTGACTGATGCTAACAAGGCAGAAACAGGATATAATGGCTCCAAACTTCCTTATCCGTGTGTGCTGACATCAGGAGACATGATATCCCCCAAGGCTCCGTCTGTTTAACTACACTGAGATGATCGAGTGTTTACTCTGCAGCCGAGTGCGTGACTTGTATCAGAATACAACGACCACTAAACTCATTCTCTCTCTCTGTGTGTGTGTGTGTGTGTGTGTGTGTGTGTGTGTGTGTGTGTGTGTGTGTGTGTGTGTGTGTGTGTGTGTGTGTTTGCAGCTTCTTGTACAAGCTTTACTGGCTCAACAGTGCTAAAACACACAGTGGCAGGATGAGATTGCTGAGTGTGTAGGAAAATTAAATTTACACAGTAGCCCAGTGTGTGAGTGTGTGCGGTGCTTTAATAAGTGCAAACTGGCGCAGGTACTTACATCTGGTCTGAGACTGGCTGCCCGCTTATACTGCCTCTCTGCTGCCTCGTTTAGATTGGCCTGTCTGAGGAGGAGGAGGACACAGAAGAAAGGGTGAAAAGTGAGCCTGTGATAACATTTACAACAAGAGTAATGTTGTACTAATAAAACGGATGATTGTAATCGTCTTTAAAACTGATAAGTGAAATAAATCCACATGATTCATGTCAATCATTTACAATAGCATCTTATTGTGAGCCATCTATAGGTCTTTGTACATGAGGCCATTCAAAGAATGAATCAGACCTAAACTCTCTCACACGGTCAAGCTAAACGCAAGCTAGCATGTCCATTTATGGGATGTTATTCAACGAGTACATGAACTGGATGATTTGCCAAAGCCAATAAAGTCTAAGGGTCCTCTCTGACATGTTCATTCATATTTATAAGGCTGTGGCTTGAGTAGATAGGGATTCCTGATGGAAGGTTCACTCATTGTGGGAGCTATCTGAAAGTGGTTTGAGAAAACTTCAGAAAGCTGCTAACTAGCAGGTAAAGATTCAGGAAGTGTGTTTAAAGCAAGCCTCAACTTTATTTTTTCATAATGAATGTGAAAAACCACCCATCAGTAAGAATACAAGAGAGCAATCTGCCAATAAGAGTTAATGTCAAGTTTTTAAAGGAATCCACGGCCAAGTCCTGAGACTTTTAAACCTTTTACAAATCCTCTGTGGCGGCGCGTTGAGGGGGATGCCTGCGCTAACGACTTTAGCAGATACCTAGATTAAAAAAAGAATTAAAGGTCGTCATTCCAGTCTTCCTTTCGGAGGAGTCCCTTCTGACACTTTTTAGGATTTATAAGCTGTCTGAAAATGTGTTTGCCAAACTCTGAAGAAAAAAATCTACAGTGTGTTCTTCATGAGCTGTTTGTGGTCTAAACCCATGCTGATATTTCTGTTTACACAATCGGTTGTTTTGTTGTGCAGCTGGGCCAACCTCAGCATGTGAGCAGCGTTGAAGACAACATCAAACTCGGAGGTGTCCAGCTCCGCAGCTCTCTCTGCCATCTCTGCTGCTTCGCCAAGACGAGACTGCTCCAACAGGAACTGACCTGGACACGAAGGGACGAAGAGTTTAACTCCAAGGTGGCTCTGGGTTTCAGGCTACATCTGAGCTGGAAGATCGACTCGGATTACATTTCATGTCTTCACTTTGTTCCTCTGAGACGAGCAAAAAGCTCGACATCTTTACCGTCTCATAATCGTTCGGGCCAAGCATAGATTTCAGGGATATTTTGTTGAATCTGGATTACCACTTAGAATTCCTAGATGATGAAAGACTTGATGACTCAGTTTCAGGCTGACATTTATGATTTGAGGAGAAATAAAAGACAACACGCTTTTCTAACTTTGCACTTCATATGTGAGACACATGCAAAACAAAGTTATTTCACAATGACATACGTGGTTTTGGAAAAGACCACATGGAATTCCTACAAGGATAATCACATTTCCACACAAAAAATGTGGTTTTGCAGGATTTTATGCCACTAAAACAGCATGAATGATCTATTTGGCTGGTAAAATGACCATTTATGTTTGCTGTTTAAACAACTGAGAGAAAAGCCCAGCATGGCTCTTAGTTCGACCCCTAATCCAGGGCGATGGTGGCTCAGGGGTTAGCAGGGGACTGTGGCTTAAATAAACAGTAGCTGGGAGACAACGTGAAACTATCTGGGCGATGGTGGCAGAGGAGTTAAGTGTCTGCCTTGTAACCACAAGGTTGCAGGTTTGATCCTTGCTTAGCCTGTTGTTGTGTCCTTGAGGAAGACTTTACTTTCTGATGGTGGTCAGAGGGACTGGTGGCGCTAGCGTTTGGCAGCCTTGCTTCTGTCAGTGCGCACCAGGGCGTGTAATTTGGAATTCTAGGATGTCCAAGGAAGATCCCGCCTTTCTCGTCTCTGATTGGCTAGAAAGGCTCTACTACGATTGGCTATTTCATTTAACAGCTAACTGGCTGTCGTTGCTAAGTGCTGACTGTGTCCTTCTGCCACCAGCAGAAAGCTGTTTTGGGGAGTTTAGTAAAGAAAATGTGAACTTAGCGCTAGAATAAACATTCTGTCCTGGTTTGCACAATATTTCATGTTTTATGTTTCATAAAAAAACCAGAAAAACATAAAATGTGACTTTTAAATCTTGTTGCATTTATCAAACTGTTGGACTTACTTTATATCTCCTCTGAAGCATTAGAGTACATAGGATAAAAATATGTGCCTTGCCTGGGTATGACATTTAATAAAACTACCCTATTCAGCCAAGCTGTGTACATCAAGTCTGTTTCTTCTCTAGAATGATGAAAACTGGTGAAAAATAGGCCTAAATCATAATTAGCTTTAACTTAGCTTTTGATTAAATGACACACATTTAACCTATTAAAGCAGGATAGCCTAATAATGAAATAATAAGATAACCCCAATAGAGCCAACATATATAGTCAGTCTACAGTGTGATAAAATGCTACAATAATTATTAGAAGTTCACATTTGATGTTGTTCAGGTTATTTTATGAAAGAAACTGAACCTGGTTTGTTGCTAAACAGGAAAGGATGTTTATTCTAGCGATGAGTTCACTTTTTCTTCAAAAAACTCCTCAAGATCTGGCTGCAAACATAAAAGCCTGCAGCGAGGGAAAACTGTTTCCTCTTACACGAAGAAGCCAATCGTAGTAGAGCCCTTCCAGCCATTCAGAGGAGAGAAAGGCGGGCCCTTCCTTGGACATCCTAGAATTCCAAATGATGCCCCCAGGGCAGCTGTGGCTACACTGTAGCTCATCAGCACCAGGGCGTAAATGAATGTTTGTGTTGTAAAGTGCCTCGGGGGGTTCTAGGACTCTTGAAGGCCCTATATCAAATACGGGCCGTTTACCATCTACAGAAAATGTTTCTCAAATGCCTGAAGAAATGTGTTAAAAGGACTACTTAATAAAAACCCACTTTTGGAGCGGTTGACCATGTTACACTGTTTTTGTTAGAGTGGGCGACGGTGGCAGAGGAGCTAAGTGCCCGCCCTGTACCCGGAGGGTGGGACGTTCGAGCCCCGCTCAGTCTGTCGTAGTCGTTGTATCCTTGGACAAGACACTTCACCCACCTTGCCTAGTGGTGGCGCCAGAGGTCAGCAGCCTCTCTGTCAGTGCCCCCCAGGGCAGCTGTGGCAACAAGTGGCTCATCACCATCAGCATGTGAATATGTTTGTGTTGTAAAGCACCCTGGGGAGTTGTACCATTTACCATTTATTTCCCCACTATATAAAATACCCCCAGAGCTTTTTTTTTTTTTGGCTTTATGCACACGTTCTGCTTTCTGAGCTGCAGCTTCTCTTTGGCTCTGCTAAGCTACTGCAAACAGCTGGATGGTTTATTTGATCATATATTGTGCCTTTTGTTACTGTGGCAGGTGTAAATGATCATGATACAGACTCTAATGTATTTTCTTACCATAGTGCATGTAGCAGTTTCCTTTAGATGGATCCAGCTGAATGGCTCTCAGATAGTATTTCTCTGCTTCGGTCTTCTGTCCCTAAAAATTCAAGTCATTCATTATCCTTTATAGTTCAAATTAGTAAACAGATGAGCTTAGGTGTGCATTTCTGTGGTAAAGAACTTATTTAGTTAAAAAAAATTAACTTGTAACACTTTTATCAGTTAAAATTTTACATTGTTTCTGTAAAATGTGCAACTTTTAAAACTGCATTAGTTTATTTAATACCTGTGAACTATTGTTCCTTATGTGAACAGTAGCAAATGAATGCTAATATTGACCCTTTGCACGTGACGTCACGCCTCTCATGTGACCGCCCCCTTCACCATGATGGACGGCAAAAAGACAGTTTATACCTGTAGAAACTCCAGTGAAGCTAGCCAAAACAAGCCAGTTTGTAGCCTTTTATCGCTTTTATTTAGTTGATTCGACAGTAAAATGGTTTTAGCTTGCTGCGTGGTCGGCTGCACTAACAGACAAGGATGTAAACTCAACTCGTTTTGTTTTTTTATAACTTTGACGGAAACTGAGGACGGAGATGAACTGTAGCAATCAGTCAAGCTGACTAGCAGCCCTCAGATTTGCAGTGAACATGTTTTTACCGGGTAAGATTAACGTTCATTTATTTCACGAGGAAGACAGGGACAGGGATAAATGTGGTGTGTTTATACTAGTTATTGATAATCCTGGTGGATGGGTATTTCACCACGGAGGCTGCGCTCCGTCCACTGTAGTGCAAAGCGCGACAATTATTAACAATATTAAAGCTCCGATGTATGGTTACGTGTGTTAAAATTACGTTATTTATTTATATGAGCGTCGGCGTTCAGAGATCTCCTCATTCCGGTGTGAGAGCAGCAGCTGAACCCGGTAACACCACCAGCAACAGAAGCTGGTAGAGATCCGGACTTTTTAACAATCAGCTTTGGTGTAAAGTGAAACACTGTTTATAACAATGTTATAAATCCAGAGGGGTGAATTTAGGCAAAGTCAGCAACATGTTTACATCGGTGAACAGCTGCAGAGAGAACGTAAGCTAACGTTGGTAAGCTAGTTAACATACCGCTCTCTATGAGCCCCGCTAGATGCGCTACTTCTTCTGATAACTGAACTGGGCATGAACTAGTTGAAGGAATGCTGGAGGAGTTTTGTTTTTGTTTTGATCGCAAAAACAATTTCAGGCTCTACTTTTCCCTTTGTTTAGTAATCGTGTCGCTCACTGTTTACATGCTTTTGCCGTCCACCATGGTGGACCCACGTGATTAGGTGACGTTGGTGCAAAGGGCCAATAGAAGCATTTTCAAGACAAATGTTTAATGTGTGTGTGTGTGTGTGTGAATATCTTCATCACTTATGTTTCATGCTCCAGCACTGATTGCTTCCACATTGCTGATGGACTTGCCATTCAATAAGAAGCGAGAAGGCTGAGCGTATTCGAGTTGCCTCATTAGCTTTTTTCCGTGTCAACAGTTGCTCTACATGAATGGAGGGCCCATCGGGACCCAATAGCATATTTTACAATCTCTCTGGCTTCTTTGCATCCAATTAAACTTCTTAGCCAATTGCTCCTCCAAACTTAGTGTGTTTATGAAAGGTTGCAGGCCAGTTTTTAAAGCGGTCAGAAGGATGTTTCTTTATCTGCTCTTCATGTTAAAGGTTACAGCAGTAATATAGCTCTGTTTATTAACTAGTGCACATAGGCTCAGATTCACAAAAGAGTAGATCTTCCTTTTTCAGTCCAACGTTGTCTAATTTAAAAAGTCCACACATTAACAATCAATGTGGGCTGCATGGTGGCGCAGTTTGTTAGCACTGTTGCCTCGCAGCACAAAGGTTGCAGGTTCGAAACTCGGCTGCGGCCTTTCTGCGCGGAGTTCCGTGTTCTCCCCATGCATGCGTGGGTTTCCTCCAGGGACTCCGGTTTCCCCCACAGATCACGACATGCCCTATAGGTTATAAATTGTAAGTCGCTTTGTATAAAAGCGTCCGCTAAATAACTAAACATAAACATTAGTGCCCCAGGCTGCTCTGTGGACCAAGCAGCACTTTTCTACTCTGGTGCAGTCTGCTCACATCCTAATTAGGCTCTCTGCACTCCCGTATTCTTTTAAGTTCCTGTTGTTCCAACAATCATCTGATTCTTGAAGACTGCACTGTTTGCTGAATGCATTTAGTGGGAACTCTTTACTGTACTTCAAATGGTGAGGAGAGTTTCAAAGAAGGTCCAATTTGCTATAAAAGATCAGAGGATAGAATTTGTTGACACATACAAAATACCTTGGTACAGTTTTTACTAGAGGTGTGAATCTTCCCTAGTCTCACGGTCTGATTCCATTACAGTGATCCACCCATCCCCCGCTTATCCAGGGTCATGCTGCGGGGGCAGCAGCCTAAGCAGGGAGGCCCAGACTTCCCTCTCCCCAGCCACATGGGCCAGCTCCTCCGGGGCATCCTAAAGTACCCCCTGGCCAGCCGAGAGACATAGTCCCTCCAGCGTGTCCTGGATTTTGGGTAGGAACGTAGATCAACCGGTAAATCAAGAGCTTCACTTTCCGGCTCAGCTCTCTCTTCACCGCGACAGACCGGTACAACGCCGGCATCACTGCAGACGCAGACCAATCCACCTGTCTATCTCACGCTCCGTTTCTATGTTTTATTAATATTTTGTTGAATTGGTTTGATTTATCCGATGGTGTCTCTTAAAAAGAACTGTCTGAACCAAACGGTTCAGTAAGCTGAAGAGAGAATACAACTGGATCCTGTCTGGCTTTTAAAGGGCCCACCAGTTCCACCCTTCCTACCACAAGCCTCCTAAATAACCTATGGCTTTTATGTTGTGATAATGTTCACATGACAAAGTTTCTAATGTTTTGACTCACCTTACTGCAAAGCAAGTTTGCCTTCGTGTATGAATAATGTCTCTAAACTTTTGAACTTGCTGAACTTTGGGCATTTGAGCTCTTTGTTTCGTGATTACGATGCTGAGAAGGAGCAGAAATGCAGCAAATAAAATAAAAACCCCAAAACAAGTGAAATGCATTGTTTTTGAAACTTGACTCTGGCTGTTAATGTTAGTGGGACTCAGGATAAACCCACAGATTAGCTAAACGCTGAGCGAGAATACTCTATTTGAACTCCAGCAAGACTGGAGAAGGAGATATTACACTGAGCCAAATGACTGCCTCTCACATCCGTTAGTGTTGGAGGAAAGAGGATAAGATCCCATCTAGGCTGAAGGCAATCCAGATCTCACAGCATGGCAGCACATGTTGGGGTTAACCAAAGTACTAGAATTAATTTTGACCTTTCCCTTCCTGGTCTGTGTTGTTAATTGACTGGGGTGGGACAGCCAAAAGTGAAGTGATTCAATAAGGAAGCAGAGTAATTGCATTATAAGCCTGTCCCCTGGCCTATTGTCCAGAGTCCATCCAATCTCCTGTTTGCTAAGCCCTGATGCAGTGGAGGTAGCTGTGTGTCGGGGTGCTGCAATAGTCTGGAGCCCCCTTAGCTAGAGGCAGAAGAGCACTTTATGTGTCTCTGCAAGTGTGTGTGTGTGTGTGTGTGTTCAGATCTGTCTACCAAAAGAGGAACTATGGTTTTAGATCCTGAAAGATAACAGCTGCAGCCTGTGCACCGGCCGGTTGTCTCTTAGCTTGGTACTAGAGGCTGAGGAAGGAAAAGGGTCAAACATCTCCAGGAGGGGTGCAAAGGGCACGCAGTTCATGTCCACAGTCTAAACTTGAGTCAGCTGTGAACACACGAGTCACTGTGTGCTTTTGTTTTCACAGAACGGCAGAAATCTGAGGAATTAAGAGGATTTTTTTGAGCAGGGGAAAATCCTTAAAGGTGTGAGACGTTATTTCGGAGAAGATTAGTGACACTCCGCAGTTTGCCTTGCTTTGCTGTGTCTTAACTTATCCATTCCCTCTGACACAAAGCTAATCACCACAGTTATTCCTGTGATGGTCAGCTTTCATGTTTTGCGTGATGGTACGTACGGTGATGGACAAGAGTTTGCCGTAGGTGAGGTGGGCGGGGATGTGGTCAGGCTTGACTCTCAGGGACTCTTTGTACCAGTAGGCAGCTTCCTCCAGCCTGTCAAGCCTCATGTAGGCCTCTCCTGAACCGACACACACAAAAAGACAGGATTCATTTTTACAGATTTACATTCCTTCTAAATCCCAAAGAAATAAAACTGCATGAAATAATAATATGTGAAGATAAATGCGACAGCTCTATTATTCTAGATGATTCTACATTTACATAATGATACAGTTTATTTCATTGGGATATTTGCACATTTTGAAAATCATTTCCTAATTATGAAACAATTATGTGAACGGGCAAGCCGGTATTTAACAAAAGAAGAAAAGACACTTAAAAAGTTTAATTTTAATTAAAACCACAGTAAAATATTAGAGATTATTATATTTATTGTCTGTTTACTAGCATAATTATCCTCCTCTACCTTATTTTATTTGTGCTTAATAATTATTTTTCATCTTCATTCATCATATTCATTTTCTCTTTCCCTTTCCTCACAACTTTTTCCGATTTTATAATCATTTTTAATCATTTTTAATCTTCTTTTTTATTTTGATTTATTGAAGCTCTTCCTGATTATTGTCATGAGATGTGTTTTATAAAAGATTATTTCTCTTTCTTCAGTTTAATCATGAATACTTAGAGTTGCTAAAATATATAAAAGTTTAACATCATTACCACACATGATCATTATTGTAATGGTAATAATAATGTTAGCATTATTATCTTATTGCCACAAAGGATTAAAAAGGATTAGCATTTTTCTTTGGTTAATATACATTTTAAATGTATGGGGTGACGGTGGCACAGGAGTTAAGTGTTCGCCCCGCAATCAGAAGGTTGCAGGTTCGAGCCCCGCTCAGTCTGTCGCTGTCGTTGTGTCCTTGGGCAAGACACTTAACCCACGTTGCCTGCTGGTGGTGGTCGGAGGGACCGGTGGTACCAGTGCTCGGCAGCCTCGCCTCTGTCAGTGCACCCCAGGGCAGCTTTGGCTACATCGTAGCTCATCCCCACCAGTGTGTGAATGTGTGTGTGAATGGGTGAATGACTGATTGTGTTGTAAAGCGCCTTGGGGGGTTCCAGGACTCTAGAAGGCGCTATATCAAATACAGGCCATTTACCATTTAAATATCTTGTGAATAAAAATGTAAAAACTTCACAGCTGAAGCAAATTACAAAATGGGGTTAGCAGACTTTACTGATGTAGGTCGGCCGCAACTTTTGCAAAGATCAACACATTTTTAACATGTTTTATTGGATTTGATGACAGAATAATAAGATGTCATCAGACTATCCTGTTATCCTCTGGGCTACCAGGAATAACGGGATAGCCGAATGACATCAGTTTGTAAAAAGTATTCTTTAGCCTTCGTCGCGTTAATAAAACCTCTGTTACTCCTCGTCGACACCTGACAAAACATCTTCTTATTTTCATTCTTTCCCTCTTTATTATTCCAACGCCACTCGGTCCGTCTCAGGAATTCATGCTGACATTTGCCTGCTATGTGATCAGGATGAGCCTCCAATAACGTAATTAGTGCTATAATAACAAAGAGGGGGAAGTGATGTATGACACGGATTAGCTTTAACTCTCCTCTAACTCTAAAGGGTCAAACCCAACAGGTGGCTCGAGTCCTGCCTTAAAAAAAACTGTTTTACTCAATTTAAAGCTCATAAAAACTAACAGACAGAATATGGAAATGGAAACAAAGATATCAAATCATCACTAGTCCCAGACTCCTGCAGAGTTGATGCTCATCTAATAACAGTAATTACATCTAACTGCTTTATTATATCATCAAACACTTATTAACATTGGAGAAGTTGCCACCATGATTAAACATCTGGGCTTTTCAGCTGCTGCAGTTCAAACAAAAGTCCGACATTAACTCACCCATCATGTTAAAAAGGCTGTGAGGCGCAAACTGTCTCGGCATTTTCTGCACGGCTTCTTTATAAACCAGCAGGGCGTCCTGCAGCAGGTGAAGGTTCGTTTGAGTTCAGATCATAAATGCATAAAGATGCCATCCTTATCTTTAGATTATGCACACTAACCTCCTGCTGGCCCTGTTCATGGAGCAGCTTTCCCAGGTTGTACAGGCAGCTGGTTACGGAGCTCTTATGGGCGTGTGGGTCCTTTAAGTTCTCATCTGGGATCTCTGCGCAAGTGAGGAAGGTGCGTTTGGCTTCTTCCAGGTTGCCCTGATTCATCAAGATTATTCCTGTGTTCAAGTAGGCCGCTGTGAGTCCAGAAAGGAGACCCAAGTTAATAAAACCACCATCAGTCTACAGGTAAAATCAATCTAAACCCTTCTGACTGCTACACCTGTCCTGAGGTTTCTTGTTCCTTTTATTCAAGCTACTATGTTTATGAAGGAAATAAATATTTGGAAGAATAAAAACACAGAATAATACTAGAAAGGTAAGAAGTCAAAAGTAGATCAAATAATAATTTAGAACAAAGTAGGAAGTATAAATAAATCTGGTTAGAACCAAAAAGAGAAAGCTCAAGAGATTTAAAGCCACAGTGTGTAATATGTTTACCTGTCTACTCTCAATGTCTGTGTATCCCGCTCACAAACGTGCCCTTTTTCATTAATACTTCTCACCAACATCTATTCTAAATGATCCTCTCAGCTTGAAATTTTTAAATAAATAACATATGGTCGACGCTTCACGGCCATGTGCCATATTGACATATGGCAGTTGTTAAGGGACATACAAACTCTGCGTTTGCACTTTGACTAACTTGAAAGAAACAGCGGAGGGCAGCAGTTTGCCCTGGAAGCATGGACTCTGCCAAACTAACTAAGAAGAATGAGTACACCGCTGCTTTACTCGGTTAGTTTGAAAAACAATGATTGGAAAACAAGTCAAATTTGTCAAGAGCTCATTGTGTCCAAATCTGCAGCCGCATTTGATGAGATCCCCGTCCGCTATTAGCTGGACACCGGCCTCCAAAGGGTGTCCCTAACTCCCTAACTCACCTCAGGTTGCTCATTTGTCTTTTCTTCATACTAGATCAATCAATCAAAGCGCCTTCCGCAACCCTGTCAGGAAGCCCAAGGCGCTGAACATTGTACAGTACAAGAGAGCCCCTTGAGTACTAGAGCCCCCAATCTGGTCCAAACCTATCAAATTCCTTCTTCAAGATGCCTCCTGAAGTTCTTTCTCCTCCCACAGCCTGTCATGTCTCTCCCAACACGCTCCAGTGCTTGTCCACTAGCCATTGGCTAAGCTAGCATTATTTACTTTATCTCCCCAACGTCTCCCAAGCTCACTGCAGCGTTCATCCCTTAGCTGGTTGTTAAGCAGCAGCCAGCTTGTTTACTCCACCGCTGATCCATGAGATCATGTGACACCAGACTCCCTGGCTGACGCAGCCCATCCTCTGTGTGTGAATCGGCGATAGCTGTGCCCTTCAAGCGGTCTGACCATGTTTTATTTGCTCAATCGTAGTTTTTTGCTCTGTTTGGATTAGGCTAGAGAAATTGGCAATTATCAAGCTCATGTTATTTATAAAGAGTGAACCTGATGGCTGGAGTGAATGCTGGAGGCTGTTGACATTTTCCCTTATTGATGAGTGGGCGACCGTAGCTGCACGGCGCTAAAGAGTCACTTTTTTTTTTTACACACAGGGCACACATATTACACACTGCCCCTTTAAAGGGAATTTATGGTGACCAACCATGAGGCATTGAGAACTTTGTCCTTTAAGGTTGGTTTATGCTTGACGCGTCCGCGAGGTCTGCACGGCTCCGCGCGGAAAAGTTGCGTCATTTTGCGTCATTTTAACAACCACGCCCCTCCACCGCGCCTCCGCACGGGCCCAGAATTTCCGCAACGCGCACCTCAGAAAATGTCTAACCACGCGGACGGACGGACGCGGAAAAACATGGCGGACCGGCAAGAACTAGTACGGCAGAGGTTCGTAAATACAGACATTTGTATGATTCAGCTCTCAGAGATCACCGTGATCAACATGTTGTTAATAATTCTTGGAGAGAAATAGCTCGCACTGTCGGAAAAGACGAGGACGCTGTTAAAAATGCTGGAATGTCATGTTGTAAACAGTAATTTCTACTTCTACTATGGTGTAGTGTTGGATGCATGCTGTAGAGCTCCATGCTGCCCCGTTCAGTTTGGGAGAATATTGGCTCACCGCAGAGACGAGCCGCACGAACCATAAACGCTGCGAGTTGTGAAGCGCGTTCCATCCGCGAGCCGCATCACCGCGCGGAAAGTGAATGCGTCAAGCATAAACCAAGCTTTAGACAAGAGTCTTTGACTCGGTGAAAGACGAACCCTCATCTCAAATGCAATCGCTCAGGTGTGAGATTGAATGTTGTCATTCCTCTGTCAAGCTAGTCCTTCAAATGACCGTGCGATAAAAAGAAAATCCAGTTCGGCAATAACACTGGTAGCAATCCAAAGCTCTATCTGGATCTTAAAACGCTAACTAAAACCCCATCATACATTAGTGACAAAACAGAAGTCTACCTACATGCCAGAGTCGGCCGACTCCCAATGGCCATTTTGTAATAATGCAGCGCTTCAGTGAAACGTTCGCCCTCCTGCAGCAGCAACCCCCTGCCAAGAAGGGACATTGTTAACATTTGACATCACTGCAGTTTTAGAGTTTCACTCAAAACTACAGAGGCAAGGTAATGAATTAGCAGCGAATCAGAGTGATGAGGGGGTCATTTAGATGGTAACATCCACCACACTCAAAAGAACAATAAACCCTATTTGGCTCTTTATTATCTGCAAGATGGAGAGGAGGAGCGAGATTTAGAAAATGGGTCCATTAGTAGGCTTCGGCACCTTTAACACCTTTTTCTCAGGAACAAAAATAGTTTTGTGTCCCCCCAAAGGCTCCGCAGACATGACTAATCAAATCAGTCACAGAAAAAGCATCAAGGAGACGTGTTTCATTAGAGCTATTTTTGTTTGTAAGTTATTCCACTCCAGCGCTCGGTCTGTTCTCTCCTGTCTGCCTTTCTCGGTCCTCTGCTGCTGCCGTTCTCTTATATGATGGATGAGAGGAATCAGAAGGAGCTCGTGTCAGGACTGTGCAAACAAGGGAGGTGGAATAAGCATCTGAAACACTCACAGATTGTAAAGCATGTCAGCCATGTTCCCTCTGTAGTGCAGAGCATTCCGGTAAGCTGTCTCTGCCTCGGCCATCTTGCCCTGATTCTTCAGGACGTTCCCTAAATTTCCCCAGGCTACAACAGACACATGTTAGTAAATGGATGCAAAATAATAATAATAATAACCCACTTTTTAATATTTAAGGCTTGGGGCCTAATGATTACTGATGGCATTCTCACCTTTTGCAGGGTTCACATTGATTCCAGACTTGTAAAGATTTTCCTCGTTGCTCCAGTCTTTGTTCCTTTGAACAGTTCTGAGTCCGTTCAGCAGCACCAGTCCAATGCAAAAACACAACATCAAAGTCTTGCAGCCTCTGGTCCTCAGCCTGATGTACAATGTTCTTGCACCAGCTGCAACCAGTAAGCAAAACCCTACACTGGGGATATAAAGTACCCTCTCTGCTATTACAAAACCAACATAAAAGAATAAGTTGGTGGCTGGAATGAAAGGCAATGCCAAGATGCCTAATGAAAACACTAAAAGGCTTTCTGTAGGGGGCAGGGGCATCTGCGGGGAGCAGTGGTAGGGTGAGGCTGATCCATTCAGGCCAGTTTTTGGCAAACCCAGATCTGTGTTTTGGTTTGTGTCAGGGACATGGTAACCATTCCCATTAGTAATAGACTTCCCATTTGTCATATGGGCTTTCCCAATGCTCTCCTTAGCTGTGGAAATCAGACCTCGAAGGCCAAAGAAAGCCAGAAGGATAAATCCCCCGTAAAAGGCAATGGTGTAAAGGTTCCTCCAGTCAGTCAAAGATCTGACCAAGGGTACAGCATCCATAGACCAATCAAAACTGAGCTTGTCTGGGCAAAGCAGGAGCCAGGCATTGGCAGCGGGCAAGTAAAGGAATGTCAGCATTCGGGTGAGAAGATGTGACGAATCAGCAGCCGGGTTGTCAGAGTTGGAGAAGTTCGGAGGTTTATTTCCCATCCAGTAGACACGAGCTGACAGCAAAATCACTCCCCAGGAAGCCAGCGTGCAGAGGCTCAGCAAAACACTGATGTTCCTTTTCTGGAAAGGAGAGGGGGAAAGCATCTGCATCAGTATTCAAATCAACACTGCAGCATCTTGTGTGTCTTTGAAGAATACACGTGAATCACAACTGATGAATGTGGAAAGCAGCGGCAAAGATTTTTTACATTCATCACTTTGTTGCAAAAGAAAATAAAACTGATGCTAAATCAATTAGATGCAAATTTACAGAACAGAAAAATAGTCATACTGGTGGTATTATTGATTAAATGATATCAAAGCCAGAAATAATACTTCTGGTGGGGAAATTATGACAAACTCAAGCCACACTCTTGGATGTCCATGCACTGTAACGATCAGTTAGCAGCATTATCACTCATTGTTTAATGAATGGCATAATCATTTCTAATTATGTTTGCACGTACAACGGGTGGGGGTTTGCACATAGTGAAAGATCAATATTGAGTTTCACATTTGGTTTGCCAGAAAATTCTTCACTGCCAGAGAAGTTTTCTTAAGGATAATGGGGGGAAATCCCAACGTCCCTGATCAAAAAGTAGAAAAAAATCAAAGCAATAATCTTGCAAATAATATGAGAAATCCACAATCCCCTCAGCTGTGGTCACAGTGTTGCCCGAAAGAACTCCAGTAAATGTGACTGGTAATCAGCTTAGCATGCTGGTATGTACAGGCTAACTTCACATTACTTTGCATGATCACAATCAGGCCCTCAGTCACGCAGCACTTTCATTCATCATCCTCAAAACAGAATTAATTCTCAAACTTTAACATTATACTAATTAAATGAGAGTACTTATATATCACATGACTGGCATTTTAGCTACAAAAATGTTAAAAACAAACATTTTCACAGACATGATGCAGATTTGACCCAGAAGTGTTTGTTATCCTTCCCTACGTGGGTATAGTAACCATCTGCCCTCTGTACAACCCATTCAAAAATGCATGAATGGCAGTTCAATGGTCTCTTTTACAGCGCACAAACTTAAGCAAGCGTATCCTCAAACAGGGTTAGGGTTAGGGTAACTGGGATTCGGGTAAGAGGCTTACACCTGACTGGTTCATGCTTAATTGTTTTATTTCTAACAGATCTGATATGGAAAAGTATGCTCTGTGGAGAAGTTAGTTTAGACAGGAAATGAATTGCATGCTAGTTCCAGAATACTTCATTAGTAACAGTCAATAGTCAGATGGAAAAGATCCAGTTCCTGCAGTTCAGAAACAAAAAGAATATTGACTTTAAATCTTAAAGAAGAGAAGAGTGTTCATTCCATACAAAATAACAGCGTGATTATTGATGGATGAGCCTGATTTTCTCAATCAGTGAAGGAACCCATCTGAGAAATCCAATTCAGCTTGAAACTGGAAGATAAGCTAAATCCAACAAGAGTCATTTGTGGTATTTAGTTAAATGAGCTTCATTTTGCTCCTCGCTGCCTCGTCAATCCCTAAATCGTTTCTTAATTGACTCTGAAATCAATCAGATGAAAGTCAAGATGCAAGCTGGAGTGCAGGCATGCTTTTCAGTGATTTATGGCCAGAAACGTCCAAAAGCTCAACTCAGCTATAGACAAGATTTATTTTCATGTTTTTGCAGCAACATTTTGGTTAGCAAGAGAAGAAAGCTTTTAGTTGGAAAGCTTGGTTATGACTTCATTCTAACCCCATTTAGACTCATCTGTTTAAACCATCCTTCTCTTCTCAGTCAGAAAAAATGGATGTCCCCTCCCCCCAAAAATGACAGATCATTTGCTGCTGTGGCCCCCAGACTCTGGAACTCTCTCCCCCTGAGACTGAGATCAGTGGACTCAGTGGTCTCCTTTAAAAAGCAGCTGAAGACTCACTTGTTCAAGCTGGCTTTTGTATGACCTTCTTCACCACTCTCTCTTTATTCTGCTCTCCTCACCTATTCCACCTTCCTCAGGATCCACTGATTTCCCTCTTTCCTTTTCACTCTCTCTCTTTCTTAACATTTTTTAATCACACTGGTCTATTTTTTGCTCATTTTAAATATATTTTTAATCATTATCTAAATTATTTTCTATATTTTTACATTTTTGGTTTTTGTGAAGCGCCTCATGATTTTTATCTTGAGAGGCGCTATAGAAAAGATATTTTCTTCTTCAAAAATAAAAATAAATAAAAAAGCAAGTAAAAATGCATTAATCAAATTGGTTTTTAAAGTGTAGATGATTTCTGTATTTTTTAACTATAACTTTCAGCCTCACTACTGTTTTTATGTAATCTTGGTTAAGTGGCTCCATGTTGTCTCAGTTAAAGCCTTTGAGCCTATAAAACTGCACAAAATCAAACGATATTTTTGCTGTCAAATTATTGATAAGAGTTGGTTCCCTGCCATACCCACTTACAAAACGTTACATAGAAGTAGCCGTACATGCCGGTAACACAATTTACGTCCAAAAGCAGAAATTGTCCGTGGCTGTGAGGAAAGGCATCTGAAGTCTTTGATAAGTACACATCCAGGGTCTCAAACGTTACAATGGTAGCAGCGAGCTGGGGAAGGAGACGAGTGGGATGTGGGACACGAACCGAACGCACATGTGGTTGTTTCTTGTTTTCGTGGTGCGTCTATAGCCGTAACATTATCAGCATTCGGTGTTCTATCTTTGTTTTTGTGAGGAAAAACATTCAGGCAGCCCATAAAAGCGTTCAGGCAGCTCACTTTGGTTTTAGGCAAAAGGTAAGCTAATAAATACACTTGAAAACAATTCTGACCTTTGGCAGCATTTTGCATGCTTTTATTTTACAGCACACTGAGAGTGTTTAAATAAGACAGAAATGTGTGAAAATATCTAAGAAAAGTGGTGAGGGATTTTACAGCCTTAAAACATTTATGATGATTTTTAGAGCGTAGTCACCGCGGTAAACGAGGGATGACGGTAACAAACGAGGTCTAAAACGTGAAGTTTTTTCATCCACAAATGAGTTTAGTTCTATTTATTTTTTGCCACCAGGAAACCCAACGTTATGTGAACAGGAATGCCATGGGCTTGTTATCTTTGCAAATGAGACTCGTTTTGTTTTCTCAACTGACTACAGGGCTTAACGCCTCTCCTTCCTTTGTCTCCATCCATCACTTTCTAACTTCCTCTCCATTTTGTCTTGTCGTGTTTGAGATCTCATCTCAATTTGATTAGGGAGTTAATAGAATACGAAATTGAGGTTGTGGTGGGAGCACATCTGTCCTCTCGGCTACACACCAGAACATTTGCATTTTGTGTGGTTGCAGCACAGCAGCAACCAAATGATGTCATGTCTAGGATTCTTTTTTTTTTTGTTTTGTTCCATGAATATGGTAAAAACTTCATTGACTAGAAGATATTTTACATTGAAATTACAAAAAAGCTTTGGTGTTTCTCCTTCTAAAAAACAATTCAGTCTGAATGTTTGTGTTTTGTTGGTAGAATAGAAAACAGGTGAAACCAAGTCCTTCATCCCCAGCATGCTGCTCAGGGGATCAAGGGTGGGACAGACAGAAGAGATAAAGAAAAGGAAGTGAGAGCATAGTTTCCCTCCTTTTTGTTCAACCTCGTCTCAGTATCCATCTCCCCGTTGTTTTCCTATGCACCCTGAGACATCTGGCTCATAATCAAAAAGTGATTGCCCCCAAGACCAGCCCCAGCATGTAACTAGTTCCCTGCCAAGACAACCACAACCAGGACAAGTAGAGAGGGCACCGCCAAAGTGAAAAATGAGACAGATGTGGTGACAGAGGTGGGAGGTACTGGAGGGGGTTGACACCAATGTCTGGCAGGCTAGCGTGTATGCTAGCCTGTGCATCTGTGTCTGGGTAAAAGATGGAGGCTGCAGACTCGCAGAGGTGTGGACTCGAGTCACATGACTTGGAATCGAGTCAGACTTGAGTCTCGTCTCGTCTCGTCTCGTCTTCCTCCGCTTATCCGGGTCCGGGTCGCGGGGGCAGCATCCCAACTAGGGAGCTCCAGGCCGTCCTCTCCCCGGCCTTGTCCACCAGCTCCTCCGGCAGGACCCCAAGGCGTTCCTGGACCAGATTGGAGATGTAACCTCTCCAACGTGTCCTGGGTCGACCCGGGGGCCTTCTGCCGGCAGGACATGCCCGAAACACCTCCCCGGGGAGGCGTCCAGGAGGCATCCTGACCAGATGCCCAAACCACCTCAACTGGCTCCTTTCGATCCGGAGGAGCAGCGGTTCTACTCCGAGTCCCTCCCGAATGTCCGAGCTCCTCACCCTATCTCTAAGGCTGAGCCCGGCCACCCTACGGAGGAAACTCATTTCGGCCGCTTGTATCCGCGATCTCGTTCTTTCGGTCATTACCCAAAGCTCATGACCATAGGTGAGGATTGGGACGTAGATCGACCGGTAAATCGAGAGCCTGGCTTTCTGGCTCAGCTCCCTCTTCCCCACGACAGATCGGCTCAGCGTCCGCATCACTGCAGACGCCGAACCAATCCGCCTGTCAATCTCCCGATCCCTCCTACCCTCACTCGTGAACAAGACCCCGAGATACTTAAACTCCTCCACTTGAGGTAGGACCTCTCCCTCGACCCGGAGGTGGCAAGCCACCCTTTTCCGGTCGAGAACCATGGTCTCAGATTTGGAGGTGCTGATCCTCATCCCAGCCGCTTCACATTCAGCCGCGAACCTACCCATCAAGAGCTGAAGGTCAGAGCTGGATGAAGCTAGGAGGACCACATCATCCGCAAAAAGCAGAGACGAGATTCTCCTGCCACCAAACTCGACACACTCCACACCACGGCTGCGTCTAGAAATTCTGTCCATAAAAGTGATGAACAGAACCGGTGACAAAGGGCAGCCCTGGCGGAGTCCAACCCTCACTGGGAAAAGGTCCGACTTACTACCGGCTATGCGGACCAAACTCACGCTCCTCTGGTAAAGGGACTGAATGGCCCTTAACAGAAAGCCACCCACCCCATACTCCTGGAGCGTCCCCCACAGGGTGCCCCTGGGGACACGGTCATAAGCCTTCTCCAAATCCACAAAGCACATGTGGATTGGT